ATATATATATAGAGAGAGAGAGAGAGAGGAGTTAATGAAAAAAAAATTTAAATAAAATAATGTAAATTAAATATGATCACCGATAAAAAAAACCAAATAATTTTTGAAAAATAGATAGACTATTTTATAATTTATTGTAGTAATCTTAAATCAAAATCATTAAATCTTTGCATCTTAAAAAAAAAAAAGGAAACCCGAAATCAATTAGGTTATACGATAATAAAGCCAGTTCAAAACAGAGATGAAATGCCAAGGAGGCTGAAAACTTGACCTGACCTGTTACTATCCCTATGTAAATGTAACATTTTTCAAGTAGCTACAGAGAAAGCAAAAATTGGAGGGGGGCCTATAGCATTCAATGTGGGTCCGCCCTTGATTCACAGTAAAAGGCAGAACGAAGAGAAATGAAAAAATAAAATAAAAATTAATGGACTGTTTAAAAATATAATTGACGAGGTCCAGTTATAATTGGGTTTTTTTCGTAAAATATAAAACATAAGCAGACATAATTAATCAGTTACGTATTCCATGGTTTTTTTTGACGAAATAAATTTAAATTCTATTGACTTTAATTTATTTAATTATTATTATAAAACAGAAGAAAAACTACTCTCGTTATCTAACTCAAAGCCTAAAAACCCTTCTAATAAACTAAAAGAAATTATAAAACACAGGACAAGATAAATGATTGATACCTAGGACAAGAAAGTTCGGTTTAGAACGGCTGACAAGTGTATTTTAGATAAAAAAAAAAAAAAATTATATACACATACAAAAACTTTTTAAAATGTCTCAAAAATTACCAAATTTATTAAGCTTCGTGAAAGGCTGCAGCCACCTTTGATAGTTTTCACTGATGAAGAAATTTGGTTGTATATTCCTTAACTTGAAGTAACAATTATTTCAGTTAAATTTATTTTATTTTATTTTTATGAATAAATTGCTTAAAATGAAATATTTTATTTTACATTTTTATAATAAAAAAAGTGAAACAAGTAAATATTCATGACGAGAAGTCACTAGAGGGATCGGATACATCGGCTTTTAGGATCCTACCAAGGGTTGTTCGCTATTCTATGAAAACCGAATAAACAAATATTTTGGGGTGGTTTTTTTTAGAAATTAAAATAAAAAAATGAATCGAAATAATTTCAGTTTTCGGGTTCGATTTCGGTTATTATTATTTTTAAATTCGATTAACTGAAAAAATGAAAATTTTAATATATATATATAAAGTTAAATCACTTAGTACTTTTCTAAATTGAAAAACCTTTCTCCTCCGGATGCACTTCCTTCCACAACTTAATACGTGCTCTTTTTGTCTCTGCTACAAATACGGATGTACACAAAATAGCAAAGACGTTGGTAGTTTTTCTATCGTCTCAAGTTTAAGTGTTCTTGAGTAGACAATTTATTATTTGTGTATCTACCAATGCATTTACTTTTTTTTTTTATGCAACTTAGTTTCTTAAGTAATAGTCCACATAGCAGAAAGAAATTCACTCTAAACGAAGATTTTAGAAATTTTAATAGAATCAACTATTTGTAGAAAAAAATAAAATAAAACGAGTAAAAATCGAATTATCGAATATCAAAACCAAAATATTTCGAAACCGAACAAAAAAATTGAATATCATTTTAGTTTGATTTCGGTTATTTTTTAAAAAAATTTAATTAATTAAGAACTATTTAAAATATTTTAAAATCGAATGGAATAACTTAACCAAGTACTTTAATCTTGCCTTATTAAAAGCCCCGCCAAAGAAAAAGATTAACGATTATAAAGGGGAATGGGCCTCGTTGGGAGGCCTATCACTACTCACTAGAACAAAAACAGGACTTGCAAATTAAAAAGATAGCCCAAAGCCTGGACTGCCATGTCCTATATTTAACAATCATCTGTCTCACAGGCATCAAACTTGATCAAAGCTAAATTGGACCATCTTCTTGGGTAGACAAACCTCATCTCGGCCTTATGGACTAACTCTGGTCTAGTTGGGCCACACCATTGAAATTCAAAAGAGGAAGCGCCTCATTGCTTTGACATGCGCATCTTCCAACACACTACAATGTGAATACTACAGCTAATACTTATCCCATCTCACCGCCAAAAATAAGATTTGTAGAGTTTAGCATGTCCTTGGTCACGTAAAAAGCTTATTACTTATTTTCTGCTTGAAAAAATCTAGTTAAGGAACACTCGACGATTACTCCAAGGCAAATATTGAGGTAAATTTGAATGTTTGATAAAAAAAAAAAAAAGGGAAGAATTACTACAATATCATAAATGCAGCAACTCCGTGCAAACTATAAATCTATATGCATGCCGTTTCTCTTAGAAGTGAACTTCAGGGTTTATATATATTTTTGTATGTGTATTGCTAGGTTATGGATTAAATTTATATGGTGATGTGGCTTAATTTTGATCGGCGGTGCGTGGAGTTATCATAGTTCATACTGCATAGGATTACATTTTTATATTTGTATCACCAATGACCTACAGATTATTGTTATGTCTGGAAAGAAAACTTTCCTATCTAGCCAAGAGTAACCAGCCAACCTAGATTCTTATAAAGACAAGGCAGGAATTGTCTTGAATTGAAGCTTGCGGCACTTATCAAAAAAAGAAAAAAGAAAAAAAAAGGGGTTGTCAGCTGTTTGGATTTTTGGAGAAATGCCATACTATGATGTGTCTGTTTTGAGGTGGAGCTTCTTAACCGAAATTATGTTTATTCGAAAGTTTTAAGTATTTTTATATCCTTTTTGTATTCGCAAATTGTAAGTTATCATCATGTCAAATAATTTGGTGATCTATTGATAATTGAGTTTTGTGATATATATTTGGATGTTGTTGGGTTTTGGGATTTTGATATTGCTTTCTTTGTTATTGCGAGAATGTAAATCTCATATCCTTGTCATGATATTTAGCCATCCTTGTATTGCTCTTTTGTGAATTGACCTTGTGTGAGATTTAAGAGTAATTAGGTTTGGGATTTGAGTATTGCTTGCTATTTTATGTATCCTCTCTTTTAATTATAGTGGATTTTTTTGACCGCCTTCTTCCATAGAATATGCAATTGACCAAACCATGTTATTTTCATTTGATTATAGTGAAATTTTGGTACCGTCTTTGTCCGATCTCATTGACATCGCACTTTACGAGAATTTTGTTTAAGATCCTATAAAAACCCCAGGAATATATTTCTTTTTTTCCACAAGTAATTGGGTATGATAGCCAAGTCACTTCAACCTTTGAACTTCTTAGTTCTAGTCTTGATTTGAGAATTAAGTTTATATTTTACTATTTTTTTTATTATAAAAAAAGTTCAAACATAAGACAGACATAATGCTAATAAGCTATATGCTCGTTGGCTATATTTGCAACTTTTTTTCCTTTTTTATTTAAAGGAGAGGAAAAACTTCGAGGGACTAGTTAAGATGACAAAGCTTAGGAATCACAACTTTATAAATATCCTCTAACAATAAGTTAACACAATCTATTGGAGCAATCAAATAATAAGAGATTTTTAGGGAAAAAAATTGATATGAAAAACTAATCAATTTGCAATACGATTAGTCTCTTTGTAGGGATGGAAAATTTGAACCTTGCAAATAATTTAAATTAACTGACTATAATCACCATGACTAATGGTTTGAGAAGATAGTAATACAATGTTCGATCGAGAATCAGCTTTAAACAATATTTATCTATAATTAATAATTTAAATCATTTACAGTTAAATAAAGATACTTTAAAATTTAACGCACGAAACCAAACATGTATAAATATGATAAAAAAAGGTATCCAATTTTCTACGTGATCTTGTAAAACATCACCAATAATAGAAGTCGATGAAATTTAAAAAGGCTCCATGCATGTTTAGTTTGACCCAATTTTTTGGAGCTTTCAACCGGCCAATGAGAATCTCATTCTTCATAATTAGCTTAGACTTAACAAGCATAGCAACCATTTCATTGCTGTCATCAATTTGAGAAGTCAAACAAAAAACTACACCAATTGGATTCGAAGGATGCAAAAAACCATTATAAAAAAGGATTTTGTTTTTCTATGTTTTGCCAAGTCCACAGAAGTCAACAACAAGAACCGAACTAGGTGTTCTATGAAATAGAATTAGTTAACACTAGTTTGCTAAATTATCGGGCTAGTCCAAAACTAGTCTTTTAAATTTAGAACAAAAAAGTTTTGAATTATTTGAGATGCCCACACAACATTCACATAGGTTTAGCATGCAAGAAATCTCTGAGAACATAAAGGAATGACTCTGGATGGACGTCACGGTGAAAACAGGTTGAGTCAGTTGCTAGACCTCTGCGAACCCTTTGTTCATTAATGAATAACTTGGCAAGAATGGCTAGCCATGAAAACAATCTAATTCTTTGGAGACCTTTTCATGCCAAACTCGATTTCACCTATTAGCACGAACGCTAGGCAGATGCGAAATTGATTAATGGGCAAATTTGATAGTGAAAGCTCCATTGTTAGAAAGACCTCAACAAAGTTTTTCACAACCAGCATTCACCCAGGTGGAAGAATATCTGCAATTCGCATACACAGATAAAAGTAGTGAGCAAGCTCTGGAACCTAACCAACCTCCAATGATAGGAAGTAGCGATAAACTCCTTGACATGAGAGTGCAAAATGTCTTCAAGGATAGTATGAATGATATGCTTACTCAAAGGTCTCAAATCAACGATGTAAGATTCAATTTAAAATTTGACCGGAATACCATTACCGATAGTTTATCTACCCATATTACCAAACCCTAGATAGTACCCTCTATAAACTAAAAGCAGTAGTACGGAGAATAGTGGAAGGAATCTGTAGAGAGTCGAGCTTATACTTACTACGCAACACTTTGACCCAAAGACTAGAGTTATTAGAAAGGATCTCACATCCAACTTTCATTAGAAGTGCATTTTTAACATTCGACAATCTCCTTAAACCGACCACCCTAAATTTTTGGTTGACATGCAATATCTCAAGAAGTCATATGAATTTTATGCTGCTCTTCTGAAGTATCCCATATAAATTTAAGATAGCGCCTCTCAATTACCTCAATGGTAGCGATATGTAATCAATTTGTCTACATGCTATAACTATGAATAGCTGATAAAACATGTTGGGTCAGAGTATTCCTACCAGTTAAAGAGAGATGTTTCACCTGCCATTCAGGTAACCTCTTGTTAATTTTTTTCTACTACACAATCATAGGTAGCCATGTTAGCCGTACTGTGATGTAGAGATATTCCTAAATACCAAGTCCAAATATCTATCAACTGAAAACTCAAAAACTTACCACCGTGGTGTTTGAAACAAATGAATGGCGGAATTCATTTTATTTATAAATAAAATAAATAAGAATTTGTATTTATAAATGAATTTCCTTGTTTGGAACAAAAAAAATTATTAGTCAAATCATTTATTTGTAAATATATTTTATGTTTGAAACACATGTAGAATTAGAATTATAGTTTGTATTTTATTTAAATATCCTCTAGCTGATTGAAAGATTAATTATGATATAATACAAAGACAAAGGTAATATTTTCACAAATAATACAAGGATCTCATGCTCATATTAGTCGAATATATCCTTTAAATAAATATAATATCATAATAGTTGTCTATATCATATTACATGTCAAAAAATTGTATCATTATATTGGCATAAATATTTTGCAGCTGCAAAATATAACAAACATTCAATATTAGGGATTCAAGTTTAATCATCCATACTACTAATTATAACAACCAGCCCATCATACTTTAAATCCATACTAATGCTAATTATAAGAAACAACCCTCAATTTAATCATCCAGACTAATTCCCATCTTCCTTCTAAGCCATGGTAGCTTGATTTCATCATCATATGTAATTGGTATGGAATTCATTTGCAAATAAAAATAACTCCTTAATAAAAACAAATGAATAGAAGGTTAGGCTAGATGACATATTTGTCTAAATAAAAATATTTTTCAATTGGCATGGAATTTATTTGTAAATAACTTTTTTGTGTAAGGAATTGGACAAAGGTATATCAATTCATTGATTTGAAATTCATTGATTTGTAATTTTTAAAATTGAAGCTTCCAAACAAGATATCATTAATTTACAAATGAATTTCATAAAATTTTATGAAATTCATTTGTTTCAAACACTGTGTGAACAAAAAACTTGACCTTTCATTTCCCAACGTTAGTGCTGCGGAATGCAGTTATTCTTCTTTGAAGTAACCGAACCAACCAATCTAAGATGAGTAGTGGAGTGGGTTGGCAAAGTGGATTGAAGAAGCGTGAGTTGGCTAATATTTAGAGTGGGCAGATTGCACAATCGGCCCTCAGGACGTATAGTCTTTTATTACGCGTACTGGCCCAAAGCTGTTAGGATTGCATCATACAATGGCCCTAGTTGGCACATCCAAACTCTAAATGCCCCCCGAAAACAAGGCCTGCTAATCCCTCAAGTGATTTCTTCAACTACGCTTTGATGTTTTCTGTGACTTGTTAACCTTGTTATAGACATATTGTTGCAAAGGCAAACCAAATGGTCAAATATGATTTCCGATTTTCCACATGGTATTATTTCATGAAAATTGAATTACTCTAGTAAGCTTCCAAAACGCAAGGGCTGTGCAGATGCTTTATTTAAGGGCAGATTGCCCTAATGTTTAAGGCGAAGTTGATTCTCTGTTGTATCACATGTTTATTACGAGGAATTTTTTTTTTGAGGCGACTCCATGCTGCCGTAAATAATAATTCATAGATTCCTCCTTCAGAGCTGGAGCTTTGCTTATATCATAATGTTGATATTAGCCTAAGTTGTCGAGGAATGTACAAAAACAACACTTTGGAAGTCAAGTCTCTTTGGATTGGGCAACCAACATTGACAGCATTTTTTGTGCGCTGAAACAAGAAAATGAAATTAAAATAGAGAGAGAGAGAGAGAGACGAGTACTGTTAAATTAGATAAAAGCGAGACATCAGATAGGAAGCTAGTGGATGGCTGAGTCAGGTATATCCTGTCACCCACCGAAGTGGAAGAGAAACGCGTAAGGCGTGGTAGACTAGACTGCCCTTTGCCAAAGTTGGAATCTTTCTTAAACCGGTCACCTCTCGTTCGCTTTTTCTGATTCCCAACTCCCATCATTCACTCCCACTCACATCCGACGTTTGCTTCAACGCACTCACGAGCCTCACTCTAGTTTCCCCCACCCTTCTTTCCATCTTCCTGCCTGCCTGCCTGCCTACCGGGTTGGAATGCAAAGTAAATCACATCCTTTTTATATTTACACGAGTCAACATCATTTTTTGCAAAGAATTTGCAATTATGTTGATTAATATTACTGTAGTTCCATGTTGAAATTACTATTAAAATGGTTAACGAAAAGATTCATATGGTCGTGTGCAAATGTGATACGAAAAATTTAAAATTGATTTTTAGATGATATAAATATTTTTAAAAAATTTTTATTTAATTTTTATTTAATTTATTTAAATCTCATTGATGGTTTCTAGTAGTTTTATTTAAATGTGATTAATTTTCTTATTTTTTTATTTTTTTTGTTTTTTAGCACTCAAATATCATGATACATGTAGTTTTAAATTCTAAAATGAAAAATGTTGAGATAGCAACTCTAAGTAATTATAGATAGATAAGAATAGAAATCAGAAACTCTTAAGATATAGAATTTTTCATTTTAAAATGTTAAAGATGTTTTTTGAAAGATGTCCTCTGAAATGGAATTCAAAACAAAATTTTATTATAGATTTTACTTTTTAAAATCTTTTACACCAGGATTTTTTGTTTTTTTTTTCCCAATAAATGGTTCCGTCTGTTTTTATAAAACGAAATCAATATACAATCCGTTCTTACACTTTAAAATGAATCGATTGTATTCTTACATTTTAAATGAGTTTTCAATTTATTTTTTATTTTTTATGTTCTTTTGTTAAACTAAAAAAAAAAAAATCAGTTAACTTGTACATGACAATTTTTTTCTACAAATATTCGTTAAAAAAAAAAAATAACTTACACACGTTCTGCTAAGAGGTATTAAAAAAAAAAATCACATGCAAGTCATGCGATTTTTTTTTATAATTTGACGGAAAAAATTCATTAAAAAAATAAATTAAAAAATCAATCAAAATACTAAAAAATAATTGATTTATTTTAAAATATAAAAATGGATTGAACACCAATCCCTTGCTTTTTTCCCCCTCCAAAAAGGTTTTATCCTTGCCTTGATTTTATTCATTTGAGATCTTTTGTCATCCATGATGAGATTTATTATTTTTTTCGAGAATGGCTGTCTCCTCCTCTCTTTCCCGTCCATCCATAACTATAAGGGGTGGAGGATTTCATAGCTATTCTCTCTGGATAGATTTAATTGTGTTTGAAATTTGTTTTGAATTATCCTTTTTTCTCTACTCTTCCAATGGTTTGCCTATGGCCTGTGGAAGAATCTTATATCCATGACAATATTCTATAAAATATATCTTCTATTTTATCAACACGTGAACAATTGGGTTCGAAGTTTCGAAGTTAGCAAGTTTAACTAATAGAGTATCAGTTATAGTCGAATATGTTCGTACTTAATCAAATAGTCTACTGTTTCTTTTATATTTTTCAACATCATTTATTTTCTAAGGGAATTAGGTAATTGCTCTCATTCAATTATTGTATTTCTGTTAAAAAAGAATACGATAATGCAGTAGTAGTTTAGATAGACGAAGTCACCATCTTGTAGTTTGTTTGCTTTGCTGGACAGGTTCTTTTTGTAGCCTGGTTATAGTTGATTTTCTATATTCATAATATTGCAATTGTTCAAAAACCTAGCAGAAGAAGAAAAACAACAACATGTTTGTTTTACGTTTCTCCCTCTCATCTCTCTGTTTTTTCCCTTAAAAATTCTTTCCTCCTATAAATTCCCTAAGTTCATCAACGCATGCCATTTTCTTTCAAATCATTAGTTATTCTTAAAATTTTCTACTTGAAAACAAACATACAAAAAAACAATCAGTTGATATCGAAAGAAATTTAGGAATATAATTACAAGAGAGACGACCTTTAAGAACGAGGTTTTGTATTTGTTTGATGCTGCATTGACTGAACAGAAACTCACTCGCTGTCCGAGCGTGAGCTAAGAATCGGAATACACACGCACCCGTGACGGACCACCCGTTGAGCCGGTAAGATATGGGAGGGAATGTGGGGTCCAAGTTTTAACATTCATTTCAATTTCATTTCAATTTCATTTGATTTAATTTCAAAACAAGAACAGCAGAATTAAGCAACTGTTAGCCCTGATAGAGAAAGACATAATAGCCCTGGCTTTGAAGATTTGACTTTGACCAAAAAACCAAGAGAGAGAAAGAGAGTGAGAAAGAGAGAGGAAGAAAATTCCTACTTTCCTCTCTCCTTCCTCCTGAAGAAAACTCTCGCATATATAGAACCCACAACTGGGTCTTGTTTTTGCAGCTCACCACCATCCCTCATCTTCATTTGAGCTAAACAAAACTATTCCTTCTCTCTATTTCTTCAACAAACACTAGAAAACTAACTGAAGACTTCAATTCATCAGTTGTCTCTGACACTTTCTATCACAATTACCACTGCTCATAGGTATGTTTCTTGTATTTCTTACAGACAAAAAAGTAACATATCTCTAATTTGATATTTGATGAATTGTACGGTATTGGCTAGAGTTTGAAGAATTGTTTCTGGGGCCGCTTAATTTGTGTTGTCCTATTTTGTTTTTTTTTTTCTTGTTTTGTTGGAAATATGGTAGTGATCTTAGAATAATAAGTCTTCTCTTCTTCTTTGATTTTTTTTTAATTCTGCTTATGATTTTATTTTGGTTTGTTTGGAGAGGAAATTTGGGGAAAAAAGCATTAGGAGTTGAGGAGAAAAGTTTGAAATGATTTATTTTTGTTTACTTTGTCATCTATAATTAGTTTTGCTCCTTTGATCTGAACTAGCATGCAGTTTTCTAAGACTAGCTATATTTAGGCTTTTTTTTTCCTTCGTTTTTTACTTTGTTATTTCTTGTTTTGATTAATGAACTGTTTAAAATTCTTGATTATGGTATATTAAGGATGTTTGTTATAACGATGCAGGACTTGGGTATGTGCAGAGGCTCAAAGGGTGATTCTTGCCCTTCAAATCCAATCATGGAAGACAAATCTTACAGCCAAAAGGACACTTTCTCGTATAAATGCTCAGTTTTGCTCGAATTGGCTGCCTCTGATGATCTTGCTGGCTTCAAAACTGAGGTTGAACAGAAGGGTTTGGATATTGATGAGGCAAGCTATTGGTATGGTAGAAGAATTGGGTCGAAAAGTATGGGTTTCGAAGAGAGAACAGCCCTCATGATTGCTGCCATGTTTGGAAGCACTGATGTTTTGAAGTATATCATTGAAACTGGCAAAGTCAATGTCAATAGGGTGTGTGGCTCGGAGAAGGTCACTGCCCTTCACTGTGTCGTTGCTGGCTGTGCTGATTCGTCAGTTGGTATTGTCAAGTTCTTGCTTGATGCATCTGCTGATCCTAACATGGTCGATGCTAATGGAAATAAGCCTGGTGATCTCTTTGCCCTTTCATCCAAGTGTCTCTGCAATTCAAGGAAGAAGGTGATTGAGTTGTTGCTAAAAGGCGAAAGGTTAAGTGGAGATGAAGAAGAAAAACTGATCGTAATGCCTCAGTTGGCAAAAGAAGCAACTGAAAAGAAAGAATATCCTCTTGACGTGACGCTGCCAGACATAAACAATGGAATGTATGGTACTGATGAGTTTAGAATGTACTCTTTCAAGGTCAAGCCTTGCTCCAGGGCATACTCTCATGATTGGACCGAGTGCCCATTTGTCCATCCAGGAGAGAATGCAAGGAGGAGAGACCCAAAGAAGTACCCTTACAGTTGTGTCCCTTGCCCTGAATTTCGCAAGGGAACATGCCAGAAGGGTGATTCTTGTGAATATGCACATGGTGTTTTTGAGTCCTGGCTGCATCCTGCCCAATATCGAACCCGGCTTTGCAAGGACGAAACTGGTTGCGCACGAAAAGTTTGTTTCTTTGCACACAAGCCTGAGGAATTGCGCCCTGTTTATGCTTCTACAGGTTCAGCAATGCCTTCACCGAGGTCAACGTCTAGTGCAGTAGACATGGCAACTTTGAGTCCGTTGGCCCTTGGATCATCATCGTTGCCATTGCCGGCTACATCAACACCACCAATGTCTCCCTTGGCGGTAGCCTCTTCATCTCCTAAGAATGGAGGCTTGTGGCAGAACAAAGTTAGCCTTACCCCACCTGCTTTGCAGCTTCCAGGAAGTAGGCTAAAGACAGCGTACTGTGCTAGAGATTTGAATTTGGAGATGGAATTGCTTGGGCTAGAAAGCTATTCTAGCCAATTCCAGCATCAGCAACTGAGGGATGAGATGTCGGGTCTCTCCTCGCCATCTCACTGGAGCAATAGGATTGCAGATTTGAAACCTGCCAACCTTGATGATGTTTTTGGATCTCTCGATCCTTCTCTAATGTCTCCTCTGCAGGGTGTTTCATTAAAAGCTGGCACACCAACCCAGTTACAATCTCCCAATGGGCTTCAGATCCGCCAGAACATGAACCAACTTCGTTCAAGCTACCCAGCTGCCAATCTCTCATCTTCTCCAGCTAGGAACCCTACTTCATATGGGTTCGATTCATCCGCTGCAGTGGCAGCTGCTGTAATGAATTCAAGATCCTCTGCATTTGCAAAGCGGAGCCAGAGTTTCATTGACCGCGGAGCAGTACCCAACCGTCTTGGTCTCACTGCGGCTGCAAACTCTGCATCCATGATGTCCTCTAATCTTTTGGATTGGAGCTCCCCTAATGGGAAACTGGATTGGGGCATTCAAGCAGATGAGCTGAACAAGCTCAAGAAGTCTGCTTCCTTTGGATTTCGAAGCAACAATAATCCGGCGACGACAGCTGCTAACTTGACGGTTTCACATGTTGACGAGCCAGATGTTTCTTGGGTTAATTCGTTGGTTAAAGATGTCCCCCCTGCTGAAAGGACATCTTTTGTTGCTGAGAAGCAATATAGTCTTGGCAAAGGAGTTCGCGAATCTCTGCCACCCTGGATGGAGCAGATGTACATAGAACAGGAGCAGATGGTGGCATAAACATCTGTGCTCTTTAGTTTGTTATCCTGACACACAAGTGTATTTAAGTTTAGGAAAAGCAACGTTGATACTAAAGCAAACTGCAAATCAGAAGCAAAGGTGGAGCTGCAAGTATGCTCACACCATTGACAGACCAAGCGAGAATTAGGACGAAAACTAGGTGGAACAAGGAGAAATTTTTTCAATTATTTTATATCCTTATTATTTTATTTTTCTCCCCCGGGAGAATGTACTTTATATTTCAGTGCAATATGAAGAGAGTTCGTATTATTTTCTCAAATACTGCAAATCTCAGAAGGAAAATGGGCAGCCCTTTTCCTTCATGAATGACTTCATTGTAAACCTTAATAATAATAAAGATCTCGATTGTTCTCATGTATTGTCGTCATATATGGATGCTTCTTTCCTTTTCCAGTCTTTTGAATTATGATGTTGCGTCCGCGTCTTTCTTTGTTGTTTGTTTGTCTGTTTTATTCTCTGATTAAGAGATATTGCATCTGTTTATAGAACTCAGCTACTTGCTCGTGTTAAAGTCTTGCGAGCAACTTGAGTGAATGGTTTTTATTGCAGTGTGTATCCTTACTACATGATCCTTGTAATCTTCCAAACATGTAGTTCTTCCATATATTTCAAGCTATTTTTGGGTGACTTGGGGTACGATTATATTCCTGTCCTGGCTCCTGAGGTGTTCAAAAGGATGTAGTTGCTCACCTCTCTGTAGTGTCTGATTGTGTTCTGAATGCCAAGATTGACAGGAGTCCTGCGTGGCAAGAAGGTTTTGACTGTGGAATTTCGATTCAAGCAATGAAACATTAGATCCCAAAGGAAAACAAAGGTTTAGATTGTTAAAAGGAATACAAAGGCTTAGATTGTTGAAAGGAATTGGGGATTATCTATGTCACGTTTTAGGCTTAGCTGGTTGAAAGGAATACAAAGGCTTAGATTGTTAAAAAGGAATTGGGGATTATCCATGTCACGATTTGTTAGCTCACACACCAGCCTGAGCCTGGTGATGAATTACTAGTGTCTCATGGCAGAGCAAGGAGCTTCAACAGTTCCTTGTTTCGTTCTTTTTTTCTTGTGAAAATCCCTCCTGATTTTCTTCTTCTTTTCCCTTGAAAATGTATTGAGGAGATTTTTCTCTGTAAGTTGGAATGGACATGAATGCTGGCTTCAATTCAAAACATTAGAAGACGTGTGAGTCCCCACATCTTTCACCACCGTCTCTCTTGGTCTCTCAGCAATGGAAAAATCTATGCAAGGCATGCATGAGTTGTGTTGCCAGAGCCGCCCACGAGCTTAATTCTCAACCAAATATTACTTTCCATTATCCTGAAATTGAGGTTTCTTCTGTCCTTCCTTTGTTAACATTTAGTAATAATAATTGGACCGACCACAAAAGTTATTGAAGCTTCCACTTTTGACGTTGTTTATTGAAAAGACATAGCACTAAAATATCCACTGAAGAGACCGCTCTTGCCCTTTGCATTCATTCGTTACTCATATTTGGGCTAAGATGTTGGGTGTGGATCTATTGCCGGCCTGCCAAATTTATATGAAGAAAATCTGCATGGCTGTTACCCTTTTAAAGAGGCTCATCGCCAACTGGAATTTCCTTCCAAGTAAAAATCTCCAGCAGCTTCTCTCGAGAGAAAAATTGATCAGGGACAAATAAGTAGTTAAAATTTAACATTTTTTTTTCTATTTGAGGCTGCCAAAATCTTAGGAAATGAAGCAATTTCTTTATTGTGTAAATCATGGTCCCATCAGGGTCTGAATCCCTTTTTAGTCCAAAACTTTTCAATTTGTTTTTTCAAGTATTTAATTTTAGATGATCCACAGTTTATCTAAAATTAAAATATATTAGATTTGGATATGTTGGTTTAGATAATAAGTAACCTTTCCTTCATATTATTATCTAGATTCAAATTCATAAAATGACCGAAAAGAAATAAGCATTTTTATAGATAAATTCTGATATTAGTAGTTTATATTATATGATTAGAAAGAAAATTAGTCTCAATAAGCAAAAATTAATCTAAAAATATCTTAAACTTTAAAAACCACTTAATATCTGAGCCAACATCTCAAGACTAACAAGATCCACTTAGTTTAATAGCAATCATAAAACATATTTTATTTTAAAATGAAGTGATCTCCACCGATACAAAAAAATTTTGGACTGTAGAAGAAAGTCTCTTCCAAGAAATCTCCTAAGGACCAAAAAATATCTGGGCCGAAAATGCATCCAACTCAGTTTCCTAATCCATCAAAATGTTTCCAAAATTCAAGTGGGGCCTCTTTCAAGCTCACCTAACCCAGTCAAAAGCAAAAGTCTACATTCAATCTCATTGCGTGCGATTGAATCCAGAAAAACCTGTTCATTTTGGCCTTGGATTTTTGGCTCCATTTCTTTGTCGACAGAAAAGCCTTTAGCACCGCCGCAATAGAAATTTAATTGTCGTCAAAACTCAAATATCATGCTTACAGGTTTCTGTCCGTTGCTTGTTTTTGTTTTCGTGTGATTTCTTTATAATGTACATAAACTGTTCGCTGACTTTCCTAAGAGAGTTGCTGTGTTTTATTAAGAAGTGAAAATATTTTCTTACCTCGAGATCTATACCGTAATATCAACCAGGTTGTTAGCCTTTGCTGATAAATGAAAAGAAATCATTCTGAACTCATAATTTAAAACTTTTTTGTCCTTTATGCTTCAAAAGGATTGTGATGAGCAATTCGATGAAAAGTTTAAACTAGCCATTTAGCGTACTAGTTTAATGAGCAATATTCAGTTAGATTTTTACTGATTTGAGCACGGCAAATACTTTGCTTTGTATTACAGATAAGTGGGTCTTTAAGTTTTCAATGATCTTTGCTTGTGAATAACAGGGTTGGCTTCTGGAGGTCACTTGCAGCCCAAATTTGTCAACTTGCAAAGATGCCACGTTCCTGGTAATTTTTTGTTTCTCTGTATTTCAGAATGTAATGTTCTTTTGTTTCTGCCTTCTCCAATTAGAACCCCACTTACCACGATAGGCTGTTAGTGGCCCAACAGGATTAAACCACAAGAGGACATTCGATTCCATGCTTCCGGTTCGTTGCATGTGCAATATAAATAACTCTTGTGTGGATACTTATTGAATTTCGAAATGAGATTTTGATAGTATATATTTACGAAGAGTTGAGAATGTTGGGTGTTTGAAGGTCTGATTGGGAGGGAACTGAACTTCTCGAGAATTGCATTTTATTCAAAGAGTAAAGTTACTTGCGTTTCCACCCCATCAGAGAAAGTCGCTTATACTCGTGAAGATCATGAAAAAAAGTGCCCTTTGGTTAAAATGTGTGGGATTACCTCAGCTCGAGATGCTGTGATGGCAGCAGAAGCTGGTGCTAATTTTATTGGGATGATTCTTTGGCCCAACTCGAAACGTTCCATTTCACTTTCAGTTGCAAAGGAAATTTCAAAAGTTGCAAGGGAATATGGAGCAGCACCAGTAGGGGTGTTTGTGGATGATGATGCAGACACTATATTGAGAGCTGCAGATGCTGCGGACCTTAAATTTGTGCAGGTATATGTTTCGGACTTTTGACTACTTGGTATGTTGTATACCATTTGTGTTTCTGTTTGATATTTTAAAATGCAGCTTCATGGGGAAGGCTCACGGGCAGCTTTTCCAGATTTGAAGGGACAAAACCGAATAGTGTATGTCCTCCATGCAAATGAGAATGGAAAGCTTCTAAATCAAATTTCAGATGAAGAATGTTCTTTGGTTGATTGGATTCTTGTAGATAGTGCAACAGGTGGCAGGTAAGAAAATGATTTACCTTCTCATATAGTTCGTCTATCATCTCCATTTTGCAAGTATGTGTTTTCTGTGGACCATCAATTCTGTTACTGAATGATTTGAGGCATTATGTTCCACGAACTCCAGGCTTAGGAACTGGATAGCTTTCGATGGACCAGCCTGATCCGAACTGAGTAGATATTGGAAACTTGTATGATGCCTGTTTTATCTAGGTCTAGACTGAAACTATCTCAAAGCAAGCTGACATGATTAAACTTCTATAGCAATTGAACTGAAACAAATAATTGTGTGAGTATGTTCAATTGGTAAAATTGCTTTGTTTCAGAAGTAGCTGTGGAAACTGAGATACCTGCAAGGCAATAAAAAAATAAAAAAATAAAAAAAAACCAAATTTTTTATTTTCTGAGCCCGCATGTGTATTTCACTTTTTCTTTGGTACTTCCAACTTATTTAAGATTTCTTCTTTAAGATCAACTTATGATCCTGTTTGTAGTGGAAAAGGATTTAACTGGGCACAGTTTGAATTGCCACCAATCAAAAGCAAGAATGGATGGCTCTTGGCGGGAGGGATTAAGCCTGAAAACGTTAGCGAAGCTCTTTCTATCCTCAAACCTCACGGTGTTGATGTTAGTAGTGGTATTTGTGACTCCGATGGCATTAATAAGGATCAATCACGAATAGCGTCTTTTATGAACGCTGTACATTCTGTACGCTATTGATTGATCATGAGGAAAAAGAAATCATTCCTGATTGCCTGACTTGAAATCTGATCTGCGTAGGCCATTATTATTAGCATCCCATTCTATGGAGTTAATCTATTTGAGGTGAATAATATGGATGGAGCATAGGTCGGTCTGAGGCTGAAATCCAAGCTTCTGAAACTGGAGGCAGCTCGAAGGTATTTTAATGTATCATTCGAACATTTTAGAATAAGGTCTTGAGCTTCTAACGAGATGTTACCAACGCAACAAATGTACTCCATGTGACATCTCATTCTTATCAAAAACTTGTAATGGTTGTTATTTTTTCACGGTTAGCACATATCAATAATGTAGTTTTCTTTTTTGTCCATCTCGCTATCAGAAATTCCTTGAGTCCTGAGTTGGTGGTTAGTGCATAATGGAACAAGAAGCATATCTGAGAGTGACATGATCAGATTCAAACAACGATTATTGCATAATATAACAATTGTTATATAATAATTTGGGAACACTTTATAACTATTATTTGATACTATATCAAGTTTTGTTGCTGTTTTATGTAAATAACGATGAATAACAATGTTATTATTATGTAACACTGTTATTTAGAAGGAAAAAAAATTCAGCCTTTGTAAGTTACAATCTTCCAATGAGATATATTGATTAATAAAACTATTAAAAATATATGATTTATAATAAATTTATCAACAACTGTTAACATGCTGACAATAATAATTGATATCATTGTTATTTTATTATTGTGATAAATTGTACTTTTAGCATCAGCTACAATTTGAAACTATGAGGATCTTTCTTTATATGCCATACAATTTTATTTTATTTTTTTGGATGAATTATGGCATGCCATTACTTTCCTTCTACCATTAGTCGTTTGCTAGTATATAATATCCCCGAGTTAGAGAGAGAGAGAGAGAGAGAGAGAGATATTATAAAAGCCAAAAGATGTGATTTTCTATCACAAATACATCATATGGTAAACAATTTGTGTCCATGTTGCAGCATATCTGGCTGAGATTAACCATCAGCGATATCTCTTATCAAATAAGAATGAGAAAAAAATGTGGGGCAGAATGTTGTCCCTAGTGGTTGAAGACAAGGTCGACTAATCATGAGAAGTTAAATGACTGGTCCCAAAGAATACTGCCTTGGTTGGCTTCACTTGTGATGCCGAGAAAAGTTGGCTTTTTCACTCTATTTTCTCTACTGCATTGAGCTTGGGATCCGTTTGATAATATAAAACATCCCCAGTGTCACTAACATAGTGATCTTGTTTCATGCTTCTTAGAAGTGTTCCCAATAAGTGGAATGGAAGAGTTCCAGATTTCTTTGGTTCTCGGTAATACTTCCCGAGTACAGGCTTAGCTGCTTCTGTCTGTAAGATCAAAATAAACAATCATTAGAACCAGAAGAAAAGTGGACCACTAAAACAAGGATAATAACAATTAAGGTGCAAAATATATTTGCACTTACTGCTTCAACTAAGTGGTAGTGCGGGATTTGAGGGAAGAGATGATGGATGACATGGGTCCCAATATCGTGGTGGATGTTGTTGATCCAACCATAGTCACGGTCAAGTGTCGTAAGGCCTCCTCTCAGATAGCTCCATTCCTATTGACAGCCAGAAAGCATAGACATTAGCTTAAGAAATTTAACACCACTAAATTTCATATCTTGTGGAAAAACAGACAATTTGATAGGAGAAGAAAAATGACTGGCTAAGAAGATTCATCTACCTACCTTTCCACGATACCAAGGAAGTTTCTCATCATGACCATGGTGGTGCAAGTAAGTGACCAAGTCCAACCACATAACAAAAATCTGCATTTATAGGCAAATTCCATAGCATGAATATAAGAACTAAAGAATAATTGACCTGTGGAAATTCTTAAACATGGTGAAGAGAGAGGTAAACCAAGAACTGAACCTACCCAATAGGGAATGCCATAGAGTTTAAGCATTTGGACAGGTCCCATTACAAAGTTTAAACAAACAAGCAATGCTGCCATTGCAGTCCAACAGGCAGTTGAGGTAATAACATCTTTCCTCTCAACTGGGACAAACAAATCACTGCCAGGATGGAAATGAGATCCCTTCTTTCCTGGACTTCTACCCCACTGTAAGGTCATTGAAACCCACATTAAATAACAGTTATGAGTCTATCAATAACACATCTCGTAAACCTAACTACTAGATTTGGTTAACCAATGTGCAAAAGGCTTACCAGATAGACAGGGTAAGCAAGCATAGGGAAAGGCAAAGTGAATCTCAATGTTCTTGTGGCATTATCCAAACTCCTGTAAATTTTCTCAGGCAACTGCAATAACAAATAGTTTACATCAGTGTGTTCCAAGTTTGAAAGCAGAAAAGCAAGATTGCTCGAAACAAAGAGGTCGCTATTCACAAAAACGCACTGGATGCCATGATTCGTCCTTCTCAACATGTCCATGGTTTTGATGATGGGTTCTGTGACTAATTCTCCTGCAGTAATAATCAAAGTTGCAAGTATATCAGATGGTATTAAACAGATAAATTGCATCAAAAACTAAACAGGAAACTGAAATACTTGGAATTTAGCAGTTATTGCAGGAACTAACCATCCATGATAAGGAACAAGGATTGAAGAATGAAGAAGATGACCCAATACACTATTCAGCTTTGGATTATTTGAGAAGCTCCCATGACCACTGCATAATTTATAGCGAAACACAATCCACGTTAGAAAAACAAGCAAATGCAGCTTTAAAACACAAGCAAAGCTGCCGATCCTTAATGTTAAAAAAGAATTGGCCATAAAGTTCTATATTGAAAGCAAATTAAAACAGACAATAAAATCAAATTCAAGAAACAGAAAACATGAAAAATTTACCAATCATGGCCAAGAACAAAGAGAGCCCAAAACATGGTTCCCTGAGCAAACCAGTAAAGAGGCCAAACAATCCAATTGTTTAAGTATGTAGCAACAGCAGCCAATCCAAAAACCACAGCAACATCTCTCACGACATAGCTCATTGATCTCCATGGATTTTTAACCCAACAATGTTTTGGTATAGCAGCTCTTATATCAGCTAAATTGAAAGGTGGTGGAGTACCAGGGTCAAAAAATTCACCTTCCTGTTCGTTAACACTATTAACGGTTTCTCTTTCTTTATCTTCCTCTTGACTTACTGGAACACTAACCGGAACAGCAACATTTAATGCCCAGTTTCTCTGTCTAGACCAACTCGAGACCTTGACAGAAGAGCCAAGATTGTAACTTTTGGAGACTGGCGGTTGTCTCAGCTTTAAAAGATTTGTAGTTTTTGATGTTAAGCCAGTTCTGTTTTGAGGGTAGATTCTAGGGAGGGGTCTTAGGCCACATTCTGTTAAAACCCAGCTAGCCATTGAAGACCCAGAAGCAGAGAAGGCAACAATATTCAATTCTTGCTATCAGATAAGAAGGAAAAAAAAATTGAATTGAAGCCTATGTAAAAAGTGAAAAAGAAAAGGTACAAAATTTGCAAAGGAGATGAAGAGATAACACTGGTGGATTCTCTCCTCCACTGCCAGCTATAAAAATCCCAACTTGTGCTTCTTGTTGCTTGTCCTCTCTCTTTTTAGTGCGTCCATCTACACACACGCACATATATATACTTGTGTATGTAACCGTGTTTATTTCCTGTGCCTCTCTGTTTAAACCTTGAAAGTTGATACAGATGCATTTTACTACTACAATTCGTAGTAGGTGCCTGCGTGCCTAATTGAACGTGGATTACGTAATATGAATGTAGTTCTCTTTCCTTTTAAAATTCCACTCGTTTACTTCTAAGATTCAAATTATCGAATGAAGAAATTTTTAGATATATTAATAATTTTTTTTACTCTTCTAGTTTAAATATGGAATCCATCATAATTTTTTTTATGTATAAATTCCATTTTTATATAAAAATGAAAAATATAACTTCCCAGCATAATGGATGATTACCTTGTACTGAAATTATGTTTAATTAAGCTGCCACTAGTTAGATTGATGGACTTTTGAAATAGTGGGATGATGTGTGAAAACGAAACTTGAATATTGACCCACTGTGTGGTTTTCTTTTCTTTTTGTGGAGAGTGGAACATCACATGTCTGAAAGGAGAAAACAGACTGACGTGGTCAAATCTGGTGTGTTGATTTAGTTGGTTTTGTCCAGGTCGTTCTCTTATGAAGTCGATTAATTTATTCTCTTTTTTCACTAGCTTTTCAACATAAATTTTTCATATGTTTCACGCAATGGCTATATTCCGTCCTATGGAGGAAAATACGGAAAATAGCCCACAGACCACAATTGGATTGGAAAGAGTTTGGTATATAACTTCTGTGTGCTCATTAGATTTTTCAGTTTGGTCTACTTTCTCCGACCACTTAGGTCAAGCAAACTTTTCATGCTGCATAGGTGAAAGTTGATAAAAAGAAAAAGAGAAGATTGTCAAATTTTTCAAGCAACACCAGTTAGAAATTATTCATATTCCAATCTTGTATGGTTCTACCAATACCTCATCTACACCATAAGTACAAACACGAAACTTTCTGTTTTGATTTTTGACCATATATTACCACAGAATCAAACCTAGAAAATGCATAAACATCCTATTCAGCTGCAATTGAAATCACTGTCACTAGTTTTATCGCGACACATGCAATAGCTTCTTAGTTGGACGTTTCCAAAGAATCGGTTTAGGTAGAAATGAAGAAAAAATCATTTAGAATTTCTGAGCAGGTGACGTAATGCAGGATTAACTTTATTTGTAGAAATATATTATATTTGGATTCAATTTAACTAGGGTGCCGACCATCCTACAAAATTAATTTACTACATTTTTTCGACCAACGAGCTTACCCCACAGTCCCATATTTGGCAAAACATACAAAGGGGCCCTAAAGAGCACCGACACCAACCTCTTTTTCTTTTATAATAAATAGTCAAATCTATCTTTATATAATTAAACAAATTTTCAATATATTCATACAATTTTATTTGTTTCTATTATATTTTTATATAATATCAAATTCTCTAATATAACATTCAATCAAGTTTTTTCATTCAAATTAATAAAATTATATTTTTCATTTCAAAATTATTCTTAAATTATACAGTATAAAATTTCTCAAAACTGTTCAAAATGTTCTCAACCATTAAATTTTTTGAAAAATAAAGATTTCAACTCTTTTTTTAAAAATAAAAATTATATTCTTATATTGATCAATAATAGTTTTAGCATGAAAAATATAATCATGTCAATTTGTGTAGAAAAACTTGATAAGAAAACATATAAAAAAATTATACATCATACAGAGACATAATAAAAATAATTAAAAAATAAGAACAAATTAGATACATAATCAATTATATAAGAAGATCCACCTACTGTCTTTTTTTTTTTAGTTTATTAATACTCGGTGAAAACGTGGGCTCATTATGGTCAAAGAGGAGGCAGACTTTGACCGTGCCCAATGGTCAAGGGTTAATAATATAACAATACTACGTCATAAACTGCTCATTCCAGCAGATGAAAAGAACATACGGTTTGAAAAAAATAAAATACGAAAGAACAAGACACAAATGAGTTGCTTTGACTACTCAGAATATACACGAATGGTTATATACACGATAAAAGTATCAGTCATCAAAATATGCAAAGAAGAAACCTGGCACGGATGGTGCCATCCGAAAACTCTAATAGATCATTAAGTATGGGCTTTCAGGGAAGCCAGACGAATAATGAATCAGACCACCACTTAGTGGCAACAGATTATCATATGTTCCACCATTTACGTTTCTCCATTTGCTTGGCAAGTTCACTTGCCATTGATGCAAAGTTTTCAGCCCCACTCTGCAACTCCTCCGTACGCTCACTAAGCCTCTGTTATGAATAATTCAAACGAGAAGAAAAGAAAAGCTAGGTCAAAGCAAATCACTACAAGAATTTATCCAATGTGTATATTTACAATTAGATAGTGTTAATCAAGATGTGGTGATTTAATAGGTCTCCTTGGCTATATCCGCAAAGTTCATACCTGCTTTTAGGTTATCAGACTGCCTGTTTCTAATTGTTTTGTTAAAGCCATTTCTAATGGAATTCTTTAAATGTCAAAGCAAGAAATTAAGCTTCGACATCAAGGCCAAATATACCCAGAGCACAGTAATTTAATATTTTACCTGTTTAACCGACTCCTCAGTCACACAATTAGATATGAAGGAGAAAAAAAAAAGAAGAAGAAACAAAGTATCATGCATTTAAGTTCACAGTCATACCTCCAATCAATTTATTAACAATTGTCATAATATTCAACCAGAGACTATTCAAAAATAATAAATTCTAACCTTATGGATTTCCAAGCATTTAGATCAAATAGGAGATACCATTAGTTAGGTTAAGATTGCAGCAATTATTTTGGGGGAGCTAATCAATTGTATTACAGAAATCATTTTATTAGGTTAGGTGCAACATCGGCTAGAACATTTCATGGATGGTTTTTAAAGGGGAGGCCAGATAGTCAAGTCAAGTAGGGCCTAAATTGTAGATCCAACTTTGGTATTATAATGACTTGCTGTTCAAAATCTAGAGTATTAAAGGCAACAAAAATTTCTTCCAGGAGACAGTTCATCCAATGAGTTCGTAAAAGGGAAACAAAATTAATTCTATTGCTACCTCAAGTTTTTCTTGGCGTTGCATGAGCTTGTCCTTTGCACGTGCAGCTGCAGAAGAGGCATCCTGGAAACATAAACCACCATGTCAGAAAATATATTATCCACAAAACATCAGCATTTTAACCTTTCATGTTGAATTACCTCCTTCCTATATTTAGCCTTAATTTCCTCAGCTGTTCTGAGCTTTGGCTGTGAATCAGTACTTCCACCTTCAAATAGTCTTTCCCTTTCGGTTCCCCTATCTGCAGAACAAGAAGAAGAATGGTTAGCATGAATTAGCAAATCTACCAAAGTATAAAAAGATTTGGGTTATGCCTTTTGCATCATTCTTGCTCATTTCAGATGAAGATGAGACAAATAGAGGTTCATCAATATCAATGTCATCTGCAGCAAACAGAATCACAGTCAGGAAAAGACCAGACAAGGAAATAGAGGAAGATTCTTGGAGCAGAGGGGTACAGAACCTATGCTAAGCTCCACAACTTTTTGGTCATCCACAAGGTCGATGGAAGGCTTTAAGAAAGGAGGGCTGGAAAATATGCTCTCTAAATGTGCGAAATTATTCTTACAAACTTCAAAAAGATCTGCATTGCGGTCTGCCTTGCTCCCTTGGAACCCCTTAGTCAAACCACCTAAAATACTGGAGGTAGTACCCTGTGGCCACAGAAATTATTAACACAATACCATAAATTTTTAGGGGAAAAACAGAGAGCCTGAAACATAACTTCAACCTGTGTTATCGTCTGATTGGGAGATAAACTGATAGTGGCATCAGCAGCAGCAGTAAGTAGTTTATCATGAAGGCAAGGCAACGACTCTGGAATCCTAAAATTGCCAAATTTTTGTAAAATTGTAAACTGTCTTTCCCATCAAAGTTCCAGGTCATAGGTAAATAGATAAACAACACACACACAAATGAGGGTGTGGAGAAGAGAGAAAGACCTGAAGTCATTTTCACAGGCCAAAAGAGATATAGCAGCAAATTCAGACCCATTTACCTATATTAAAAAAAAAATTAAAAAAAAATCACCAACCCAAGTTAGATATCAACATGCCAAAACTATAGTTGGTTTATGAGGCTTAAACATATATCAACACTTAACAAAAAAAGTAAACAGAAAGTTTATTTTGGATAGCTAAGCATGCATCGTTTATAAGTTCTAAATAAGCGAAATTACAGCAGTTCAATAATCATGGCAAGGCAGTCAAAAGTAAAGAATAGATGCAAGTCATAATTGATAAGTAAAAACAGCAAACAAGTTTCTTGTACGGCTACAAAATCTGAAAACATGAAATGGAGCTGCAGTATACAATACTTATATCAACTCCAATATTTTCATGTCATTTCCATCATCTTAGTTGATGGAGCTGTTCTGATTAGTTTGAACGTTATGCATCATTTATCACTCAATCATTCACGCCCACCTTTCATAACTCCTTATCCCAGAGCCTATAACCTATACAAGCATTAGCAATGATCTAATCAATCTCAAAGCTCTATTGATTAAATCTCAGCTTATCTCCCAGTCCTTGCACTAATAAGCATGGCTCATTGCCAATATAAAGAAAAAGTTTCAAGAAGGAAATCTTGAATGGAAGGCAGAAGAAAATATCAAGATAAAGTAAAAGAATAGCCGTCAGTTCTGTCTTTATTATCATATTTCGTTTTTTCAAAAAAGTATTTTGATTCATCTCAAGTGTCGTTCGTCTCTTGTTGAGCCAGTATGGAACACAATATCATGTTCACATTGGATGAAGACCCATTAAGTATCAAGACCAAGATATTAATATAATCAAACACGAAATATGTGCAAGACTAATTGTTAAACCCGTTTATTTCCTGCTTCTAAACCTGTCTTCCCTGCCCATTCAATCTGGTTGTAGCTGTTTTCACCAGTCATTTCAAGATCTATCTCAGTTTACTTAACCCATATAAATCTCATCTCAAAACACCCAAGATTCTTCTAAATGTATTTTAAAACTTAATTTTCCAGTGGATTCTCCTCATAGTTTTAGTTTTCATCGAGTTCATGGTGCCAAAGTGAGTTATAGATCTCTTTCTCTTGACCAACTGTCACAAACACCATAAAAGGAGGTAGAGGGGTGAGAGGATACTTTGCACTTCATTCCTGCAGAATGTATCAGATAGGCAAGAGCACAGCATATCAGCAAGTTTCATGTGAGTTGTCCATGGAATTTGCCCATCAGATTTACGAAATCTAAAGCTCCATTTGGTATGATTTTTGCAAATTGATTTAGGTTATTTTTCACTTTTGACTCAAAGAAAAGTCATAAATATGTTTGGTTAGAAATAACTTTACCTTAAAATAAAAAATTAAAAAAAAATTACAGAATTGAGTCCAAATTTTGCTTTGGGCAAAATGTAAGAATTTTTAACTTTTAACTTATTGATTTTACATCATACCACCTCCCTTAAAAAATATTGGTTCCAGTCATTTTTTTGCTCATCATACTTCCAACTCAAATTATTTTTTGTCATAAGCTATTTATGAAAGATGGCTTTTAAATTATGACTCAAAATCAATTGCAAGATTTTCTTTCTTCAATTTTTCAGAAGATGGTAAAAAAGAAAAAACACTAAGTGATTCAGAAGGTTGTAAATTAGGATCTGTGTGCTGGCAATATAAAATGATGAAAATAAATTCTGGCTGCAATTAAAAAATGCAACAAAAAAAATCTAACCAGAATAATCTGCGCATTTTCAGATGAACATATTGTCTTCTCCATATTAGTCTTGAAGTTCCACCTTAGGATTGACATTAAAGAGCTTTCTCCAACCACTTCAAGATCTGGTAAAGATCTGCAAACATAAATTAGCTTCTATGAGAAAACTGATTGCTTTGAGATAAAAGATATACTAAGATTCATTAGATGATCAATTTCCACTAAATGAGAGTTACAGTTACCTTAGAAAGCAAACGAAAAAATTTGCAACATCAATTAAACAAGAGAACTACAATGAGCGCTTTACCTTATTTCAATCTCTCCAGTCTGATAGAGTAAAATTACCCCACACTCTTTACCATCCTTCTTGAATTGTGTACTCCAACAGCATGGTTTCATGAGATTTACCTTTCGAATAGGATTATTGTCCACCTAAAATAAGAGAGTTTTATTACAAGGAAAGTGGAGATACAGATGGTGAAACCAAAGAATGAAACAAAGAAGGGCACCTCATTCGAAGAGTACAAATGCAATGCATCCTCGCAACAAAACAAAAGAAGAAAATTTTCTACTCTCTGCTTAAAATGGGCAGCTTTGGCAGAGGCCTCGTGATCAACTTTAAGTGGAGTACTTTCACTGCAAGCAACCGCCGGGGCAGATTCACTTTTAGCTTCGCTTTTCTGAGATGAATTAGATAAATGTTTTCCACTAGACATTTCAGAGATTAAGTCGTTGCCCTCTGCATAGAGAAAGTTTTCAGAAATCCATACAATTCGAAGGCAGCAAAGAAAATCTACTCTCTGCCCAGTTGGAAAAAAAAAATTACTTGCCTATAATATACATTGAAGGTGAAACCAGTTTCTTTTCAGATTTTACTGATTGGGAGCAGAGAATACCACCAGCGTTGCCATCTATGACAACAATATGGGCATCTTTGGTCATTGCAAACACTTCCGACCATGCATGATCTTCCATACTTTTGGATTCAGTGTCTTCTGGATTGTTTACTAAGTCACTAGAATCTGAAAACAATTTCACAGCCAGAGAATTGACAGGTGAACTGGAGCCAGATAAACTGTCCGTAAGAAATAAAACTGATGATGTACTAGTGTCAAGCATTGCTACCTGAAACATCAAATTGAAACATCAACTCTTGAAACTAATTCGGTTGATAATCATTACCAATTAACAAAGAGAGAAAAAAACTAAGCAAATGATTCCCACCCGGGCACAATGAAATCCAACAGCAAGTCTGGTTCCAAAATTTGAAAATTGCAGTGTATATACAGGAGAACTTAGGAAGGAAAATACAGCTGTACATTGAGGTCCATCCCCTTGATCCAGAGTGTAGACTGCATAGATATTAATTAATATGTTAAACTATAGACTGAAAAAGAAAAGGAACTTCAATCGTAGTGGGTTGATACATCAAGTAAGTAGCTTTGTTATCATTGCAAAAACAAAAACAAAAACTAATAGGCTCTCCAATTTGTACAGCATCAGTTGAACAATAAACACTTTTACTCGTTAGACTACCCATTCAAAATGAAACCACCATCTGATCCAAAGAAAGAAAAGCTCAAACCACGCCATATTTTTTAATGAGGACTGGCTGCATAGCACATGTTTGTTCTAAGACCAGTTACCAAGTTAAGAAGTATTGAACAATAAAAAGAATCTTCATAAAATAAATTTCTGTTTCAATCTTAAGAGAATAAAAACTATAATTATCCATGAATTCTTCAAATAGTAAAAATGAATTTAAAATAGAAATATGTAGCTGGGGTGGCTCAATTTTTAATCAACCAAGCTGTGCTGAATGCTGACGGTTCTGACGAACAATTAGATTGGTGAGCAAGAAGAATCCGTCTATCTTCCAATTATGAAACACTCCCCCAATTTCAATCCTCACAATGAGAAATGTAAGACATTCTTAATAAGCTGACCTATAAGTAATTGTCAACTACATTATGGTGAAAATAGTTGGCCAAAAGTCAACACCTCAAGTGCCATTCCTAGAGAACTAGGAGAGCTTGTAGAATGCCTCCTTCATGTTATTGAAAGACAGCAATGCTTTTCCACTACAAGTTATGTTACAAGTTATTGCAGATGAAACAGTGATATGTTGGCATGAATATTGAGTGGAAGAGGACTATCAGGGAAATACTACTTGATTTCACTGTGAAGACCTTATTTCAGAATGGAAATCCGAAACATACAGGTGAAACTAAAAGTTTTGGAGAGACAGAATGGAACCACAGGCAACTGGCATACAAAACGAATGCCAGCTACTAGTATCGTATATAACTTTTTAGACCCATCTAGAGTCACAAAACCAGCTTCTCGATTATTATCTAATTGGTAGTAGTTCCTCAACCAAGTTCTCAAACCCAAGCATCTGAGACCTTTCTGCAATTTTTCTAAACAAAATTTGGAAGTAAATAAAGAGAGATATCTTTATACAGATAAAAAGTATACATAGGGTCATACCCTCTTTTTCAGTTTCCGTCACGAACTTCAAACTCATCTCATCAGCATTCCGTACAAGCTTATATAGTCGAACCTAAATGCTCTCCAAGAGAAATAGAATCACTAAAGCATTAAATCTGAGTAGTCATAAAGTAAGCACTTGAAAAAAAATAAAAATAAAAATTGATAAACTCTTACCATACCACGCTCATTGCCAATAGCTAAACTTAAGGTATGCGAGCAAAATTCCAAAGCAGATACCGATGCATTAGCATCAGCAACATTGATACCTTTGACCTGTGCATTACGCAAATTTTGGGTTATTGGTTATTAATTTTAATTCAACAATGGATGCCATGTTTATGGAATTTGAAAATGAAAGTTACAAAATTGTAAAAGTACTAACCTCAGGTCCCAAAACATAAACAAGTGCAAACGTTGGATATGTGGCATCCCATATTCTTACAGTTCCATCTTGGTAACCTGCTATATATAATCTCTCAACCCAATACTTTTCAGCATCATGAGGTTGGCTAGGAACTCCACCAGTCAGAGGCCAATTTGTACTTCGGGGACAATGCGTTGCTTGAAGTTTTCTAGCAGAAATTATCTATAAAAAAAATGAGAGAAAACATTTTTTTTTTAACTGGAAAACAAGTTACTAAAAGTTTTGCAGCTGAAACAACTCAAGTGTCTCCTTGGTTGTTGGAAAAATTTATAGGAAAATGCTTGTGAAAACAAAGTTGAAAAAACAACACAACTAACATGTTTGGTTTCTAGAGAAGTTTGTATAAAGTAACTTTATGTTTTTTTCCCTATTAAAAGCAAGATAAGATATGAAGGAAACTAGAAACGTTCATTTTTAATTTTTATTTGGATAGGCAGTTCTCACCAGAACTCGAGCCAAGAGAACCTATGGTGCAGCTGGGTGCATATCGCCCTGGTACTTCAATGGGATTCCAATGAAACATTTCTTGTGGAAAAGTATTTTTTGTTTGGAACAATTTATATGCTAAATAGCCGAGCACATACAAGTGAAGGAAAACCATTTAAGATTTTAAAATTCCTTTTCCTGTCAAGCAAATGGAATCTATACATAGCCACTGGGCTGTGATTAAAAAAAATCAAAAAAGAAATACCTCAGAAAGGGCCTCTGAGAACTTCCCATCTCTAAAGACCAGACCAAGTTTTGCCAGAGTCAATTGTGGTTCAATAGTAGGTATGACCATAGGGTACTGTATAGAAGATACATAATTCTTTTTCTCCTGCAGGGACATCGATGAAGACAAGCCAGCATCATTATAAAAATGCAGCTGTCCTGGATTCGTTAATACCAAAGTGCCAGAAGTTCCCATAACACCACCACTTGGTAAATGAACCATATCAGCAAACGAACCATTAAGAGTGAGATCAATACGCCCGGTGCATTTTAGACTTTCTATCCCAAATGACCAATCAAGGCTCAAAATCTGTGTAACATAGAGATGTGTTAATACAACGTTTGCACCATCTAGACTTAAATATTGAAAAGAAACATTGACAGATCAGTTGTTGATCCTTAATGGATTTTTAGTTACTTAAATTCTTGTGAATTCTGATATGCTATACTAATAGGATAAAAAATGCAACATCCTCGTGAAAAAGGAAACTATCGAGTGCTAAGCCATTTTAGCTTCTGTTTTAAAAGAGTTATCGTTCAGTCTAAAGATACCCTCCCTCATCTCAGATATGTATTCAGATATTAAGGATATACTATGCGACTATTTTTTTCCCCTTTTAAGCAGAAAATAAATAAGCTCCTATCTCACATCATTCATGAAATGTTTCTTAAATCCCCAATTGGGTGAGACAGGGCACCGTGCTAGGTTTTCATCTATTGGTATGAGAAAATATATATAAGAAAAGAAAATACTAAATTGTAAGAAAACTAATCCTAGTTAGAAAGCACACCGTTAGAACTTCTTCAGATCCAATTGCATCACCACCATAGACAAAGAGATGGCCACGACACTCATTATGTGATCTGTGTACAGACCAATGCAAAACAATGACAGGGAGTCTTCTGTCAACTGTGGATAACTGCAGCTTAACAACATCGTTTGATGATTTTGCAGCATGCTTATCATTAGCAGAAGTTGTACTTGATAGGTTCCACAACAATATATCTCCATCAACATAACCAACGGCAAGAACCGACCCATCAGTAGATGCCCAACAGAGGGCAGCTATCTCTTTCTCCAATGGCTCATAGTCTGATATATCATCAGAAAACTCATGTCCCATGTCTTTGTGAGAATCAGCCGTTATTTTACATTTCAATTCAAGATGTTTATTCCCTTTAACTAGAACAGCTTTATCTTCAGAAACATCCCAAAGAATAATCAATCCATCCTCATATGCAATCAACACTCTAGAAAGAGACAGATTATTTGAAAGGCATGAGAACAGCATAAAAGAATTAAAAGATACATGCACAGAACTTCAAAAGTGTTGTAAATATAGTAAATAGATACTTACATGTTGTAACTATAGCAAGTAAATACATAATTATAGGAGTAATCATAGGAGTATCCTAAATAGGGTAGCTGTGTATATACATATACATACATACATATATATATGTGTGTGTGTGCGTGCGCGCACGCGCGCTGATCTCTTCTATAATGAAATACAAGAGAATTCAATTTCATCTCTATTTACATGGTATTGGAGCTGCTGCCACTGTTGCCCTAGTGAGCTACCATTTTTTTTTCCTTGTCACTGCTGCTTTAGTGTGCCGCCACTGCCTTGTTGCCCTTTTTTCTTTTTTTTTTCTTTTTTTTAATGACTGATGAAACAGAGAAGAAAACTATGATCTCCGATGTTGTTATTACAACAACAAAGATTAGAGAACATAAACTCAATTGACGGAATTTTTTAGATTGGAGTAAAATGGTGCGGGTGTACCTCCGGAGTATTGATCAAGACGGTCATCTTACTAATGATCCCCCAACTAAAGATTTGGAAACGAACGCTTGGTTGAGAGCAGAAGTAGATTTGCAAATTCAAAACTCAATAAACAGGGAGGTAATTGGTCCGGTTAGCCACTCGTGAGTTTGTCAAAAGATCTTATGGATTATTTGATATTTTTATATTCTGGTAAGGGTAATATTTCTCATATTTATGATGCATGTAAGGAGTTCTATTGTCCTAAAAAGCGGGACAAAACCCTTATTGAATATTTCATGAATTTCTAAGGGCAAGCAAACAATTAAACGGTTTGGTTTTATACAAATTTGGTTCGGTTTTCGCTTAATCAAATTAAGAAAAACCAAAACCGAACTGAAATAAATTCTGTAAGTTCAGTTTGAAACCGAATTATTTCGGTTCGGTCTCACAAAAATTCTGTTTTAACTAAAATATTTTTTTTCCAAGTATTGGGAATACATTAGGAATAAAATTAAGAATTGGGCATACATTACAAACAATTTTATAAATATGAAATCGAATTGGTTATTTAATATGTTAAATCGAAATTTGAATTGGTTATTTAGTGATTTTAAACTTTATGAAATCGAATTGGTTATTTAATATGTTAAACCAATTCAAGTTTCATAAAGTTTCATAAACAAATTTTGTTTTTTTTTTTTTTAAGTATTGGGAATACATCGGGAATGAAATTAAGAATTGGGCATACATTATAAACAATTTTACATAAATTTAACCAAATTTTTTTTTAGTTTTTACTTTCAATATATCTAGTTTTCAGTTTTAACTGAATTTTTTTTTCAAAAACCGAACCGAATCAAAATAATTTCGGATTGGTTTTTCGGTTAATCGGGAATTATGCTCACCCCTATGGATTTCAAATGGGTTTATAAGGAGTTGAATTCTCTCCTTCTTCTGGTACTGTTGTGAAGGCTCAACGGTCTCAACATTAGCAAATGGCCGTCGTGAGTTTTCTTGCGGGTCTACCACCCAAATTTGATGCTCGCTCACACACAAATCCTTTTTAGTCAAGAAGTTATCTCTCTTCATGACACCTTCACTAGAATATTACGTACGGAGACATCTCAACCTTCTTCTAGTAGTACTAGTGCCTTTATTAGCCGAGGTAGTTGGAATGACGAAGGTCAAAGAGGTAGAAATGGCAAAGGTGGTCAACATAATTCTGGTTTTCAAGGTAGTAGGATTGGTAATTATGGAAATGGCAATCATGGACAAAATGATCAAAACAGACCAATAACATGCTATTTTTGTGGAGACCTTGGTTGTACAAGACGTAAATATTGGAAACTTCATGGAAAACCTTCAAATTCAGTTAATGTTGCAAATTTTGCAACGCAAGAGGCTAGTCATGCCATTTCCTCATCCGAGAAGTTTATAATGGTGTCTCGCCGATGACTTTGCTCAATTTACTTGATATCAATCATTGCTAAAGTATTCCAACCCACCTATCGCTATCGGTGATGAAACGAGATAAACCCACTACATGCCTTGTGTCATCCTCTTCCAAATGGGTCATTGATTCAAGTGCTATAGATCACATGATAGGTAATACGAGATATTCTCTCCTCCTTTGTTTCACTCAAAAATCTTCCTAATGTCACTTTGGCTGATCAATTATAAGAATTGGAAAAGCTCTTCCTACTTCATCTCTCCCTTTGTCATCCATCTTATATTTACCCAATTTTTTATTTAATCTATCGTCAGTTAGTAAAATCACTCGAGCTCTTAATTGTTGTGTCTCATTTTTTCCTAACCATTTTGTATTTCAAGATCTTACGTCGAGGAAAATTATTGATAGAGGATGTGAGTTTGGCGAGGTTGTATCATCTTAAACTATACCACAACTTATTGCTTGTTCTAGTATTATCACACTTCTTAAGTTGCATTGCTCATTGGGGCATCCTTCTTTGTTTATTTTAAAGAAATTGTTTCCTCGCTTCAAAATTTATCTTCTTTAGAATGTAAGTCACGTCGGCTTGCTCAACACAATCGTGCGTCGTATTTTCCTAGGGTCAATAAACGGGTTATGTCACCTTTTGAGTTGGTTCATTATGATGTTTCGAGTCCTAATCCAATGACTTCTACAACTGATTTTCGGTATTTTGTCACATTTATTAATGACTATTCTAGTGTTACTTAGTTATATTTAATGAAAAGTAGAATTGAATTGTTCTCTATATTTTGTGCTGAAATTCAAACTCAATTTAATGTTTCGAGTACGTATTTTGAGAAGTGATAATGCAAAAGAGTATTTTTCCGAGTCGGTCAATACCTTTATGACACAAAATGGAATTTTACATCAATCATACGTGTTGACACACCACCTCAAGATGGTGTTGTTGAACGAAAGAACGGACATTTACTAGAGGTTGTTGAGCCCTTCTTTTACGGATGAAAGTTCCTAAACAATTTTGGGTTGATGCTATGTCTACGAGTGTTTCTTAATCAATTGTTTGCCCTCCTCTCGTTCTTTTTGGTGATACTCCTCATTCTGTTTTATTCCCTTCTCGGTCCTTATTTTCGATAGAACCTCGTGTCTTTAGGTGAACGTGTTTTGTTCATGATGTTAATCCCAAAGTGTCTAAGTTAGGTCCTAAAACTCTCAAGTGTCTTTTTCGGGTATTCTCATCTTTAGAAAGGTTACAGGTGTTATTCTCCTACTTTGGGTCGTTATTTGATTTCGTTGATGTAACATTTGTTTACACTACTTCATTTTTTCATGAACCTACTATATATCATTATGAGGGGAGGAAGATGATATTCTAATATATACTCGTGACTACAACTACTAAATTTCATATACCCATTAAGCCAATTATCACCCAAGTTTACTCTCGGCGTACTCGTCCACGAGACCCACAACAAAATCAAGACTCACATCCTTTGCTAGCTCTTCCCTCTATAGATCTTAGTCTTGATCTTCCAATTGCTCTTCGTAAAGGTAAACGACAATGTTCTCATCCTACATCTTCAATTGCTTTTTATGACCACTTGTCTCTTTTTTTGCGTTGCTTTATTGCTTCGTTAGATTCGGTGTCTACCTAAAATGTTACATGAGGCCTTATCCCATTATGGTTAGCGAATTGGTATAGCGGAGGAAATGATGGCTTTAGATGATAATAATACTTGGGAATTAGTGCATCTCTCAATAGGTAAACATGCTATTGGTTGTAAATGGATGTATGTTGTCAAAGTTAATTCGACGAGTTCCGTGGCTTGTATCAAAGCTCAATTAGTTGCAAAAAGATATGCTCAAACATATGGTATAGATTATTCTGATTCTTGTTCTCTCGGTTGCCAAACTTGCATTTGTCCGTTTGTTTATATATCTTGCTACTACTAATGATTGGCCCTTACATAAGTTAGATGTCAAAAATGCTTTTCTTCATAGTGATTTGCAGGAAGAAGTCTATAAGGAGCAACCACCAAGGTTTGTAGCTCAAAGGGAATATGAAAAAGTCTCGTAAACTTCGAAAGTCTTTGCATGGGTTAAAGCAGAGTCCTCATGCTTGGTTTGGGCGTTTCAAGTGCAATAACTCAAGAATTTGGTATGAAAAAGAGTAATTGAAACCATACTCGTTTTCTACCAATGATTGGAAATTAGTATTATCTTGTTAATTGTAAATGTTGATGATATTGTGATTACTAGTGGTGATGATGTCGGTACTTTAGCCCTTAAGTTTTTTCTCCATACCGCATTCCAAACAAAAGACTTGGGTTTATTGAAGTATTTCTTAGGCATTGAAGTTACTGAGCCCAAGAAGGGTATTTTTCTTTTTCAAAAAAAGTATATTCTTGATCTACTAAAAGAAACTGAAAAATTATGAGTTAAACCTTCTAGTGCACCAATGGCTACTAATCTATAGCTTACAACAGATGATGAGTTATTTGTTGATCCCGAGAAATATCGTAAATTAGTTGAAAAACTAAATTATCTCACAAGTAACTCATCCTAACATTGCATATCCTGTTAGTATTGTGAGTTAGTTTATATCCTTTCCTCGAGTTACTCATTGGACAGCATTAGAACAGATCTTATGTTATCTCAAAGGGGCTCCAAGGCATGGTTTACTCTATAGTAATCATGGCCATTTTAGTATTGCGTGTTCCTCCTATGCAGATTGGGCTAGATCTAAGATTGACAAAAGATTTACTACGGGGTATTGTGTCTTTGTTGGTGGAAATTTGGTGTCATAGATAAGCAAGAAGCAAAATATTATGTCTCGATCTAGTGTACAATTGGAGTACAGAGCTATGGCACAATCCACATGTGAACTTGCGTATTCCTCAAGAGGCCAGTATCCAATCCACATGCCTCTAGAAGCATAGAATTATAATTTATGAATAGAAATAGGTCGGCTGCTGGTGCATAGAGATAAATCATAACAACCAACTCAACATATTGAGATGCAAGAGAAGAAAACCAATATTTTTGTTAGAAAGAAAAGAAAAAAAAAACACAAGAGGAAGGGAACTTCAAGCAAATCTTGTCTTACTTGTTTCCTTGAGAAGAAGGCTGGGGCAGAACTCCTACAACAGAGCGATTTTTAGGTGATGACATCCCAGATGCATCTGCAAAAATAAAGCAAATGCTTGGCACTAATTGGCACGCATGGTAGCACAGAAATAAATAGGTAAATGCACGTAAAGAAGAGAGATGGAGACATAAAGATTGGGGGTAGGGGGCGGAGGTCAAGGCAACAAATTAAGGCAAAAATTAACACAACCCCAGTTTGCAACTATGCTAAACCAATTATCTATCCAAAAAGAAATTAATACAAAAGGTCATCCTTCTACAAGTATGGAGTAGCAGTAAATAAAAAAACTAATGCAAAAGAGGTTTGAAGAGAAAATGTTCGCTTAAACCTTATCAAACCTGACATAAAATGAAATCATTACCTGCTGCTACATCTGCAGGAACATGATATGGCATAGGTACAAGTTTAACTTCTTCAGCATCATACTTTAACACATAAACCATCCCATACTCGTCCCCAACATACCTGAGGTGATGATATGTAGCAATGATTAAAAGAAATACACCAATTTTTCACATGCTTTTTCTGACAATAAATAAATGCCAAATGGAAATGCAATACAGTATCACCGTTTCCATACATGTAACTTGAGCCAAAAATAACAGAGAACGTTGTTATATTGGACTCCCATTGTAAAGAGGAAGCAATTCGTCTTTGCTCTAAATCCCAAACCTGCCAATACCGATAGCCTATTAACACACTAGGTATATAATTCCTAGTACTAGAGCTTGCATAGCTACAGGAACCATACCTGAATCTCATTTTCATTTGACACGCTGACTAGGAAACCTTGATTTTGCAGAAACTGTCAAAAGATACAACAAATGGATCCATAAATCTTCCGATAATTGATAAATAAAATAAAAAAAGGATGACAAATAGATTTGTTGAACCATATAAAAATCATTTCAGTTTCCAAAGATAGAGGCATTCGACAAGCTTATTTGCAGGCAACTCATTGCATGAAATTATTAATCGTACCCCTTCTATCATATTCGAATAACCAAATTACAAACCATGTAGAAGCAAGTAAACAGCATGTATGAAAAAAAGAAATGGGGAGAGATTCTGACAAGAAAAGATGTCTATACACAGAATATTCTTATCTGTTGAGCTTTAAATAATCAAGTAGGCATATGCAACTGATATCATAAATTACCAAAGAAAAGAATTAGGAAATAAATAAAAAAACCAAACGACAAGGAGAAAAAGCAGCAAAAATTGGCAATCCACTCTCCACATTTGAGCTTACAAACCTCCAAGTATTTAAAGGGTACTTGCTTTGGAGAGACCAGAAGTCCTTCAATGTTATCACCACCAATCACTTTTATTCTTCCATCCCTGCACCGATTAAAGAACCAAAAAAAAAAAAAAAAATCAGCAAGAAACCTCGTATAAACCTCCTATTGATGCCTTCTAATGCTTGCATTTTAACTTTTCCAGCTTCTCTGCTAATCACTCGATATTCAAAATATGGAAAATGCAAGCCATTCCATTCAATAAATCCAAACTCTTGGTTCATAAAACACCAAGAACATACTTATTTAAAAGAAACTAAAACAAGCAAGGTAATCGCGCAGTAACTGGTCAATATTCAAAGATTGTTATGAATTGGAAGAAAAATGTAGACTCACAGTGTTCCAATTGCTAAAAGGCTTTGAATGTGATCAAAAGCTAAAATAGACGAGGTAGAAGGGATCCCGTAGTGAAGAGCAATCCGCGGATTTATATCTTTAGGTGTCAATACTCCTTTTGAAACATTATCCTGCACCCGATTAAATTAGCATAATCTAAGTCATTAATTCCAATAATTAGCAATTATCCAGTAAATTGAATTTGTGAGAAAACTTATTTTAGTTTTTGTATACATAGATGACATTTCCTTTGATTAACGAGAGTAATACATGAATCGAAGGATTAATTTGATAAATCAAACCAAAATGTTGTTCAGCAACCGAATGTATTGCAAAAGTAAAAAGAAATCAGTACCTCCGCAGGTCGTGGTGTTTGCGGCTGCGGTGGTGATTGTTGCTGAGGTGGAGCTGGTTGTTGTTGTGCGGTGTTTTTTTGAAAGAATTTGGAGAACATGGTGGATCGACGAGGGAGTGAGCTGCTCTTTCTTCGTTTCGAATCAAATTATGATATAATGATGGAAATGACGATTATGAATTGATGATCGGGGGATTTGCATCGGAATTATTTATTTATTTTTTGTTAAGATGAACGGTCATAGAGCTGATGACTGGTTGGTTGGTTTGCTTCTTTGTTAGGCGAAGTTTTGCCACGTAAGAAAGTGGGAGCCCACAGAGAGAAATGGCCTGATCCACTGGTTAATATCTCAGTGATTCCCATTTTGTCCTACATTCTTTCGGATTTTAACAAAAACAAAATCGACATCCCGGGATAATCTTACTAGTGATAATAAGTTAAATGTAGAATTGAATGAAAGTTGTTAATCGAAGACGAAGTATAAAATGGAATTATTGTTCAACAAAGGATTTAGGATGCGGAGCTGAAATTGGTTGGCTTGACTTCGTATTTTTTATAGCTTTTGTCTTTTCAATTGCCATTTTGCGTGACAAAAGCATGTTGATTTGGAGACATCAGCTAATAACATATTGACAAATGGCTTAAAGAGAAGGAGACTGAAAGGAATAAGAATATGATTCTTTTGATGCCGAGGTCCCAAAATTTGCCAATCCACCCAATCTACTATCTTCAATTCTCCCAAAACCATGTAAGAAACGGGAAGGGTGGAGAGAGGAACATAGCATTGAGCATTGAACATTCCACAGTCCACATACGGATGCATTTATTTGAAAATTTTGTATCTTTTGTCTGGATAGGAATCTTATCAAATTATTTTATATCATATCTTCTTATGTTAAAAAGAAATTATTAAATTAAAAATAAACAGTTTTGATTTTAGTGCGTGTAAAATTTTAAAACCGACAATAAATAAATTATTTATAACTTTTTTTTTAGTATAATTTAAATTATTGAATTCAAAATTAATATTAAGATTTAAAACTTGATGCAGAGAGAGCATGAAAAGATTTAAACACCTTTTTCTATATATACGAATAGGCTTTACATGCTCGAATGTTTCTTATAACATAACAAGTGGAAGTTGGGTATTGTGCAGTTTTTTTTTTTTTTTATGGGAAAAAATGCAAGGGAGGAACAATTCCAACCTAGCCAAATAAACTTGGAAGACAAGGAGACCTAACCTCTGAACACAAAGCAGCACTTATATTTTTTTAAAAAAAGTTAAGGAAGCTGAACGTAAAGTGCCTAATCAAAGAAACGAACGCTACATTTTTTAATTACTAACCATAACAGAAATCAGATAAACTAATTGATACCTGATCGATAATTGGATAAATATATTCTATCATCTGAAATCACCCTGCAACAAGACAATAGTAGATCATGTATTGCAAAAGTGGTCATGTTTGTGTGATAGAGAAAAGCCTAGTCTGCAAGCCTGTCCTCCTATCATGTTTCCCTCCTTGCAAGCCAGTCTGCAAAACAACGGTAGATCATGCATTGCAAAACGGTATTATGCTGTTAAATAACAAGATTTTTTAAATGAACATGACATAAAACAGGGATGATAAGAAGATCTTATGATAACACAGTAATGCTAATTAAGGCTACGATTTTTCAGTGGGAACAATCAACATTCATATTAATTCCAATTGGAAACTGATCATTCCTTAGACGCTGATGGGAATTTCGCTTGGGATATTGATGTTAGATGATCTTGTTGAGCTCCAAGCCGTTAGACAAGGTCTCTTATTGCTTGGGATATGGGCTTTCAATTAATGGTTCAATTGGAGACTGATTCCTCCTTAGACGTTGTGGGAGTTATTGATGAAGCGATTGTATATCTTAATCCCTGTTATTCCATCATTGCTGATAATCAAATCTTACGTCAAAGATGTTGCAATGTTTTATTCAGAACTCTAATGAAACCGTTGTGCAGATTTCAAGGCCAAACTTGGAGTTTCCGGTAACTCTTCTTTATAGGTTTGATATGAGCTTCGTCTCCAATAACTTAGTTTCTTTGCCTTCTCCCAACAATAAATAAATAAAATAAGAATTCCAACTTACAATATTACAACGTGCATACAAGAAACAATAACAAATACGTTCTTCTCAGACTCTTTGACATGCATTCCCAGTTATCATAAAGCCAACTGAGCCAACAAGTTAGTTGAGTAGTTTTTGTTAAAACGTCTACCAAAAAAAAAAAAAAAAGGATGAAAAATCAAGCATGACAAATGTTCGTAGATAACCAAGTCAAGAAACATCATTGATTTACAGTCATATTCAATCTTCCTTTAAAGTGCAGCTACTGATCCTAACAAGTCCCAACTCTCTTCCAAATTTTTTTTCCGTGTGTAAATACCTTTTACTGTGATTTATCGAAATTGGGCAAAAATCTTGCTTGGATCATTCCATTTGAAGCGTGCTATTATTTATTATGCAATTCATTTTGAGTCTTAATTGGGAGTTAAAATAATCATAAGTTCTCCTTCACGGCCATGTCATGATAATGATAACAACAGCGGCACTAGCTTTGGATTTCTTAGGTTGTTTTATATTTGTATATATATGGTTACCATCCACGTGGGATAGAGGTCCCTGCTTTTCATGCTTTTGGGGAATTACCGCAATAGACCGGGGAGTCAAAATGGGCATGGCATGGCATGGACACAGAGAAAGACATGTCACGGCCCATGATTCATCACCTCTTCCGCAATATCAATACAGTCAGTTCATTTGGACATGCGGTGGTAATAATATTTACATGAAGTTGATTTACCTATGAAACTTCACATAAGAGCATGTCTCTTTGTGTAGGCACAAGAGTAATATATTTATGGTTTTTTTATGACATACATTATACATTTTGTACCTTCGATAAATGAACAGCAAAGAATAGTTTAGTGCACCCGTGAAACCCGAACCTGCTACCACCAGAGGCCCGCAGCTTTCCTCGCAACAATCCGACAGTCTGCCACCACTATAAGAAAAGACCACCGGTTGGTTGGAGTTTTAAAAACAATGACAAACATTTCACGAATTATGTAGATATTCCGGTCTCCAAATGAATAGGTCGTTTTGATCATTATATTCCGTAAGAGTTTCTTGTAGGATTATTGTCAGTGAAAGATCGGGTCAAATATAACCCAATTCGATTCCATAACAGTTACATCAAATTTGTTAAATTTCGTGGTAAAATTCCATTGCAAGTATTTGAGATTGATTATAAATTGGTTGGTTCTTTTTTTTTTTCATTTGAAATTATTCAATAAATCCAAATAAGGAGATGTGATGGGAGAATTAAATAGCTGGCTAATGCAGTATGCCACAAAATCGAACCTAAATCTTGACTAGTTTCATGCAACTAAGTTTATGTAAGCTTTTCTTTCTATTTTTTCCTCTGTATACTTGCCAAAATATTAATATCACTTATACTTATTTATTTTTACGAATTAGATGTAACATATTCAAAATTCAAACACGCCCGACACCTTATTTAATCAATCACACACCAAAAACAGACATAGGCCCATCCAATATCTCCTGTCAACATTTGCTCTCTTTTGAAATCATATCCCATACAAACACCATTAGGGGGAAAAAGAAAAGAAAAGAAAAAAAGTCACTAATCTCTGTTCCACATGTGAGAAAGCAAAACCTCGACACACACGCGTGACAGACAACTAACCTTCACACATAAACAAACGATACATTTACACAGTACTTGAATATTTATCGCCCGTTTTGACATCAAGTCCTCTTCAGCTCTTGATCAGCAACCAAAACATCTGCTGAAAATGGACAACATCACGGCAGCTCCGCCTCCAACACCATCAGCACAATCAAACAGCCACCTTGGCACGTCAGCAGCGTCTGCAGACGCCCTCTCTCGTCTTCTTCACCGCCTCCCTCCTACCCTCTCCCTCCCTACTCGTCTTTCCACTGCTGCCACGTCTCCCCCTCTCATCTCTCTCTCTGACCCAAACCTTCAAGACCTTTTATTCTCTGCATCTTCTCAACTCGGTTTCTTTCAACTCACAAACCACAACATCTCTTCCCAACTCGCTAAGTCAGCCGAGTCGGAATCTCTTTCTCTCTTTGAACTCGGTAAAGATATAAAAGAATCGTACTTTCCTAAAAACTGGCCTCTGGGTTTTGAAGATGATGAAGATGGAAACGGCGAGTCGTTTTGGTTGGACGCCGAGTGTTCCACCGTGTCAACCGAGTTGGTTTTAGCTTCCCTACGTGAGCTAACTCGGGCTTTAGAGAAAGTGGGGTTGGAGGTAATTGAAATGCTTTCAAATGGAGTGGGGTTTGAGAATCCCGCAAAGGAGGATCCGACCCGTTACTGTTCTTTTTTATGGGTACATGATGGTTTGGATGGGAATGATCATAAACCTGGTCTGTCCGGTGGGTCTTATCCCTATATAGTCGGGTTACGGTATCAAATTCGATGCCAGAAATATTCGATGTTAACAGATTCAGGCTGGGAAACTGTGCTGCCACAAGTGGACTCAGTTATGGTCACCATCGGCGACATTGCTCAGGTGAGCTTTAACTAACCTCGTACGTAAGAGTATAATTTTAAATTGGGTCAATCGCTGTAGAATTATTTATTTATTTATTGTTTTTACAGTGTATCTTTATTTTATTTTTTTCATTTTAAATTCGTTTGGTTTTTGTTTTAATCATTTTTTAGGATAAAAATGTTAAATCCCATCGTTATCCTCACAATATTTGTATTTTTTAAAAAAGTTGTGTTCCTACACTTTTTATTATAGAATTTAAATAAATAATTTTTTAAAAGAAACAGGGAAAAAAGAAGAAGCAAAGATGCATCCGCTATTTTCTAAAAAAAAAGTGAATATAAAAATATTTTTTAAAAAATCTATAAATATTTTATTTTATATTCAAATTTTATTTGCTATGATAAAGGGAAATTTATATTTTTATCTTTATTTTTAAAAAATACTATAAATATTTTATTTTATATTTAAATTTTCGGATAAACTGAAATCAGAAAGTATATTTTGGATTAAAAAATATTTTAATTTTAATTTTTTAAAAATCTTTTTTAATAGAATATCATATATATTTTCAATTTTTTTAATTTTTAAAAATTTATTTATTTAAATCTGATAAAAATAAAATAAAAAGACAGGATTAAGACAAAAAAAAAACTTGATACGTTCTGAAATTTTATAGGACTAACAATACTATTGAACACATTTAGCAAGTTAACGAATGATTACTATTAAAACAAAACAAAAATTAAGGTAGAAAGGCAAACTTTAGAAAAAATAAGAAAAGAAAAAGAATACTAATAAAAAAGAATAGTGGAACTCCTGCAATTTTATTAACTCATTTTAAATTACTACCGGTAATTCAGTTTTAAATTTGACGTGGTTCGTGATTCCAATTGAGTCTAATTATGGGTCGGCTGATCTTAAGTAAATGGTCCAAGTGGACCATACTTTATTAAAAGTTAAAGGCAGCTTGGAAGAAGCAGATGGCTCAAACTTTTGGGTAACTCTTTCATAATTAAATATCTAATTTTGAATTTTTGTGCCAATGATTTGAGCTACTTGGACCAATTATTCTCCGTTACTTTGATGCCTGAAAAACATAAATTTTAGGCGGCAGCACGGAGTTAGACCTGCCTGCTGCCTGGCTTGTGGGGATGGAGCTTATGACAAGAACCCGTAATTAAAGGGTTTGATGACTCAAGACTCAAGAAAACAAGAGGTAATGGGTTAGGTTGGAATGGACCAGCGTGAGCTCCCGCTCAAGTCAAATATAACTTGTTTAGATTTTTTTTTTTTTTTTTTTTGATCTAATAATAATTCATTCTTACAATGATATAGTCTGACTATTTAGTGGACGTAGGCCGATTTCCTATTAACAAAGAAAACAATTAGGCTGATTTGGGCCTATATTGTTGCCTATGTTACGGTGTGGAGCTAGGAACCAAATCAGACTGGGCCTTAATTAATGACCTAAACTTAACACGAGTCTACCATTTGCATATGCTATCCTAATCTTAACAGAACTCAAAATATCAAGTTCACACTTTATGCTGTGAACATATCTCATGATCTCATCCATTTGCTCTGTGTACTGGAATTAATTAACACACATTTGGCGAGAACGAATTACAGGTATGGAGTAATGGCAGATTGAAGAAAGTAAGAGGAAGGCCAACGGCATGCTTGGGAGATGGTAAAAACTCAAGCTGCGTATCAATGGCACTATTGGTTACTCTTCCCTTGGAAAGTACCGTCTCTCCCCTCCTCCCTAAAGAGGTTGCTAATGAAATTAATGCCAACGAGGATGAAATCGGAGAAGATATTGAAGAGCAAAACGAAATTGGCAACTTCTGTAAGACGGAGAAGAGATTATTTAGCTCATTTTCTTTCGAGGACTATGCTTGGAGAGCGTATCATGAACCCCTCCTCTTCAAAGACCCTCTAGACAAATACCGCATCTAGATTAAGAATTTTTTGGTCTCGTTTTACTTTCTTCCGTTTTATCTTTTATTTTTTACTATTTTGACCATGCCATTGATGTTTTTGTATTCCATATTGTGTGTTGTTTTTTCTCAGATGATTTTTTTATTTCTTGCTTTATGTTAAAGCTCTCAAAAACATTCATTAATGGTTATGAATTCTTCATTTTTTTTAAGTCGCTATTCTGATATCGTAGTCGTCATGCTAGTACTTAATTGTAACGCCATATCATAGGTCAAATAATTTCCTCCACAGTAATTTGAGATTTCTTCACTCATATGAATACCAAATTATTCAGGGATATGCCTTTCCTCTTTATAAAGGAAAAATCACAGAAAGAAGTTGAGTAGCATTTCGACTTTTCATTTTTCAAACCGACGTCCCAGATTTAAAGAAACATTTTTCTTAAGACAATCTTCCCTCTTTTTTTTTTTTTTAATGTCACTTTTCTCAAATATATATGTAATATGTAACCACTCACATAGTTACCTGAATAAAAAGGTATTTTGTTCTGGATTCAGAAGGCTTTCAATTGGAATTATTTCGGATTGAAACTAATTTCATAAATAGTTATACATCAACGCGGAGAAAGGAATTAAGAGTGGACATTAACAATATATAGTAAGTTCAAATCCGGATGTACATTACTTTCTGAATCCTCTTAAATATAGATTTTCCTTTTCCTTTTTTTAGAACTTCGTAAATATACACTGAGAATGATGCAAACTTAATGCAAGACAAACAAAACTGTAGTATGGCGCGGCTGAGAAAAAAGAGAGTTGAACTGCCCTTTAAAAAAAAAAAACGAAATCTAATTTGATAAACATTATTGGATTATAGTAATCTACACTTTCACACAAGCAAAACTTGTAGGTTTAACAAGCAAATAAATATTATAGGGTTTTTTTATACAATTTAAATTATTTTAATTGAAATCTCGCATTCTTTAAAAAATTTAATTTGACTATATATCAACTAAGAATGAGCAGTATTCGATTTTGTTTATAAAAAAACCTAACTAAACCAAATTGATATATCTTTAAATCATTTTTTTAAAAAAAAAATTATTTCTATTTTTTGAATTCAATTAGGTTTGTTAATTTTTTTATTTGGTTAAACCAAAAAACATAATTAATTTTTTAATATATTTCGAAACAAACTCTAATACAGCATTGCCGTGGTTTCATGAATGATACTAGAACTAGCAATAGAAGAAACAATCGTATCAATAATGTGAAAGAGAGTTTTAAAGCATCAAAAATCAACATAAAAAAGAATCTATAGAAGTCTTGAGATTCTGGATATACTTTGGAACATCAACTAAAAAGTTAGATTTTAGTATGCCATTTACATTATGTAAATAACAAACCATGTTTTAATTTTGTGTTTATAGTATGTCATTACATTAACAAATATTTGTTAACCATTATACTTTGATGTAGAAACATAAATTTTGTTTTATTTTTACAATTATATAGGTTTAATGATGTCAAAAACCTATTATTACATTAAGTTTATGGAATAATTTTTTTTATTACATTTAACTTTTCTAATAACGAATGATAAGCATCTGTATTTTTCTTTCAATTTTTTAATATTTATTAATTATCAAAGAATTAACGATGAGATTTATTATCATTTTTTGCATGTTTCAAAAAGTGCAAATTTTTCTAATTTATAACTTACCATATGATCTGTTGCATATAAATAGGTAAACATTTTTTCTCATTATAAAAAGCAATATGTAAAAAGCAATAATATAGTCGATCATTTTTAATATAATGGTAGATGTCCGGAATCACATTACTATTTTTTTTCCTGCTTTTGTTTTAAATTTATTTTTTTATAAATATTTTGCTAAAAAGGATTTTTTTAATGAACGTGTTTTTTATTCTTGTGGTTAAAATATTAAGTGGATTGAAATTTTTAACTTGAAGAACATACTGAGTATACGTTTATCTTCAACAAATTCTAGACAACATATAGATGTGTAGCTGCCTTGCCGTTTATTTCTCAAAACAATTGTTGTATCCTCCTACCCCTACAAGATAGATACAAAAGAAGAAACAAGAAAATATTCATTTCACTTCTTCGACATAGTATAGACTACAGATAGAAGAAGAAACATGAAGATAGATCCTTCATTTATTTCATTAAATGGTAAAACATCATATGGCAGAATAGATTAAAAAACGTCTACACCTGTACGCTCCTACACCATAAACCCCAAAAACTGATTTCAACTCATTAACCAACTCAACCATCTCCTGAATTTCTTACTTCAACTCCTGAATCCACATCCACATCCACAGTACTTGTTAGCATATTTGATGTATAATTCATCTGAGCCTACTCGGATACCAACAGAAGCTAGAAGGAAAGAAAAAGACATTTCATCAAATACTTGGTGACTGCTTCACAACACAAACAACAACCTAATCTCAAATAAACAAAGAAGGAACAAGAGGAAGGAGAATAAGAAGGGAAATGTTACACAGGTTTGTTTTTGTTTGGTGTTCAAATGGCGGGAAATTAAGGAGGAAAAGCAGAGAAGAATGACAGGAAAGAGGAATGGAGGAAACAAAATACTGGTCCTCGTTTGGGTTGGGTTTTTCGATAAACGCTGCCTTTTTTTAAAAAAAAAAGTGGTACAATTAGGCTAGATTTGGGCCTTTATTGCAACCTGTTGCTTGAGCCCAACTCATAATAGGCTCACGTATCAGGCCACGATGAAGTCATTTTTAATATCATAGCTCCGCACTAGCTTGAGCTAAATATCTGGGCCTCTCCTATTTATGGTATGCTTTTTCAAATTTTAACCTTAAGTTCCTACAAATCTATTTCTCAGACATCTAGAACTAGAATTAATTGACATTTGCGGGTTATTTGTTTGTTCATAAATCATCTTGTTCCCCTTCAAGAAAATAAGCAAACTTTTATTGATAGGTTTTTGGAGAAATGGAAAAATTGAAGGGAGTAAGAGTAAGAATTTTGTAATGTGGATTTTGATTGTTGATTGGCACAGATATAGTTCCATGAATTGCCTCCACGGTTATTTGAATTTCCCTCTGTCAGTCATATGTTGAACTCTAAACAACGAATATCAAATTTAAGGATTTATTAAAAAAAAAAAAGGGACGAACTTTTTGGAAGGAAAATGCATATTTCCTCTTTATACACGAACAATCATAGAATAAAAGATTTATCAAAAAAATAAATAAATCGTTGAATAAATGAGACAAATATTTTGCTTCTTTTCTTTTCTTTCAATCCAATACAAATTTTAAAGACATTTTAAAATCTCACATGTTTTTGTTTTCAATTGCGTATAGGATACTGCAATAGAATTGATTAACATGTTTGTGCGTGTGACATAACGAGGTATAATTCATGGTGGGATTAATTTTAACTTACTTTTTTATGCTTGAGACTTTTTCAATTTCTTCTCCTGAAATTTCAATTGTTTGATTGTTCTTCCTGAGATATTAATATTGGATCAATTAATAGAATCTTTTATAGATAATTGGTAAGATAAAATCTTCTATTTTTAATTTATAGATATATATATATATATATATATATATCAAACTATCTAACTCATAGCCATTAAAAACTTATGCTTTACACTTGTATCCGATTTACCTCATTTAATGTATGTTAAAAATAATGTCAAAAAGTTTCATTTTATTCATTGTAATAATTAAAAAATTATTTTGATCCTCAAAATTATATTGTGTTTTAATTTAGTCATTTTTATACAAAAAATTGTCCCTTAAAATTTTCAGAAAAACATTTTGATCCCTAAATTATAAATTTTCTGTAATAGAGTCCATACATGTTTTTATTTTTTTGTTAACATGGTATCTTATGTTTTGTAACATACATTATATCATTTGGAATTTTTAATTGGAATAGAAGATTTATTTTAACAGGATTGTATTTGATCAAATTTAAAAAATTTAAGGATTAAAATAAATTATTTCCAACGTAGAATTAATATTTATGCGTAACTAAAATCTTGAAGGAAACATTGATATTGTAATTAAAACTTCAAAAGATGAAATTGAATTCTCCCCATATCTCATACAAATAGATTGAAATTAACCCTTGATGGTATGGTTCATCATCCGTGCAAAGAGTATGGATGTCTCTAGACTATCTGCATTTTCAATGCAATTTTTTGCTTATACATTTTCCAAAAATATAATATCACATATGCCACCTCATTTAATCAATCACTAACGACACAATTAGGCGAATCCGATATATTCTGGCAACATTAATGCTGTGCTTGCTGCTCATGCCATTCAAGGCCCAAACCCCATATAAAATCATTAATCCTCTAATATTACTAGCTCTTACTTGATCACGGGCGCTGGTTCTGTGCAATTCGTTTGAAGTGTATATATGTGTGGCTAAGAAACTGACACCATAGGCAGTATAATTCTTTTGTCGAAGTTCTGTGCAAAACCTTAGTACTGTTGCCTTGACTTTGAAAGAAAGGGATGTGCCCCTAAGAAGAAGCAAAGTAAGGAAGCGCATAACGTTATGATGTTGGTGTACTTACTACTACTACTACTGGGTTCCTTAGCGTTTACTTTTCTCAAACATAAAGTTACTAGTTATTCGGATTTCGTTTTGCCCCTGAAATAAAATTATTATTAGCTCAGCCTTAATAATTCATCAACTGACTACGGGTGGTTGTTGGTGACAAAGAAAGATCACATGGTGTTCAGGGTAGAAGCTCAACGTTTATGATTATACAAGATAATTAACTAGCACCAACTTTAAAAATTGACATTTGGAATTGTGATTTGGTGCAGTTTGACTACATAACCACAATTATGATTTTGAAATTAATACAGTATTTCGCAACAGAACTCTACTGACCACCCGCTTCCAAGTCCCCAAAATCTGCAAACGAAGAAGAAATCCTCCCACACAGATGTCTGTAGACTCTAAACTGAGAGAATGAGGTTGAAATTTTCAGGAAATATTAGATTGGACAGAACTTAGCTTTGATCATATCTGGTAAAATTCTAACTCCGGTCGGTAGAAGAAGAAAATATTAAAATTAAATGAAAGTCTAATTAATGTTGTGGATGCTTTCATGGTACTGATAAATTAATTGTTTATCCATTTCTTGATTTATTGATGTTGTGCATTTTATATGTGCTATTTAGAAGGTCCTCTTGTTCTAGCAGGCTGGTGTTTAAAAAAAAGAACTAGATTAGATTAAACCGTGGTATCCTCAACTAATTGAAGGGCGATGGCACTCCAATTATCAATCCATATATATAAATCCGTTATGATCATCTTCGTGGCCAGCTGTTCCAATCTTCAGGAGGTCCAGGGATAGCTGTGCTTCCATGTTGCTCTCTAAGAACTCTTTTGGAGTAACCCCACATATATAATAACATGCATGATTAGATGTACCATATTCCATGCTGCCTTGGATCCAAAACAATCAGAAAATAAGCTTCTATTACATTTTGCCCCACCATAGATGCGGATTTAAAACCTCCATTTCGCGTCATCTCATTTTTCATTGGTTTAAGGAAAGAAAATTGAGACATTTTTCTTTTCTTTTTTAAGAATTGGCACTTATGTAAATTACTAGAAGTAGCAATAGGTGGGGGGGGGGGGGGGGGGATAAAAAATAAACAGCTATTAAAGAACTATAAAATCAGATGAAATATTTTGACACTTTTATTTCATATATCCACTTAAGATGGCTATTAACCATCTAATAAACATCATAAATTTTTGTATTAATTCTTGCTCAAATAAGTTGGTCGTTTTGCTTCCAAGTTCTCTAGAATTTTATTGGCCTAAAGAAAATTATTTTTACGTTCAAGCATCCATAGCAGAATCTAGTAGACAATAACATCTGGTCTACCATAATTAAAATCCATAACATTAACCATATATGCCGATATTCTCCTATTTTCTGGTAGACAAAGACCAACTAGGCAAACCTTTGAAATCACTCCTCTCTCTTCGTTTCTTTCTCTCTGATGTTTTATGGGCCGGAACAAGATGAACAAAGTAGTTAGCAAAATGGATTGTGAAGGAAAAGGAAAAAAAAAAAAAAAAAACCTTGAGAGATACAACTCTCCATTCACCAGAAGCCTAACAGTTACTTGAAGAAAAACCCATCTCACCAAATCTGATATTAAACAAACAAGGAAACTGATAGAATGTAAGTCTTTCTCTTTCTATTTGTCTCTATCTTATCTAGCTCAATGCCTCTATATCTCCATATCTCTCCCTTCTCCTCTCTCACCATTCTTGTCATGCAGCCATCCAGAAGGAAGTCACCTCTCCTCTCCTCAGTAACCATAACCATGAAGCACAGGAAGAACAACAATCTCTCAGTATTTGTTGTGGTATTCTCTGTATTTCTCTTCGGTGTCTTCATGTACAATGAGGACGTGAAGTCAATTGCTGAGTTTCCATTTTCATGGCCTAAATCTCAAGAAATCCTAGAAGAGCCATCAACAGGAGCCACCTCAGTTCAAGATACCCTCAAGAAGGACCAAGAACTCCCGGATTCTGTTAGTTCAAGAACTTCACTGGAAGAACCTCAGGTTGATCAGGACCCTGAAGAAAATCAAGAATCTGACAATTTGAAGGTTAGTGAATCAAAAGAAGATGATGAAAAGATTGAATTGCCAGTCATTGAAGAAGATGATGAAGATGTTGAATTGCCACCCGAAGGGTGTGATCTTTTCACAGGACAATGGGTTTTTGACAACGAGACACATCCTTTGTATAAAGAAGATGAATGTGAGTTCCTTACAGCACAAGTGACTTGCATGAGGAATGGAAGAAAGGATTCTTGGTATCAGAATTGGAAATGGCAACCTAGAGATTGTTCTTTGCCAAAGTAAGTACATATTTGATCAATTCTTGAATTTAATTACTTTGTGTTTTATTGATTTTGGTTCATCTCTTTTATGGTTTTTTATGTCTACGTTTCCCTTTAAAGGTTCAAGCCAAGGCTACTGCTAAACAAGTTAAGGAATAAAAGGCTCATGTTTGTGGGGGATTCATTGAATAGGAATCAGTGGGAATCAATGATTTGTTTTGTTCAATCTGTAGTCCCTCCTGGAAGGAAGAGTTTGAACAAGACTGGATCTTTAGCTGTGTTCAGAATTGAGGTACCCCTCTCTCCTGCTTCTCTGCTTCTCTAACAAAGATATGGCTTTATGTCATTGTCCTTATTTACCTTTCCTTAATCTTCTGACAACAATATTTATCTAATATTTAAATACCTTTCACTGTTCTCAATGATGCTTTATCCTGATATTGAGCCCATTGCTTCGTAAGCTATAAGCTATACGTAGTGAGAGCAATTTTATAATACATAAATAATAACTAATGACGTATACGATAGTTATTTCATGAATTCATTTTAAGGAGAGAGATATAAAAAAAACAAAAAAATTAAACGGACGTGAAAATATTTTTATCGTTTTTTATGATCATGGATGTAATCTTTTTTTTTTTTTGTATATATCTCTCTTTTCAAAATGGACCCATAGAATAATTATTGTATTTAACATTAATTACACTTAATGTATTATAAAATTTCTCTATATATTCATGTTTGGTGTGATTAAAGATGTCTATAATGCATTTAATTAGTTTTTCTCTTCTTAAGTTACATAGTAATAATTAGGTATTTATAAAAGTAAGATACTGCCGGTGCCAGAAGAAATTTCCGTTTGCTTTCACGTCAAGAAAGCAAATTTCATTTAATTTGCATAGCTTTAAAAACTCTAGTATCTGTATTTCTAGGTGAGTTGAAAATGATGGTACCTCAAAGCCACCGAATTTAACAACAGATTAATCTATATATAATTGTTTATGTAACAGTACTGCACCTGGCTGTTTTTTTCACCCAGCAAACTCCTGATTGTTTTATTTCTTAACACGCTAGAGACAGAGAAGCATATGTTATTTGTTGAACGGTGAGATGTTATATCAACATATATATGTAACTCGATCCTTTCTGCCGTACAAAAAAAATAATAATAAGTAGACCTTCGTTAAGACAGTACTATAATATGATGGTATGAAATATTTCTGTTGTGATTTTTTTTTTTTTTTTTTTTTTTTGAGCAGGACTATAATGCGACAGTTGAGTTCTATTGGGCCCCATTTCTGGTTGAGTCAAATTCAGACGATCCAAACATGCACAGCATCTTGAACAGAATAATCATGCCCGAATCAATTGATAAACATGGAGTTAACTGGAAGAACGTCGACTACCTGATTTTTAACACATACATTTGGTGGATGAACACTTTCAGCATGAAAGTTCTGTAAGTTACTCAGTATCCCTCTCGATGAGAATTAATGTTGATAATGTCATTATAAATCTTGCTTGTATGAAAATCATGCGTGAGGTTGATTTGTTATTGATTTGATGATGGGACAGACGTGGATCTTTTGATGAAGGATCCACTGAATACGATGAGATCGAACGGCCAGTAGCGTATATGAGAGTTTTGACTACATGGTCTAAGTGGGTGGATAAAAACGTGGACCCTAACCGGACCACCGTTTTCTTCAGTAGCATGTCTCCTCTTCATATCAAGTAATGTTACTATATAAATTTTTGTTTCAACTCTATATATATATATATATATATTTGTCTGTTTTTTTCCTAATTGTTTATGTTTCTATTTCTGTTTTTTAATCAGTGTTTTTGTTCATGATTGACATTAATGTTTTCTCTTTGCCTTGATTTAAAAAAAACGAATTCGTGTTTTTTAATTTTTGTGTATTAGACGGATTGCTCAACTATTTCTCATCTTAATCAAATTGAACTGTGGTAGGCACAACCAAACATTTTAGTTCAACCTTTACTCGTTTTCTCTAATTGTTCAGTAGTTCAGTTGTTGAGTTTTGTTGTACCAAATAGGCATTAGGTGAATTTCGGTGGTTGATATTGGGCCCTATGATCACTAATCATGATTTGACAGGTTGATAATTAATTAATATCTGCTTGGTGACCAACTACATCTAATATATTCTCTACGGTGATTAAAAGACTATATATATTTCGTACTGGTTACTTTTCCATTTTTTCTAATTGCTGGTTTTATTTTTCCCACTACAATAATGACGCTAACGTGAATGCTAATGGGGCAGGAGCTTAGACTGGGAGAATCCGGATGGCGTAAAATGTGCCAAGGAGACAACCCCAATTCTGAATTCAAGCATGCCGTTGAATGTGGGCACGGACCGTAGGCTTCTTGTGGTTGCAGCCAATATTACTGGATCAATGAAAGTACCCGTCCATTTTATAAATATTACTAAACTATCTGAGTACAGAAAAGATGCACATACGTCAGTCTACACTATCCGTCAAGGCAAAATGCTAACACCGGAGCAGCAAGCTGACCCGGCAACATATGCCGATTGTATCCATTGGTGTCTTCCAGGGTTGCCCGACACGTGGAACGAATTCATATACACACGTATAATTTCTCGCACGTGACCCCTAGGGATTAACACGTGCGACATCAATTTTCATTTTTGTTTTCCTGATTTTTTTTTTTTTTTTTGTCTCCCTCCTCTTCATTGCTTTGTTTTTCCTTTGTAATTTCTCCTCAATTCCATTTTTTAGCTTCTCCTAGCTTGAATTATACGCCTGGGCCGTCCTCAACATTGGTTTTGGACCCTTTTTTTTCCCGCTTTTGTTTGACAGTTAAAGTGGGTGGGATGGGGAAGAGGGCGGTTGGATGATTAGGCATGCGGAAATCCGGGTAAAGTAGGGAAAGCATGCCTAATTGAATTTAAAAATGAACAACATGATGGACCCATTTGAATTGTATAATGCACACGTGGAAAGAAATAAAGAGCAAATGCAAATTTATATGTATAGTGCGTTTGCATTCATGGCTACTTTTTTTTTTTTTTTTCCCCATTTCAACTTATGATTTCACACTGGTTGTTCCCATTTCTTCTCTTCTTCTTTTTTTCAGCATTGAATGCAATTTATTTTTTAAAATAATTATTTATTATAATAAAAATTTTATTTTTTTATTAAAAAATAAAATTTATGAATTAATTTTATGATAAATCTCATATTTTTTTTGTAAGGAACAGAATACAACTCCTATCATTCTTAATAACTTCTTATTTTAAATTTTTTTTTTTAAATATAGTTATGTTGCTTAAATGGTTTGAAAGAATATGTAATTTAAAAAAATAATTTCAAGTCCAAATTTTAAATTATTAAATAAAACTTTAAAATATAATTTATATGTTTTTTTATCTTGTAAAAACCACGAAAATAACAATTAATCAGTCTAAAGTCTATCTAAGCAATTACTTCAATAAAGACAAAGAGACAATCAAGCGCCATAATCCAGAGAATGGGAACAGAACTGCGAGAATGTACATGTCGATGTTGGCAAATATAAATTATTTAACCTATAACGCCGTCTATTTTACCACATGTTATATTTTGTCATTTAAAAAATCTCACTTGGTGTGCTATCATTTTTTTTTATGCGATTGTACATGTATGTGTGTGTTTTTTATTTTTTAATGAATAAAATCTCTATATGTTGAATGTCAATGAATCTATTAAATTTGCAGCAAAACCTTATTAATTGGATATTCGAAATAAGAAGATAGTGGGTTAGTTGCTTATAATTAGTTTTTGGGTGTAGATTTGTGTCCAGGAGGCTTAAAAATTGTGATTTTAGATGAAAAAAAGAAAAAAATTGCAATTTTTATGGACGTCCTCTGCTGTTCGCTGAAATCTCGTGCGATTGCCCAGATCCCAGCTAGCAAGGTAAAGGATGATGCATGGACGATGCGTCGTCTAGGTATGATTGTCTTAAAAAAATAAGCGAGCCTGGATCGAAGCCCAAGTGCAACTAGACAAAGCCCAGGCTCGTCCGGGCTTAGCTCCAAGCCCTGGTCTTTTTTTGTTTTTTTTTGTTTTCATATTATTATTATTATTATTATTATTATTATTATTAAACAAACTTATCTATTGAACTTCTCAATTTTATTTTCTTTACTTCTATTATACTTACAATAACATTTATAGAATTTTTTTCGTGTATTCTTGTCAATTTTTTTGTCATGTTATTTTATTTAAGATTTAATGCATGACATTTTTGTGGTTAAATTATAGATTTAAAATCATATTAAACTAGCGAATGTAAATTTTTTATCATTAAGTTGTTGGGTAATTATCCAATTTAGCGCAACTTTTATTTTTTAAAAACAAAAACCATGACGGAGAAAATTATTAGTGTGGATGTATAATTCAAACTATAATTTTTTAAAATGATCATTAAATAATGTTAAAAGATGGTAAAATAGAAAAAATATATATATCTTTGCAACATATTCATATAGAACATAGATAAAACAATACATTAGAAGGATGAAGTTGTCATTTACAATATTTTATTGTCTCTTGCAACTAAACGAAGACAAACAAAAACTTGTGTTATGTTTATCCAACCAAACACAAATCAGTCTTTGTTTTCTGTGTCTCGTCCTCTCCGTTCTGTCTCTACCAGACACTACCATATTCGTTGCAAATGAATAAAAGTCATACTAATTAATAATTTTAAGCAAGATAAGAATTGGCTCTAAGAAAAGGGGAGGACGAGTTTTTTTAAAATGACAATCGAATTCCTGATATGATAAGTTATAAACTTTTTTTTCTTTAGTGGTGTATCTATGATTTTAAATTTTAAATGGAAAAAGAAAAAAAAACTAAAGAGATTTCTATCTATGTTTTTTATATTATTTTATGAGTAATTATTAATATTTATCCCGTAAGCAAAATAGATATAAAAGTGAAAGAGAAAATTAAAAAGAAAAAACTTAAATAAAAATATTTTATTATTTTAAAAAAATTTGGTGATTCTTTTTGTATGTGTCTTTTTTTAAAAAAAAAATTCATAAAATAACAATTATAAATATACTTGTTTTAAAATTTCTCACAGGACACAAACTAGCCATATAACAGGAGTCAAAGCAGCAAAAGACTAAATTAGCAGCCTTCTGTGTCAACACCCATCCCAAGAAATAACTGGAGTAAAAGAAAACAGCACCCATTCCAAGAAATAACTGGAGGCAAAAGATTCAAAAAAGAAAGAAAAATTAATAGGCATAGGCTTTTAATTTTATTTATTGAAAGAAACTTCATTTGGTCGACAAGGATCTTGATTCCTGCATATGCCAGGACACATCGTACACTTGTGCTGAAGCTACTCGCTCGGGACTAGCAGGAAAATCATATCTCTCCAGCTATGATGATCAAAGCCATTTTTGCATTGGATAAGTACAATCGAGCATTAACTTGGTTTACATAAACCGAATTTACGCAATAATTCCCCTGCACAAATTCATACCTTAATCAGACATATCTCATGTGCCTAAAGGAAAAAAAGAAACTTCTATTTTTCTTGTCTACATGCTACATCTGTAGCTCTTCATTTAAATATATATGGCAGATGAAGTTTGTTAAACAAATCAAAGAAAAGCGATCCTTCTGCTTTATGACAGCGCGATCAAAGCTAGAGGTGCGAGTGTGACATGTTGATGGTCAACTATATCTTTTGATATTGATGGATGAAAAATGATGGTACATTGGAAGTGCTTAATGTTTTTATTTATGGGCATGACAGCTGATTGATTTTTTTTCATCACCTTCCACAGAGTAAGCCACGCCTTGTCATGTTCCTCTCTCCTTGTTCTTTAATATTTTCTTATCAGAGTAAAATAAAAGCTCTTTCCTGTTGCCGTCTCTCTGTACTTCCATCTTACCAGTTCTAGGTATCTGCGCTCAGCTATTCAATGACACTATTTCCCTGCAGATCCAACTATAAATGGAGTACTTGCTACCAGTATTTTCTTCTGATGGTTTTCTTTCTACTGCTCTTCAAAATCTTTATGTACAGTGAGAACTCGAAGTCAGTAATTTCAGGGCATTCTTTGTTCTCCAGAAGTGAACTTCAAGAAATCAGAAAGCAAGATGAGGAGGTTATATTGCCACCAAAGGACTGTGATCTTTTCACAGGGAAATGGGTTTTTGATAATGCGACTCACCCTTTGTACAAAGAGGAAGAGTGTGAGTTTCTCTCTAGGCAAGTGACTTGTTTGAGGAATGGAAGGCAAGATTCTCTGTACCAGAATTGGAGATGGCAACCCAGAGATTGTTCTTTGCCCAAGTAAGTACACGTCTTAGTACTTGTGTCTTTATGCCCCGTGGAGCTTACGAAATTATACACATTGGTTAAAAACAAAAATCTAATGAATTTAGTATGTTTTTCTGGATCAAGTTTCAAAGCAAAATTATTGCTTGAGAAACTTCGTGGAAAGAGGCTTATGTTTGTTGGAGATTCATTAAATCGGAACCAGTGGGAATCCATGGTTTGCCTGCTTCAATCTGGTGTTCCTTTGGCCAAGAAGAGCCTCAGCGATTCTGGCACTGTGTCGATTTTCAGGATTCAGGTATCTATCTATCTCTTCCTTTCAGCAACTACCTTTAAATTTCACTGAATTAGTAGTGAATGGTGTCATGGTGATATAAATATGGCAATCTTAATCGAAAACCCATTCTCTTTCCTGTCACTTCACCTATTTAATTTGAACCTTAGTCATCTGTAAGCCTATTTTTGTAAATAGAACCTGCAACTCATTTAATTTCATCTATGCATGATCTAGTACCAACTAGTAATTAATATGCACATCTATATTCAATGTTGCATTTGCATATGAACATGTGGGCTCATCATTTAAGAGATATAGATTTCATTCACCTTCCATGTTTACTGAAGTCAAAGGGTAGATATATTCAATGCAATATACGTTGGTCTCATGCACTTGTTTCTGCTGTTAATTAACATCCTCAGGTATAGTTGTTTCTTTCTCCTTTTGTTGACTTAGGACTACAATACTACGGTTGAGTTTTATTGGGCACCATTTTTAGTGGAATCGAATTCAGATGATCCATTGAAGCACAGTATATTAGACCGCATTATCATGCCAGAATCAATTGAGAAGCATGGGGACAAGTGGAAAGGTGCGGACTACCTGATTTTCAACACGTACATATGGTGGATGAACTCCGTTAATATGAAAGTCTTGTAAGTAAATCAGGCTTAAGCTTTTAGTCTTCTTAATTGCAGAATGAAAGCATTGAAGTCTGACATGTTTCCTATCTGGGATTTGATGGGATGCTGGAAGAAAGCAAGGAACATTTGATGAAGGTGCAACAGAATATGATGAGATCGAGCGGACAGCAGCTTTTGGAAGAGTTCTGAGGACATGGGCTAAGTGGGTTGAAGAAAATGTAGATCCTAATTTAACTTCTGTCTACTTCATCAGCATGTCCCCTATGCATTTCAGGTAAGCTAAATACTCCATGCTTATACTCATTTTGTTTCTCTGTAGTAAATATTAGTGAAATGATGTCTTCTAGTCTTTTAAACCACTACAATACAGTGAAAGATTCGAAATGACGTTGAATATGGATGTGCATATGTAAATGAAACATTAGGAGCTTGGATTGGAACAACCCTGATGGGATAAAGTGTTCTAAGGAGACTGCCCCAGTTCTCAATATGACTACCCAGGTGAACGTAGGCACCGATAGCCGGCTACTTGTGATTGAAGCAAATGTGACTCAATCGATGAAAGTGCCTGTGTACTTGCTTAACATCACCACCCTCTCGGAGTACAGAAAAGATGCGCATACCTCAATCTACACCACTCGTCAAGGACAGCTGCTCACAGAAGAACAGCAAGCCAACCCAAAAATCTATGCAGATTGTATCCATTGGTGTCTCCCCGGTTTACCTGATACTTGGAATGAGTTCCTATACACACATATCATTTCTCACACTTGACCCTTTGCTTTCTCCGAAGGTGTAAAAACTGGATAATCAAAAATGAAAATTTGATAGGTCTGGTATTATTATTATTTCTTCAGAGGAAAGAAAACGACCAGTTTCTCAACTTGGCAGTTGGCACAAATAAAACAATTAAATCTGTTGCATCAGGAACAAACAATTAGACTAGTTCATGTTAAACACCGTTGTGATAGAATATAATAGTAATTTACAACTATGTTTTAATTACAATATACTCTGACAACATTGTTCAGATGGATTAATGGATGGTATGAGAACTCAGGAATAACAGTTTACCGTTCCTATTTTTAAGAGTCGTAAAATGCAGTTTGGTCTCCGAAATTGTTGTTTAATAATCTTCATTCAATTACTATGGTTTCTCAATCTGACAGTAAGTTCGACTGTATTATAGCATTTGCATTACAATCAACACTGTCGTCCAAACGATTGGATGGTGTGGACAGCGATTGTTTGACTGTATTGTAGCATTTGCCTCATATTCTGCATGCTGCCAAGGATGCATCTGACACCAGTAAGTCACTGTCTACATCTTGCAAGATTGACAAAACCTCACCGAATCAATCATTCAAGTCACAAGATTCACTGCATTAATGTTTTGTGACTAGTTAGCTCGCAGTTGCCCATTTCAGCAGTTTAGGAGGAAACTTCTCCATCCTGTAAATTCGGTTACCATATATCCTCTTCATAGTCCTCGACTAGAATCTGTTCTTATTCTTTTATAGAAAGACCTATTTACGTTCAGCTGAGCATGGGACTGAAATATACTGCCACGTAAAGCCATTAGCCACGTCAGTACTGCAGAAGATCTGGCCAGCCTGCGAGAATTTGGGGAAAATAAAAAATATCAATGTGAATCTCAGGAGTCAAAAAAGTATCTTATTTAATATCTACATTCTCTTAAAGGGCTAAAAATCCAATAAATCTTTTTAAAAAATAGAGGAATCAATTTTGAATTTATCTCGTGTTTATGGTAACTTAATGGATAATTCTTTCAAGCCAGCTTATTTGGACGTGTTGCTTCTGTCCCTCAAGTGGCAAATGGGGACAGAGGTCCTGTCGGTGGATCACTTCATAAATGCGACACCATGCCCCATAACTTTGGTAGGGATGTCCAAGAACTGTTGAAATTTTCATATATTAATTAATGGGGCAAAATCCTCCGATCTTGTAAACTCATCTAAAATATACTGTAATTAAATTCCCAAGCTTCATTATTTTGTAATCAAATCACGGTATCACATAAATGTCTTTTTCTAGTCCTCAAATTCGGAAAAAAAAAACTCTTGTATTCAACTCCACTAGTTGATGAGCTTAGTGAAAAAATTCAGATCAACTAATTGTAATTAGACTAATATGTGAGTTTTAATTCAGTAACCAATGAATCATGTGTTAGTACATTGTTCCAAAATCGAAAGAATACAGAACTGTCGTTTTTCGGGCCACTACCATTGATTGTCCTTTTTATGGAACTGAAGTAAGAGAATTTCAGAGAAGACACGATGAAGGAACGGGGCGGCCTTAGAAGCCAGACCTGTAATTATTCCTCAATCTTAGTGATTTTTACTCTCTCTATCTTTGCATGTTTTCTTTTCAATGAAAATTTTGTACCACTCCCATTTCCAAGATTCAAAGGGATCTTACTAGAACCAGTTCAAGAAAATAGGAAGATTGATGATGTCAGGCTCTCAGCAAAAGGTAGTGAAGGGAATGTAAATACGAAGCTGGTTTCTGTTGAAGGAGATCATGAAGATGAAACTGTGGTGGTACCAACAAAAGAGTGTGATATCTTCTTAGGAGAGTGGGTTCTTGATAACTTGACTCATCCTTTATATAAAGAAGAAGACTGTGAGTTTCTGACAGATTCAATGACTTGCATCAAAAATGGAAGGAAGGATTCAATGTATCAAAGCTGGAGATGGCAGCCCAGAGATTGCTCTTTGCCCAAGTAGGTACTCTTTTCAATTACCTGATAAACTCAGTTTCTGGTTTCTAGTCAATTGTATGCTAAAGGTTATTGAAAAGGAAGTAATATGGTTTTCTACTTTGGTCCTGTTCAGGTTCAAATCAAAGTTGTTGCTGGAGAAACTTAGAGGCAAGAGGCTTATGTTTGTTGGAGATTCATTGAATCATCAGCAATGGGAATCTACGATTTGTCTGGTTCAATCTGTGATTCCTCCAGAGAAGAAGAGTTTGTCAAGCAATTCAAGTTTTCTCACTGTCTTCAAAGTTGAGGTACCTCACTGTTTTTCCCCCTCAAATTAAGATCGGCTTTCATACCTGTAATAAATTACAAATCATATCATAAACAGAAAAAGCTCTAGTCGCATAAGCAAATTCGAGTTTCTGTGCATGCAAAAAACCTTTCAAGATCTGTGCTTATTTTGCGTGTCCCACAAAACACGGAGGAATTAGTTTAGGTTTTTGGTTTGGGATATCTTAGGGATCCGAAAAAAAAATTATAAATCAAATCCACAGAGTTTTAAGAATTCTAAGCATTTGTTAAAGTTGATACCAGTAACCATTGAACTTTTCAAGATTTGGCTTTTGCCTTGTAAGCTTCTTCCATTAATGTGTAAAATGGCAGTGAAGGTGGTGAATTATGCCATTTAGTAATTAAATGTAGAATTCATTTTATCTTTTATTATTTGATTTGATTCATCTGTCAATCTGAAGGACTACAATGCTACCATAGAGTTTTACTGGGCACCCTTTTTGGTCGAGTCCAATTCAGATGCTGTATCATATAGGAATGGCCTTTCAGACCGCATCATCATGCCTGAATCAATCTCAAAACATGGAGATAACTGGAAGAATGTCGATTACCTTGTATTCAACACATATATTTGGTGGATGACGTCCACTTATGCCAAAGTATTGTAAGTACCAAGTTTATTTTTTATTTTACATCCAGCTGTCTTCATATATAATCAATACTTTTAGCATAACCAAGAGGGTGATTCTTTTCTGGTGGAGCTATGGAAAAGACGAGGAGGATCATTTGGTGAAGGCCTCTTGGAGTATGACGAAGTTGAGTTGCCAATAGCGTATGAGAGAGTTTTGAGGACGTGGGCCAAATGGGTGGAGGAAAATGTTGATCCCAAGCATTCCTCTGTTTTCTTCAGCAGCATGTCTCCTACCCATGTCAAGTATGCCAATCTAACTCATAGCGCTTTTTTTTTTTTCTTCAGCACCATATTTTTGTTCATTTCATAAGCTTTATGTTCTTTTTCGTACATTTTTTTATCCAAAACGTATGTGAGATTTCAATTTCAAGCTGACAGTATGAATTGAAAATGCAATAGGAGCTTGGATTGGGACAATCCCGATGGGATAAAGTGTGCTCATGAAACTAAACCAATCCTAAACAAGTCCAAGCCATTGGATGTGGGAACGAACCGACAACTTTTTGCGATTGCGGTGAATGTGAGTCGTTCAATGAAAGTGCCTGTCAATTTCCTCAATATAACCACGCTGTCCGAATATAGGAAAGATGCACACACGTCCATTTACACTGCTGTTGAAGGCAAGTTACTCTCTCCGGAGCAAAAGTCTGACCCACTCAATTATGCTGATTGTTTGCACTGGTGTCTGCCTGGACTGCCTGATACATGGAACGAGCTGCTCTACACATATATCGTCTCTCGCACTTGACTCCACAAGGTATCGTTGTAGTTTTTCCTTACTAATTTAACTTTATTTTTTATTAATAAAGGCATATGGTTACTATAGAACCTCAGCAGCTTAGTTGCTGATGTGGGATCATTATGATTTGAAAATGGAAAGGAAAATAAAACAGCATAACCTTGGCATAGCATTATATATATATATATATACACACATATATATGCACACACTCACGGTGGGATTTATCCCACATTTGAACTATGTACCATTGAATTTTTTTATTAAAAATTTTTATTTTTTAAAATTTATTGATTCAGATTTCAGTTATAACTCTATTAACTATTCTTAGAAAGTTAATGATCATCAATTACTATCTGACATATGGCTCTTCTGGGTTCCAAATAATATAATAAAAAATTAAAAATGTTTTTAATAATAAGCTAAGATTTATAGTTAAAAATTTATTTGAAGAGACAGATTTGGGCCCCACCCCCAATCTTTTTCCTTCAGCATCTTGTTCTCTCTCACCACTGACTTTGTTTATCATGAAGTGGATTCCTGCCTTTTTTTTTTTTCCTTCTCCGTTAATTACTCTATAATTCTCTTGATAATCCTATAATCATGGGTTCAGTACCAGCTAGCCAGTTCATCACATGAGAGAAAAACACACAAGTACAGTAGTGTGTGTTGGGTTTTGCACAAGGGAAAGGGTGAAGAATTTTCTTGAGTATGTAGCATAGTTAAGGATGAGCAAACGATTCGGTTAATCGAAAATCGAATAAAATCGAATCGAATTATGAAATTTGGTTCGATTTTAAATATAAAATTATACAATATATAACTGAATCGAAAAAACCAAAATTATTTCGGTTCGGTTCGGTTTTTAGAAAAAAAATTTCGGTTTCGACCGAAAACCGAAATAAAAAGTAAAAAATTTTCTAATTTCTAAATCTCTAACTTTTCAATCTTCATTCTTGTTGAAACTGAAACACGCAGATGGAAAGTAAATTTTGAGGACCGTTGGGTTAAGAAAAGAAAGTGAAAGAGTATAATTAATTAGGATACGAGTGTGTTTGAATGAGCAAATTTATTACACTTGGACTCGTTTTCATTAAAGCTTAGTTAAAATCTTCAAAGGCTTTGTGATTGTTTATAAAAAGGATTAATTGATAACAAGATGTTACTTCATTGGCTAGTGGACTAAGTGCTAGTACAAAACATCTCTCTGTAATAATTTTTTTTATAGCAAAATATTTTGGTTAAAACCGAAATATTTTAAAACCAAACCTAAATAATTCGGTTACAAACCGAATTTAACGAATTTATTTCGGTTCGGTTTTGGTTTTTATTTTTGTTAATTCGATTAACCAAAAATCGAACCGAATCGTATAAAATCGAACCGTTTAACCGAATGCTCACCCCTAAGCATAGTCATTTGATGTTAATTTTGTCCTCAATGGACCATATTCATGCTACTTAAGCAATAGAGTAAAACATGATTTCTTTATTGATGTTTTCTTGGACCTTCATTACCTCTTACTGTTTCTGTACAATATTATTCAACCCAAAAGGTTTGACTTTGTTATGCAAATTTTTTGGGTTCATTCATAAACAAAAGGTAGAACTGATGCTAGTGATGATGGTTGTGACTAGAATGATTCAACTGGAGGCTTGTAGTCTTGCCTAATTGGTGTTTGTTTATTTTGTTGTAATTTCGGTTACTTTAATTTAAAAGAAAACAAAAGAATTTTTTTGGTTTTAGCTTAGTTCATTTCATCGTGACTCTGGATATGGCATTGTATCTTTGTGTTATGGAGATTTGATTGTTGATTAGAATGCTCCTCACTCACAAATTTTTCATCTCCAAAAGAATAAACAAAGGCAGGGAAGAGAGGGAGAACGAGTTGCAAGCAGTGAGAACGAGAGAGAACAAGATGCTGAAGGAAAAAGATTGGGGTGGGAGCGAATTTGTTCTTTCCAATAATTTTTTAATTATAAGTTTTAGTTTATTATTAGAAATATTTTTATTTTTTTAATCTGTTATTTGGTATCTACAACACCAAATGTCGATCAATGATTGATAACCATTAATAATAACGTGTTGGAGTAATATTTGAATAAATAAATTTTAAAAAATAAAAAATTTCAATAAAGTTAAAAAAAAATCTCGATAAATTTTTTTTGAATAATATAAGATATAAATATGAGAAAAACTCATATATGATGAGGGGGTAATTTATTATGTTAGAGGTAACATGAGGTAGCCCAATATTGTGTCAATTATAATTTATAAGTCTTTGACTATAAACTTTTTTTAATGCATTTCTCATTCCTAACGAGAATTAATTAAATTAGAAAAGGGGATTAATAAAAAATAAGTGACACCTCAACTGATTAATGTATAATATTTTCGTTACATCCACTCTCTTAACTAATTGAAAAGCTCAATAGCTGATGATAAAGCATCTTATGAAGCATGAGTAAATTTTGAACTCTTTATCTCTCCTAATTAGTTCCTTCGGTGCCTCTTAATTCATTTCCAAACGCTAATTATGTTAGTAAAGGATAATCTGCATGCTCTAGGAATGTTCTCAAATAATAACAGCAAGGAAATATTGAAATGTGTTTATCATCAGATTGTCTTTAATTCAGTGCTCGATATAATTGATGCATTTGGCTTTTCGAAATTTGGAAGAACGGTCTTTGACTCTTTTTCTTGTTAGTCTCTTTTAACTTTTTATAATCTCAAAATGTTAGTTTTTTTTTTCACACAGTTTAAAAAAATATATTAATTGTTATGAAATATTAGTCTTTTTTATCCTTGCTTTTTTAAAATACATTTACAACAAATTTTTTTAAAAAATAAAGACATTTTTAAAAAATATAATATTTAAAATTTTAATCAGACAATTATTTTGAGACAGATATAAATAGAAAAAAGGATAATTTCTTTAGGAAGGAGGAGGTATCATTTTTTTTAATAATAATATTCGACTGTTTTTATTTTCTAAACATATAGCGTCAAAATTTTAAACATTTAAAAAAGATAAAAATTTTAAATTTCCATTTCCGGTTGGAGGCCGACTCCATAGCTTCAAACACAGCGAGTCCAAACTTGACTCTGAAAATGGGCCCAAAACCCATGTCCAACAGAGTCCATAGTACAATTAATCTTGTAGAAGATTGTCTTGTTAAACCTTAATCTTATTATTATTATTTTTTTTGTGTGTGTGTGTAGATGTAATAATAAAAAATAATAATGAAGAATCAGCCTGAATTTAGTCTGCCAGGCCCGTATAAGATCGGAGTGTATTATCCCAAATGATTAAAGGCAAATTTGTTAAGAATAGAAAAGCTGAAGAAACAACTGTACGAGCCTTGGAGGGAAATTAAAATCAAACAGCCTCCATGGATAATCAGTTCAATTAAGCTTTAGAGAATATGACAGGCAAGTCACATGATGAATACCATACGTTAGGAGAAAAGTAGCAACAAAGATCTTAGACCAGCAAACAACTCGATACTGAGGTTGGGATAAAAGAGGGTCTCACAAATATTAAAAGTGTAGGGAAAGTTTAATATATCCACCAGCACCAATTTCAATTAATTTTATTATAAAAAACTTATAATTCATAACTTACTACCTCAAACAACTTGCTAAATCAGCTTCGTGAATCACTGTATCTTTTGATTAATCAGAAAATATGCACGAGGTCAACATTTAATTGTTCAGTAAATTTATATTTATGCTAACAACGATGTTTTAAAACTGACCAATGATGAGAAGAATAAAAAAAACCCAAAAGCTGTTAGAACATAACAATATTATAAGTACAAATCTTGAGGTTGTTACAAATTTCATAGTTCATTTAAAAAATTCATAATTTATTTATGGTCTTCCTTTGGAGAGGCCGAGGAAAAGACTAAATTGCAACCTTTTTTTTTTTTAGCTTGGCAATTCAATCCACCTTAATAGCATTGAAAATGCTAGCTCAAAAAGTCAGATTTTTCCTCGTTCCTAATTCTAAAAACCAGCAGATTTTTCCTCATATTTATAATCAAGTACCTTCTAAATTCTAAAAGCTAACTCAAAAAATTGTCCTACACTCTGTTACTAGCATTAGGTGTTATTAAGTATTTTCAATCTCAAAAGCTAATTCAAAGAATGAGGTTTTTCCACATTTTTATAACCAAACACTCAATCTGCTTCACAACTAATGTGAGTTAATACAACAAAACATTTTTATACCAATTAGATGTAATATCTGCATGTTAATTACACCTAATAAAGCAAATATATTAATTAAATCCCCTACCACTTTTATCATGGATGGTTAATGAAATTAGGGACAACATAATTCACATTACTTTAGCACTTTCTTAGTTGCATCTCCATATATATCATTCATTCCCATCTCAAGACATCAAATTCAATTAGAGACAGCCACAATGAGGCATGTCAGTGGCAACCTAAAATACTGTCATTTAATATCCATATTAATCATTTCAGTAGTTTTTCTAATCTCTTTTCTGGCTTGCTATGTGTTCAATGAGCACGTATACTTCAACTTGTTTCCATTCCAGTTAAAAGAGCCAGCAATTAAAGGAACTCCTAAGAATGTCGACAATGATCATAAAGTTGAAGCAGAAACTGATCAAGATGTGAATTTAGTCCCGAACAGAAAAGCTGCAAAGATGGTAGAATCAATAGAGAGTTGTGATATTTTCACCGGAGAATGGGTTTTTGATAACATAACACGTCCCTTATACAAAGAAGGTGAATGTGCATTTCTCACAGAATGGGTTACCTGCACGAAAAATGGGAGGCAGGATTCCACGTATCAGAATTGGAGATGGCAACCGAGAGATTGCTCTTTGCCAAAGTACGTATATACTTTTTGTGTGTATTATCGCATTTTTATTGATTAATATTCATGTCCTTTAAGGTTTTTTTTCCTCTTATACATTCATATTTCGTTATCATCATGGCACCCAAGGTATTAACAGGACATTTTTCCGGGTCATAATTGCCTTCTCCACATTCGCATTTAAGGGAAAGATAATATTTATGTTTATGCACCTCTGGTCAGGTTCAATGCAGAATTGTTGCTGGAAAAACTGAGAGGAAAGCGGCTTATGTTTGCTGGAGATTCTATACATCTAAATCAGTGGGTATCACTAACTTGTTTGGTACAATCTGTCATTCCACCAGGCAAGAAGAGATTGAGCTATTCGGACCATATCCAGACCTTTAAAATATAGGTAATAATTGAACACTAATACTGCCATTAGCAAGTTTTTTCATTTGCCTGCAAAGTAGCCTGAAACCGAAAAAAAATAATCAATTTAGTGGGAAAAGAAAGGAACATAATTTTTCTTGAGACAACATGTCAAGAAATTACACAAGAAAAAAGAATTACTAAAAATTACTCTGACCAATTTGCTGTTTTAATTTTTTTATTTTTTTTTTTTTCAGGAATACAATGCAACCATTGAATTTTACTGGGCTCCGTTTTTGGTTGAGTCCAATTCAGACCCTCCAATGTCAAGGGACGGGAAAAGGGATCCCATTATCCAGGCTGAATCAATTTCAAAGAGTACTGGTGATAATTGGAAGCATACAGACTATCTCATCTTCAACACCTATATATGGTGGATGAGGTATCCCACCATGAAAGTATTGTAAGTACTGAGAACTACTATGTGTTTCTGATTTTTCAAGTCCCTCTTTTGAATAAGAGCAATTTTCATCAATTGATTTGACACTTGTGGATTTGATGAAAAAGACGAGGATCATTTGATGACGGGCCCAACAACATTTATGATGAAATCGATCGGCATGTAGCGTTTGAGAGAGCTTTGAGGACATGGGTCAAATGGGTTGAGGAAAATGTTGATCCTAATGGTACCCAAATTTTCTTCAACAGCATGGCTCCTCAACATGTCTGGTAAGTTAGGCCTTTATAGTGCTTATTTGATATATTTGTCTAGTAGCTTCTATCAAGCTGCAATATATAACCTCTTTATTCTACGAAAATTCGAGTTTTAAAAAGATGGCACTGATGAAATTTAATTATTATGTGGATGCAATGGAACAGGGGATTGGATTGGAACAACCCAGATGGAATTATGTGTGAGAAAGAGACCAGGCCAATTTTAAACATGTCAAAACCTTTTGTAGTTAGCAGTGACTACCAATTTTTTGTAACTGCAGTAAATGTGACTCAATCAATGAAAGTTCCTGTCCACTTTATCAATATCACAACCCTCTCAGAGTACAGGAAAGAAGCACATCCCTCTATTTATGGTGCTCGTGGTGGCAAGTTACTCTCCCCAGAGCAAAAGTCTAACCCAGCCATGTATGCAGATTGTGTTCATTGGTGTCTCCCAGGAGTGCCAGATGCACGGAATGAATTGTTGTACACATACATTACCTTCCTCTCTTGAGTGATGAGTTACATATTCTTCCAACAGTTTCATTTTTTTTTTTTTCTGTTATATATTTCTATCTTCGTCTAATGTTCAAGGTGTAGATACGGATAGATTTTCCAATTCAATTAGGAGAAATAGATTAGAAAATTGTGTCAAAATTAATTTTGTTATTACGAGTTTAGTTTAGAAGAGCATATTAATGATTTGTTTGACATTAAAAAAGTGGCAAACTTTGAATTATTTCCAGAGAAAAAGTGGCACATTTTTTAATTGCCGAAGCCCAACTAATGAAAATTAGGGAGCATTTGACATAAAAGAGTAGCACATTTTTTTACTATTCAACCAGAAATGCCATTTTAAACAGATATTAGCCATTGTAGTAGTTTTCTTGATCTCTTTCCTAGTTTATTGCCTAGCGAATGATGAGCACCTAAATTTATTCTCATTAGACTCCTGTAATGATAATGGTAACGCTGAAAGAAATCGTGTAAACAAAGAGAAAAGTTGTGAGATATTCACCGGAAAATGGGTTTTTGATGACAAAAGGCGTCCTTTGTATAAAGAAAATGAATGTGAGAAAATGGGCTAGCTGTAAGAAGAATGGGAGGCCAGATTCCATGTCTCAGAATTGGAGATGGAAACCAAAAGGTTGTTCTTTGCCCAAGTAATTCTATTATATGTATGATGTAAAGAATTTCTACGACTATTATTGCATCATTACTTGCATGTTCATCGATTCTTTTTTTTTTTTTTTTGGGCTATTCATCCATACCTTAATTAGTGAATTATGATATGTGTTGCTTAATCAATAATTTCTACGAGGGTTTCAAGGTTCAAAGCAAAGTTGTTACTAAAGAAACTTAAGAGGAAAGGGCTTATGCTTGTTGGAGATTCAGTATATCTAAATCAGTGGATGTCCCTGGTTTGTTTGTGATACAAGGCCGCTAACAAAAGAGAATAATATTGGAAGAAAGAGAGAAGAAGGGAAGAAGGAGAGGGTACAGAACAGAAGAAGATTCGGGAGAAGTTGAGAGAGAAGTTTATTATGAAATCTGTTGAATATTCCTTGTTCTGTTTTGTAACAGGCAAAACAATTGTTAGTTATACCAGCTATTCTAACTGGCCAAGGCCCAAGAGACTAACTTAACTATAAAAATAATAGTCTATGTGCTTAAGTCCAGCCCAGCTGGCCCATGGCTCAGCTTCTTCATTTACAACCCTAATTAAAAAAATTCCCAATTCAATTAGGGATTTATCGTTGCCCGTTTCTTCCTCTACTCTCCCCTTTCTCTGCTTCTGCCTGTATCATTTTGATTCAATCTGCTATTTCACCTGGGAAGAAGTGCGTGATCAATGCCACATATATCAAAAATTTTAGGAATAGAGATCAACTGACTTTATGGTTTTGAAATGAATGCAATAAATAGTTAATAATATTATTCCAGAGTGTTTCTTTAACCACAAAATATCATAGAAAATGCCTATGATGAAGCGTCAATAAAAACTGATCTATGATTTGTGTTGTTTCAGTTGAATTTTAAGGAATACAATGCCACCTTTGAATTCCGGTTGAGGCCAGTGGAGATGATTTCCGAGACGGAACAGCGTACCCCACAATTATGGCAGATTCAATTTCAGAGAAGGGAGAGAGTTGGAAGCAAAGAGACTAATCTTCTATTGGCACCTATTCATGGTGGATTCTTTTTCCCTACGTTAAGAGTATTGTGAGTTTGTAAGTATGCTGTTGCCATATGCGTGTTAATTTTTGAAGTCTTTCTCTCACAAAAAAATAAATAATAAATAAATAAATCCCTCCAATTATGTTCGAACCTGCATGTGTTCTAATAGACTCGCTCCGATAGGGCTCCATTCCGCTTAGAGCAAAGATGATATATGAAATATCGTTTCGAACGAGACACGAGATGAGGATAAGATGACATTTTTTAGAACGAGATGAAGATGAGAATAGTCATCTCTACCTTATCTTTTTGTTTTTAAGAATGATAATTTGACAAAGCCTCACCTCATTTGAAACGAGGATTATATGTAAAATATCGCTTCGAACGAAACAATAGGTGGGATGGAGCGACATTTTCTAGAGCCGGGCAGAGATGAGCAATGGCCATCCCTATGCATGAGTCCTCGCCATCTCCAATTCAAAAGTCTAAAGTCTAAACTGATGGATCATGAATTCATAATTTATTTTATATGTAAACAGTTGTTTTTCTATTCATTTTCAATGTAGAATATTTATCACTTGTATGTACACTTAATAAATTTCTTTCTCACATGCGAGCCCGGTCTATCCCAACACAATTTTCCTTCTAACAGAAATATTTGACGATATGAGTGCAATATTCCACAATCGCTACTCGTTCCAAGCAAACCTTCGGCCCTGCGACCAGTTGTTGAAGACCTGCCTATGCTCGGAGAGATGCATGGACTTTTGTAACTGCATTGGACCTATACACACGAAGGACTTAGATACAAAAATAAACATCACTTGCAATCATAAAGTCTAGACTGATGAGCCATAGGCCAATTTTGTTTATAAACACCTCTTTTTCATATTTTTTTCAATGTGAAATATTTATCACTAGAATGTGCATCCAACTAATTATATAGAAAGCCTAAATTTTGTCTTTATATAATTTTTTATATTAATTTTACTTTCAAATTTAATTCACAAATTTCCAAATTAAGAACTTGCATGTACTTTTTGTTCTTTACATCCATATTTATATCTAAATTGTATTTTTTATTGTAAAAACCATTTTATAAGAAACTTAAAGTTTTTTTCAGAGATATTTAATTAAAAAATCAAAATATTTTAAGAAAAAAATCAATAAAAAATAGTTTAGGATAAAAATCAATACTGTTCCTATAATTTGGGAGTATATTTGAGGTTTTGCCAGGAAAAAAAATCAATTTTAATAAAATGGATGTCAATTGATGATAAGGACGAGGATCGTTTGATGTGGGGGGCCAGGGGGGACATAGTGTGATGAAATTGGGCCACGTGTGGCATGTGAAAGAGCTTCGAGGCATGGGCCAAGTGGGTTGACGAAAATGTCGATCCTAGTCGTACTAACAGCTTGTCTCCTATGCATTTAAGGTATGGTCAGCATAAAAATAATAGTAAATACTATATAAAGATGTTTATTTATTTTTTTAATATTAACTAAATAAACTAAAACAAACGTTAGTTTACTTTTCTAAATACTATTCATATACTAATATTTCACTATTTATTAGTTTTTTTATACTTTAATCTTTGATCTTTGTCAACGAATCTTTCGATCCACATCTTCATTTGCTCAACTATTTTGATAACTAGATGAGAGATGTAAGGAGGGAAGAGAGATTACCGACCAAGCTTATTTAGGTCACTTTGATCGACGAAAATCCACTATATTTTTTTATCTTTAAGAGATGAGTTTGTCTATGGTTGTTTCAAGCCATGAAACAATTAGAGGAGGTAGATCGGAGCAAAAAAAGGAAACAATATTCCAATTTGATTGTGTAATTTTTTTTTTGTGTGCATTAAAGTGATTTTTATGGTTTTATATGTGTTTATTGGCTTTATTCCAATCATTTAGAGGTGTTTTGGGGAAAAAACGGTATCGGAATTCAATTTTTAGAGGTCCGAAACTTGATTCCCGATTTTTCAGCGAAGATTTCGATGACCTCCGATAGTCGGAAGTTGCAAACTTTTTTTTGTTTTTTGGAGCAGCAGCCCAAGCCCGAAGCGTAGGGCTTTTTTTTTTCCTTCTTCTTTTTTCTTGTCCTGTTTCGGCTTAGGAAATTGACTTTTATTTTGGTCCCTTCTTTCTATTTTTTTTTATTTTGGTCATTAAACTTTTCTTATCTTTGATTTTTATCCCTATCGAAATATTAAAATTTTATTATATGAGATTTTTATCCTTATAATAAAATGTTTTTTTTAACTTTGAAAAAAAAATTATGTTCTTTTTTTTTAATATGTTTTTATTTTAGTCATTAAAGTTTTCTCATATTTGATTTTTATCCTTGCTATACTCGAAACTAAATAAAGTATACTATCCTAAGGTTTTTTTTTCTTTTATGAAAATTTTCTTACTATTCTAATTTATGTTTTGTGATTTTTTCTTTGTTTTCATCATTAAATTTAGTAGAATTTTTTTTATTCTTTTTTTTGTAATTTTTTTTTATCATTAAATTTTTTCCCTACAAGGAAATATTTTTTACTTTTAGTAAAGCTTGTTTGTTATATTTTGGTTTTTGTTTTATAATCTTTTATTTATTTTGATCATTAAACTTTTATTATATTTAATTATTATTCACTCTACATTAAAATTAAATACATTTTAACTATGCTAAGTTTTTTTTTTTTTTATGAAAAAAATTTCTGTTTTGATTCTTATTTTATTAATTTTTTTTATTTTGGTCATTAAAACTCCATGATGTTTACTTTTGTTCCTGTCTTATGCATAATGAAATTTTTTTTAGTGTTATTGTTTATAAGTATTTTTTGTATGCTTTCGGTGAAATTTGTTTTATTTATTTTTATCTTTTTTATGATCTTTATTTTGTTTTAATCATTTAATTTTTATCGTGCGTAAGTTTATCTCTATTTTCTTTGTTAAATTCTCAATTTGACAAAGTTTTTTTGTCTTTTTATTTTGAGTGGTCTCTCTATCTCATTAACAAATTACGGATGAATAATATGTGGTAAAAATTAATCATCAAAAATTAAAAAAACTACCACATTATTATTTTAATTATCGGTTGTTAATAAAATACATGGTTATATTAAATAATATCTAATTACCAACATTATATTACTCAACTTTACTGATTTTCATTTAGCTAACTTTACAGACAAATTATGAAATATATGTTTTAATATTTTTTTAATTATTTTTTCATGATATTATTAAATAAAGATTTGTAAAAGTTAAATTTTATATGAATGAATGCATAAAAATATTATATAACTCATCTCACGGCAACGTGTGGGATATATACTAGTCAATAACTAATACAAAATGAAAATCAACACACATGTTTGTACCTAAAATATTTGACTTTATAGTACGGGAGTAGCCACTACGCCCTTCCTTAACTGATAATTGAATTAGGTGTATAAATATCTCAATTTGTATTTGTATAATAATTATTGAATATGTTTACGTACTTAAATTAAGTTAAGTTTCTCTTTAACCACTATAAAAAATTAACCTAAAAAATACCTTCCGTTCTCAGACATTGTTAGTTAGATGATTAAAAAAATAACTATTTTATGTAATTAAGTTCTATAGCATTAATGGCTTTACTAAAAAAAAAATTAAATAAAGCATTAATTTTATGAAACCATGTCATTTGCACCTTTTATGTTCTACATTCTTTTTATCTCTCCCCGTTTTATTTAGAGACACAATGGATTGGATATTCCACCCACTAATTCATTTTTTTATTCTGCTCTTAAAAAAAATATTTTGACTATATTCATTAGAAATGACATTCTAAACTCATACTCGAATCATATCCGATTTACCTATTTATTTAATATCATTTACTAACTGCTAAAAATTAATTATTAAAATATTTTATTTAGTTTCTGTAATTTTTAAAAAAAGTTATTTTGATTATATTAAATTTTTACACTTTGTTCCTTCATTTATAAGTTTTGACCCTCAATTTTTTTATAAAAAAATATTTTGGTCCCTATCTATAAAGTGTGTGCAATCAAGTTTCTGTATTTTTTAAAAAATAATTTTTATTGGTAGGCTATAAAACGAACGACTTTATTCTGAAAGTCATATTAGTTAATTTTTTTTTTTTATCTTTATCTACTTCAATTGTTATTTCTAATTTTATTTTATAATGATAATTTGTAACATAACCCATCACAATCCTCTCTGTGATCATTTTGTTCTTAATTTGTTATAAAACTCATCTTCGAATTCTTAGGCGGTTCATGGTTTGGAAAACAAAGCAACAATAACAATTCAATTAGCCACGAATGTTTTTTTTTAAAAAAGATTGAAATCAACTCCTATCATCCAAATGCTGAATCCTATCTTTGAAAATCAACTTCTATCCTCGAAAAATGAACTCTTACCTTATGATTGATTACTATCTCAAATAGTATTAATTATGTTGAAATTTCATTGCAATCTTTTTAATTCCTACCCTCTCAGTATCTACGCCCACTAACCCACCCCACCCCACCCCGCCTCCCCCGCACCCCACCAAAAAAAAAAAAAAAAAAATCTACTCCTTGAAAGGCTCTGTTTTCTAATTGTTAATTCTAATCCTCTAAATTTTGATTTTGGTCCAAAAAAAAAAAAAAAAAAACCTGCGACCTTTTAAAATTAATTTCTACCCTCTAAAATTTAATGCAGTCCTTTTACTATGGTCAATCGTTACCATCTAAAATTGATTTATAGACTAGTGTCAAACCTACGAAATACGATTTGACCCAAAAAAAATTGTATTCCTACCATTTAAAATTGATTTGTAATAATTGAGATTGAACCTTTAAATCTCAATTCTCAACATTTGAAGTTGATCTCTAGCTTATAAATTGATGCTCCTACCTGTTGAATTGGATTCCTATAATATAAAATAAACTTCTACCTGTTAAAAATCATCTCCCATCCTCTAGATATGACTTGATTTCGCCCCCTGTGATTGAACTGCAACCTTCTCAAATCTTTTCTTGTTATTGTAAATGACTTGTACGTACCCTTTAATTATCAATTTCTATTCTTCTTATAACCCACTGATGAAAATCAAACATCTTCTAAAATCGATTAATAACCTCTAGAAATGGATTCCAATCATCTAAAACTTAATTACACTCTTACAATATCAATTTCTATCACCTGACCGTATAAGCATATCCATTGATATATATATATATATATATATATATGAACCAGTGATTTTATTAGATGCTGCTGCTTTATATTTATAGTGCATAGTTGGTAAGTTGCTGTACGTGGAAAGAAAGAACGAGTGGTATATGGATTAGTAAAATGCAATGCCTTGCTGGGGACTATTGCATTTTGAAGCTAATTAATTAGCAAGACCGGCAAAGGCGGATTATAACTTACGAGCGAATGAATGCAATTAATGTACCACAGGGCCTCAGACTGGAACAACCCAAATAGGATATAAATGACCATCGATATATCGCAATAGCCAAAAAGGTGATTTGATCAATGAAATTTCTAATCAACTTTCTCAATATAACCACCCTCTCCGAGTACAGAAAATCAACAAGGGAGCATAAAGCAAATCTAATAAAGTTTTCTGATTGTGTTCATTGGTGTCTCCCTGGATTACCTATGCATGGAATAAGTTGCTCTATGCATATATCACCATTTTCTTCCAATTTGTGCTAGTGAAAATTTGTTTTATTGAATTTTTATTCACCATTAACACCAATATTCAAATATTTGTTTTACACAATTTTTTGTTATCCTTTTGATTCTCAAGTATAAAATTAACAATTTCAAGCCAATGTTAACTATTGCATAAATACAATAGAATTACGTGTCTGTTTCTGATGCAGTCATTTTTTTTTTTTTTTTTTTATGCTTCATTCCTGATACGTAAATCTTAAGGATGATCTATCCTCTTACATCTTGTTTGCAGTTGAATAGAATGTGACAAATGGGACTCTAGCTCTACTGGTAGTTATAAATTATAATTCCTTTTTAAGAAAAGATTGCGGGTTGCCAGTTTTTTTCAAGGAAGAGCCAACCTCAATTCTTAAAGAATAAAATTAAATAAATGAGTCGATTTAAATTTTTTTTTCAAGGAATATCGAAATTAAACCATGGAATATAATTATTTGGGCTCCAGGGCCCTCTATTTAAACTCCAGCCTAGTACAATTTGTAATGGACTAATTTAAAACCATTATATCAAACATGGAGATATAACTATTTCACCAGCGCGTAGAAGGATGGGATGATGACGAGCTTGTCTTGGTCACTTAAGTATGCAATCGCGAAAAGGCTTTTGCCCTTCTTCTACAAACAGTGTACTAGTTTACTCAACTTTTCTGTACTTTATTTTGTTGGAGTAATTTGATATGAAAACAAGCAAATAAAAAAACTAATTAGTTCAGAGACGTGAGAAAATATGTTTTTTAATATATATATATTTTTTTCATAGAGAGATTATACTTTTTAGTATTCAACTAAAATTTTTTATTTCAATAGGAAGAGTCTTTTTTGGCTAGCTTTTGCATATTTTGAGATTAATTCTTCTTTAAACGTGATTAAAAAGCATTTTTCAATGTACGATTTTAAATATTTTAAGAATAAATTTTCAAGAATGCCGACTATAAGGATCGAACTTTAGACCCGACCTATAAATTGACGCTTTACTATAAATAGATTACACTTTATGATTATATTTAACTAAACTTTTATATTTTTTAAAAGAATGAAAAGAGCTGATGTATGTATTTTTTATTTAATAAAAGGTATTTATTTATAGATTTAAATTAATATAATGAAACTATATAGTTGTTAATAAAATGGTTACGTTTTTTGAATTAAACTGAATAACACATCTTCTAATAAATTTAATTTCAAAAATTGAAAGACAAATCGATCAGCAAGGAAAAATTATTCGTAATTTTAGTTCTAAATTTCAAGTTTCAATTTTTGATATCATAAATATTCATATACAAGACCTATCAAAAAACTAACCAAATATTTCATAAGAAGATCAGCTATGATTGCACTCATTTAACTATTACACTGAAAAACCCCACTCTTATGAATATTTTAGATATGATTGTTTTAATGTGGGATAGACTTTTCTCCTTCTATTTCATTACAAACTATACTAACGTATTTTAAACTTCAAAGGTTTTTCATTTTAACAATGTTTCAAAATATTCTTATTTGTTTTGATCCAAAAGTTTTCAACAAGAATTTTTTAAGGCATAGTGACATGCAAAAAGGAAACTCAAATTAATTAAATGATCACAGGCCGGACGAAGCAGTTCAACAAAAAGCTTCAGGTGATTTTGACAGGAAGTCACGTGCATCGAGGGAAAAATAATCATAGAAATATCGAAAAACAACTCATATAAGTGGTTTTTTTTTCTTCCCTACTTGGCAAAAAGCGCAAAAGATTTATAAATACAAACACCTTTCACGGGATTATTTCTTGTTGTTATTTTTTTCTAATTATAATAAGGTTGAAACAACTTGCTAAAATCAGGCTCGTGAAACCCGGCAGATCTTGCTTTCTCTTATTAGCCACAAAAATAAGTAGAGATGGTCAACGTACAGAGGTACTTCTCTTTATAATTTTAATGGTGTTTGTTGGTTTGTAAGCGATGTATTTAGCCGATCACGGATTTTTTCTGCTCTACTCGAAGATTATTTGGACAAACTTTTATTATGAACGGAATAATCCTTATCAGCCATCAAGAGCATTGCAATTGGGTAAAAGTCAGAGGGTTAATAGGGAGGAATGATCCAAATAAAGAAGATCTCTCTCCTCCCACTTGTATATATATATATATATATATATATATATATATATATATATATATATATATATATAATCATGTAGCTTTTTAAAATGTTTAAATAACAATATTATTGCCAAACATGATTACGAATATATCATTAGACAATAACAATATTCATATAAAAAAATTTTAAATCTTTAAATTGCTTTAAATTGATGTAATGAGATGTTGAACACTGAAAAAAAGATCAAATTATCCTCCATTTTATGTAAATTGATCACATATCACCTACGTAAAAATTAACTAATAATGAGTTCTATTGATTTCCTAAAATCTATTCTATAATAGCATTTAAATTTGATTGAATCTTTTTTAAGGTTATTATTCTCTTGTTCTCTAAAATTCATGGAGTAAGATATCATTTTCTTAATAATTTTTTTATTCTAGAGTGTACTCCTTGGAAAAAAAAAAAAAAAAGAACATGGACATGCATGCAAATTAGATGTTTTACCTAACTGAATTGTTAGCATAACAAATGTTATACGTTTTGTCTTCTAAGCTAAAACTACCCAACTATCAATTTTAATCCTAAAATCACCGACCCATAAGAGCATCTCCAATGCTCTCTTTATAGTGAGATTTTTTTTATAATAAAGAGGTTTGATCTAAATTTCATCTTCAATGCTCTCTTTATCACAATCTCTATTTTTAAAATTGATATAAAGAATGTCTTTGACTCTCTAATACTAAAGAGTCCAAATGACTCTTTATCTTATATTTTATTAATAAAAATTACTATTTCCTACGTCACTCAACTTCTTCACCAATAAAAATTACTATTTCCTATGCCACTCAACTTCTTCACCAATAGTCTCTCCAGGTTTTATAGATTTTGTCAAAATAAAGAGTTAAGTAGAGAGTAGCATTAGAGAGGATATTGATCTTTAATCTATATAATTAATGATACTCTTTATTTATATTAAAATGCTAACTAAAAGTAAAGAGCATCGTTGGAAATGCTCTAAGCAAGAAAGGTTGAAAGACAAAACTACAGCAATTTTATGGGCTTGACCTTATTAAGGAAACGTGGATGCCAGTTAATATTTCTATTAATTAAATAGAAGTGCATATTTTCATGGGTATAAAAAATGTACTTGCTTCCCTTGCCACTAATTAAATAATACGAATGGGATCGAGGACAAATGATTCTGAAAAGAAAACTAAAATAATGAAAGGCAACGACGCCGACTATCATATTTTAATCGTTTTTGTTTTTTCTATGTTCTATTTTTTTTTTTTTTTTTTTTTGTTTTATGAGCATTTTAATTACTCTTCCAGTTTCTTTCATAATTCGTGTATATATATATATGATAAGCATTCTTTCGCACCGCAAGCCCAAATTACCTCTAAACAGTCACAATGAACCAGGAGAATTGTGGCAATCTGAAACTCCAATATCCTAAACTCGTATTAACTACTGTAATAATATCCTTGGTCTCTCCCCTTCCTTGCTTTGTTTTCAGTGAGCACACAAATTTGGGATCATTCCCATCTGACTTAGTAAAGAGTGACCACAGCCATCATCAAATTGAAACAAAACAAGCAAGCAAACAAGTCAAAAAGCTTCGATTGACACCAAAGGAATCTTGTGATATATTCACTGGGAAATGGGTTTTTGATAACAGAACTCATCCTTTATACAAAGAAGATGAATGCCCTTATCTCCAACAATGGCTTTCATGCACAAAGAATGGAAGGCCGGATTCCATGTACCAGAGTTGGAGGTGGCAGCCAAAAGGTTGTTCTTTACCAAAGTAAGTACCTTATGTATTTCTTTGTTATAAGTATTGTCAATACATATTTCATTAATTATTTGTAGTTTATTGCTTAAGGAATATTGTTCCGTAATAAATATTTGTTTCTGGGGAATTAATGAAGGTTCAACGCAAAATTGTTCCTAGAGAAACTAAGAGGGAAGAGGCTTATGTTTGTTGGAGATTCCATTCATCAAAATCAGTGGATGTCCCTGGTTTGTTTGGTTCAATCCGCCATTCCAGCTGGCAAGAAGAGGACGAGCTTTTCCACCTACAGGAACCGTTTCATCATCCAGGTTAACACATACAAACATGCATATTCCATGTCCTTTTCCTAACATTGCCTTGAAACCAAAACAAAAGAAGAAAAAAATTTAGGACATAACTTTTTCATTGAGGCAGTACGGGAGGGATTTACTGACAATTACTGCATGATTTTTCTTTGTTTTGTGTTTTCCCTTTAATTGATCAGGAGTATAACGCTACCATTGAATCTTACTGGGCTCCGTTTCTAGTTAAGTCCAATGGAGATCCTCCAAAAATGAGGAACGGAGCATCCAACTTTACTATCATTTCTGATTCAATTTCAAAAAAGGGGCAGAAGATTTGGAAGAAAGCAGACTATCTCATCTTTGACACGTATGCCTGGTGGATTAAGCATCCCACCGTGAGACTGATGTAAGTACTATATTATATATTATATGTATCTTGCATGTGTGTACGAGAATAATTAATTATTACTATTTTTTATTTTTTATATATCAAGAATAGTTAATTCTTGAAGTATATAGCGAAATTTTTCAATGATACAGTCAGCAAGTTGACTGTCTATTTGTGTAATTGATGAGAAAGACGAGGACCGTTTGATACGAGGGCCAAGAAGTATGATGTAATCGAAGCACACGTAGCATTTGAAAGATCGTTAAGGACATGGGCCAAGTGGGTCGAAGAACATGTTGATCCTAATCGTACCAAAGTTTTTTTCAACAGCATGGCTCCTCTACATGTCAGGTAAATAACAAGGAATTCCCTGGTTTTGACTTTTTTTTTCTTCTCGAGGTATTCCTACTTCCAAAATATTTATTATTGTCGATTTTAATTCAATTTCGATCTTTTGGAGTTGATTCTAATCTCTTGAAATCAAGTCTTATTCTTGAAAACCAGTTCCCACGCTTTGATCACGAGGACCTATCGTTTGAAATTTAGTTCCGAACACCTACTTTGAGAAATCAATTCCTAACATCAAAATAGTAATTCTTAAAAAAAGAAAATCATCTTCTATCCTTTAAAATTGAATTCTTACCCTATGAAATAGATTCCTACCTCAAAAAATTATTTATGTATAAATTTAATGACAACCTTTTTTTTAATAATAGTTCCTACAGAGCTATATACATTCCTCTAAAATCTAAATACAATCCCTTCAGAAAAGTTTCTACTACTTGAAATTGACTTCTATCTTCTAAATGTTAATTTTTACCCTCTAAAATTCAATTTTGGTCCTAAAGAATTATACTGACATCATTTAAAATTGATTTCTACGCTTTAAAATTTAATCGCTTCCTTTCAATATCAATTGTTGCCATCTAAAATTGATTTCTAGCCTAGTTTTTTTATCCATTCAAATTGAATTTCTATCGTTCTAAATCAAGTCTTATTCTTGAAAATTAGTTCCCACCCTTTGAACAAGAAGTCCTATCAATCGAAATTTAATTCCAACCACAATATATAAATGAATCTATATACTTTGAAATCAACTCCTATCATCAAAATGCTAATTCCTATCCTTTGAAAATCGACTTCTATCCTCGAAAATTGAATTCTTACCCTACGAAATTGATTCCTGTCTCAAATATTAATTATATACAAATGTAATAACAACCTTTTTAATAGTAATTCCGACTTTCTAAATACATATTCCTGCCCTCAATAAAGAAAGTGAAGCAGCATTCGGGAAGGAGGTAACTTATATGGGCTTGTTTTTTCCTGGCATGCTTCTTCCTTTAGTCCAATGTAGCTGGCCTACATGCTTTCTTTCTCTAGTTTGCGACTCTTATTTTTCTTCTTTAACCTTTCTCCTTCTGGATGTGCACTAGACTTCCTCTTTTTTTTTTTTTTTTTGAAATATTGTTGACTATCAAAACAAGGTAACTAGCACTTTCTCACACATATATATGAACCAGTGATTTTATTAGACGCTACTTTATTTAGCGTGTAGTTGGTATTGATGTTTGTAAAGAGAAAGGACGAATGTTCCATTGGATTAGTAAATGCAATATCTTGCCGGGGACTATTGCTTTTGAAGCTAATTAATTAGAAAGATTAACAATGGCGGATTATATCTTACAAGCAATTAATGTATTACAGGGCCTTGGACTGGAACAACCCAAATGGCGTTATGTGTGAGAAAGAGACTACTCCAATTTTGAACATGTCAATACCATTGGAAGGTAGCAATGACCATCGATATTTTGCTATAGCAAAAAAGGTGATTCGATCAATGAAATTTCCAATCAACTTTCTCAATATAACCACCCTCTCCGAGTACAGAAAAGATGCACATCCCTCTATTTATAACAAGGTGCCCACACGAAAGCAGAAAGAAAATCCAGCCAAGTATGCTGATTGTGTTCATTGGTGTGTCCCTGGGTTGCCTGATACATGGAATGAGTTGCTTAACACATATATAAACAACCAACAATATTGATTCCTATACCATTTTCTTCCAACTAATATTTGTGAAACATTGTCATTGAATTTTTATTCATCATTATCTCCTTAATCTGGTTGTAAGGGGTTCTTGATTACGTAACTTTTGATAACAGAAAGATATATGATAAATATGAAACGAAAAAATCTTGGCTGAAACTTTTTTCTCGCACTTCTGATTTACAAGAGCATTTTTATGTTTCTTTATATCCATTTGATATCCACCACAGCTCTAAATGAGTATAATTACTTTGGCGACTTATTTTATGAGCAATTTGGTTGGTGTTTTTTTTCTTTTAATTTGAATGCTACCAAACAGCAAGGAGGAAAACGTGCATGGCTGTCTCTTAATGACATGGCAAATTTCGCAATCTATGATGTGCAAGAGAAATGGAAAATTTTATAATGCTACAAAGATTAACTAGTGATATGTATAGTAGTTATTTTTGGATCCACTTTGAGGAGAGAGATAGACACATAAAAAGAGAAAAAAAAGAGAGAGAAAATAAAAAAATTTGAACGGACGTGGAAATTTTTTTATTACTTTTGATGGATATGGATGTAATTTCTCTCTTTTTTATATGTATATCTCTCTCCTCAAAGTGGATCCAGGAATAACTACCGTACATAACACTAATTACTCCTTGTGTATTATAAAATTTTTCGAAATGTGTAATATTTTCTTGTTGTTGCTATGATATTAATTATTAACCTCTTCTAATTTATAGATCTGTTTGTTTTGTAGATCATGAGCTTTTTTCAGGGTTTAATTTGCATCTAAGATGCAGATTACCAAAATTTTCTTAGCTTCCATTTTTTGATAATATATATTGGTTGGAACTTGGAAGTAAAATACAAACACCCCGAAAATAGTGAGATTTTGTAGTCGGGCAGCCACAAGCATCAGGGAACATTGAGAGCTTTTCAATTTTGGGTCTGGGACGCACGCACCCAAGAAATAGAGAATACTAAATGCTTTTGAATTTGGGCTTTCATCATAGCATATTGAGGTCTTTTGAATTTGGGTTTCCTAAAATACTAGGCTATTGAATTGGGCTGAAAGCATTATTAAACATTCTAAGCCTTTGGATTTAGGGTTATCATAGACCGACACATTTTAGTGCGCTACAATTAGCTTGTGACCCCTCTAAATAGTTTTCTTCCATGGCTTGAAATAGCTACTACTTTGAAGAGATTTATTTTATTTTTTGTAACTCATCTACATAAACAAAACAAATTTACTTATTTTTTCATAACAAAAATGTAATGTAACACATTATTTGAAGTAATTGTAAACACCGTGTATCTTCTTCAATTAAAATAAAGTATACTGTTATTCCTAAAATATATATTAATAAATATATCTAGGCTAAACATATTTATATGCTAATTTAGTTATTGAAAGGTCTTTTAATTTGTTTTGTATGTATTTTTTATAGATCACTAACACAATGATAAATCTCCACCTTACAATAAGTAAGGAAAAACAATATCGAACTATTCATATAATTCAAAGATCACGAACTCATCAATCAAGATACACGTAACAAGACGAATATCTACGCACAACAAAGGTCTAAAGCTCTTCCATTGCCTCCTATAAGGCTCAAATTCTGCCTCCTCCCAACAGACCCAAAAACCTGTTTGTAAATGTAGTCAGTAGCAAGGGCAACGAGCGACCTGTTTGCTATATTATGTTCATTATAAACCAGCCATTATCCACACGCTATTACCATATAATAGGTCGGATATTGCAAATCTCTAGATAATTAACTCAAGTTTTATTGAGTTGTTTTACATTATCTCTTTTGTTTTCTTCAATATACATATTGCGTTGATCACACCAATGTTAATTATAATCCTAGAACTCCAAAATCACCATCCTTGGATCCCAAAAAACCCATTTCCATCTAGCCAAGTTAAACAAGGGCAGTGATTTGTTGAGGTGGAGAAGTTTTTACATTGCGTCCCTTCCATTCAAGCCATATGCCATGGATATTTCTTGTTCCAAATCTGTGTCTTTCTTTATATTGTTAAGCTTTTGTTGTTCAGTGACGAGTCATGTCTTGGGGTCAATCAGGCTTATGGTCTTCCATTGGTTTTGTACACCAACTTTTGGTGGTCTTAAGGTGTTTCTTTTCATGCTCTTGTTAACCGATCAGATTTCTCCAAAATATCAATAAATAAATAAATAATAGTGTGTGTTGATCAGGGCTCTTAACGGAGATGCTTATTGGGCTTTTAAGTTATGTGTTTGGTTTGGTTTTCTAGGTCTGCATTCAGATTTTCTGGGCCAGAGAACCTCTTTACTGCTGCTTCTGCTGCTTGCTTAGTGGCGATCTAAGACGAAGGCCATTTGATCCCTCCAGTATTATATTATATATCAACAATTTTACAATAGAAAACAGGGACGGGGTCTTGCGGTAAGATCTGTTGCCTCGGATGGGGAACCTCCTTACCTCTTGAGAAGCCTAAATGAAGTTTTTACCTCAAGCTTCATTCCATATGTACTAGTTAGGCGATGCTCTAAGCCTTGACCATTCCCTGCGAGAAGGCCTTCCGGAATTCAACTTCCCTCTGTCATATGGGTGTTCTGATTTTGTTGTTGTTGTTGGCAAAGGGTACTCTCCTTTTATGCTTGTGAAGGAAACGTACTCTTCGTTGAGGAACAAAAAGGAAAAAATCAATTTTCTATGAAATGAATGACACTTAAAACAACATCGGTTCAGGATTTTCTCTTGCAGTAGTAATAATGTAACAGGAGATTCTGTTTATGTGGACATAAATGTTGAAACAGAGGTGGTTGATGTCATTGAGATGGAAACTCATTGTGCCAATATAAAGGTGGAAAATGGAGGAAAATGGTTTGTAGGTCAAGGAGGGAAAGGGAATATCTGTGCGTTTGGATAATGTAATTGCTGAAGAAGTCAACCGGGATCAAGAAAGCGTTGGTTTGGATCAGACGGAAAGACAACGTGAAAAGAGTAGACAATTGGAGGAAAAGGTCGGTTGAGGAAATTTGGCTGCTATATATTGGTTGAAAGATATGTATTGAGGAGAATGGACGGAAGGTTGGGATTGACGCATGAATTCAGACACATTCACCATGTTTGGTGTAAATGGGAACAAGTGATTTTTCCATTTCTATATTTGATTTGTCCATGCGTTCTACGTTGGATTGTCTACTATTTTGATGTTTTCATGAGACTGCCTTTGAGGCCACGAATAAACTACTTGTAAAAGTTTTGTTTTTTCATTGAAGTTCATGGCTTGATCATATACACATATGGAGCGCTGTGTGTGTGTGAATTTGGAAGCGGCTTTCGTGGCCTTGGTTTTGTGTTCATTTATGGAGAAGATACTAAGAGGGAGAAATTGAATGGGCAGTGATTGGCTAACAGCAGTTGTGTCTGACAACAGTCTTTATGGCAGTCTATTGGACATGTATATTTTTAAAATTTTCTTAATCATCCTTCTCCTTATACATTACATTACATAAAACTAAAATAACCGAAGGTTTTACTATTCATTTACTGTAGCATCAGACTTGTTGCACTCGTGGACGACATTTTTGTGATTTTTTGAATTTTGATGGTGAAAATTATGTCGGTTTTTATATTTTGGTCTCCGATATTTTCGAACAAATATTTCAATCCACATGTTCATTTGCTCATCCGTTTTGGTCTCCGGGTTTAGAGAGAAGGGAGAGAGGAAAAGAGAGACGGAGGAGGAGAGAGAGAGAGATCGTCGACCAAGCTTATTTGGGCTATTTTGGGCGACAAAAATCCGTTATATTTTTTATCTTTGAGAGATGAGTTTGTCAATGGTAGTTTCAAGCCATTAAACAATTAGAAGAGGTAGATCGGAGCCAAAAAAAGAAAAAAAGTTCCGATTTGATTGTGTATTTTTCTTTGTTTTGGTGTTCATTAAAATGATTTTAAAGTTTTAGATGTGTTTTTTTATTTTATTCCCGTTATTTAGAGGTGTTTTGAGAAAAAAAAATGATGTTGAAATTCAATTTCTAAAGGTTTGAAACTTAACCTTTGATTTTCCGGTGAAGCTTCGGACGACCTCAAATTCGCCAAAACCTGCAGATTTTTTTTTTTTTTGGGTTGAACGGCTAGCCAGGCTTGGCGCGCTGGCTTACACTCACAGGCCCAAGCGCGCTGGCCTGCCTGTGCACCAACCAGGTGCGAGCCTGGTCCCTTTTTTTTTTTCTTTCTATATATACACATGTGAGAGGGAGAGAGACAGTAATGAACATATATATATATATATATATATATATATTTTTTTTATTTTTTGATAACTCGGGGTGTTCGGGCAGGCTTGCGAGCATCTCGACTAATCCTCGGATCCACTAAATACTCGCAAACCTAGTGAACAGGTAAAGCACCGCGAGGGTGACGGATATATATAGAGAGAATCGAACTCGAATGTCATCAATGAGCGACCCTCAACCTCACCATTGGACTGCGAACTCAAACGCAGTGATGAACATATATTTTCTTGCGCATGTGGAAGAGAGCGAGAGGCAGAGAAAGAGACATTTGTTTTTTTACGTTGACTATGCAAAAAGGGATTGAAGCGTGAGAGTTTCATTCTCTGTAAGAAAAGAAAGGGGGTTAATACTATTATTTCGTCCTTCTACTTTTTATATTTTCTAAAAAAAATGCTCCTTTACTATTTTTAATTAAATTCATCACTATATTGCATTATGGTTAAGATTGTGGTCTCTCAATGCACTTCAGTGATGACAAAGTTATTTCTTCTGTTACTTAGTTGTGTTTATTTCAAGTAAATCGACATGATAGTTGCATTATTTAAAATATATATATATTTAAAGTCACATGATTTATATGCTTTATTTTTATTTTTTTGTATTTTGCTAGAAGTATTTCGATTTAAAAGAATTTCTTTTTAGAAAAATTAATTGAAATGACAGATTAAATATTTTAAAAAGTTTTAAAAACAGATGAAATGCAATTAAAAACTAAAAACGAGATAAGAGACTTAGAGTATTATATAAAAATATATTGAGCTATTTATTCCAAAAAATAAAATAAATTAAAAAAGAATGAAAAATATTATAAAACTAGCAGGACTATTTAATTTTTTTGGAAAAACTAAAAGGATTAATTTATAATTTACTCCAACCCCTGTAGATCGGTGAACAGGTAAATCCTACTTATTATTGAAAAGTAAACTGAGAGGGTGCTTCATTCTCATGTTTTTAAGGATATGTGTATATATTTAAAATGTTTGGTTTGGATTGTAATTTCCAATAAAACTAAACCATTTGAGATAAAGGAATAGTGATTTACTATTCATTTGAACGGTAAATCAGCGTTCCATTGTTGCATAGTTTTTTTTTTTTTTTTTTTTTTTATGTTGTTTCATTTTACTTCCTAAAAATTTAAAATAAAAAATTTAATCCCCATATTGATGCACTACACATGCTTTTTTTTTTTTTTTTTTTTGGTTTTTTTTATCAATTTATGTTCTTTTTTTATTTGATTGGGTGTTAAAAATTTTGAAAAAAAAATTTTTCTTTGCTTTTTTTCATCAATTTATGCTCTCTCTCTTTTTTTTTTTTTTAATAAGGTGTTAAAATTTTAAAAAATCAATTGTAACTTTGCTTTATATTTTAAAATTAACATATAGTTCAGACTTATATTACTCTTATGATTTAAATTTCATTCTTTGAATTTATCATTTTTTTTTATAAAAATTCTCAATTGATTAATATTTTTTTCATCAATTTATGCTCTCTTTTTTTTAATTAGGTGTTAAAATTTTAAAAAATCAATCGTAACTTTGCTTTATATTTTAAAATTAACATATAGTTCAACTTATATTACTCTTATGATTTAAATTTTATTCTTTGAATTTATTATTATTTTTTAATAAAAATTCTCATCTGATTAATATTTTTTATATGAAATTTTATTTACTGATATTATATAATGTATTTTTCTCTATGTTTGAATTTTAGAATGAAATTTTAAAACATGATTGTTTTTCTTTTTTAAAAAAATAAATTGATATAATATATATCATGAATTCATAGAATTTTTAAATGATATATATATATATATATATATATATATTCTAAATGGTCAAATGTGTATTTCAAATAATTTGTTTCAGTTCGCTAAGTATGGTCAAAATGTATAAAAAAATCATTGAATCGTTGATTTTATTAAAAACTAACTATACATCTTCCAATATCATACAAATTATTTACTATAAATATTTTTTTTAACATTATAGAACCAATTTATTAGGAATAAAATAATTTTTTAAAAGGACAAGTCAATTATTCAAATACTATTTTTATGCTAATTTTATTGATTGTTTTGTAAATATATATATATAGATCAAATGCATATGCTTGAAAAAAATTAATCTTCTCACTAACATTAAATAAGAATAAAATTTTATTTTTTCATTGGATAATTTTTATGTAAGTCTATACATTAATCGTAACTTTATTTTTTGGATACATTCTTATAAAAAAATATAATTTTAAAGTATTTTTTTTGAATTCTTAATTAATATTTTAGGTTTAAATTATTACAAGTTTTTATTTAAGAATTCCTGAATAACGAAGAATAAAATATGTTTTTTTAAGCAGAAATTTTATGAAAAACACACAAAAAATAGTAATAATTAAATAAAAAATTAATGACAAAATTATAACATTTTGAAATGATTTTGTACTATTTACCCATACCGTTGGGCGGATAATTTCAAAAATCAATCATCTCATCAACATTAAATAAGGATTTTTTTCATTTGTTAATTTTTGTAAAAGTTTTTTCATTAATTATAACTTTTTTTTGAAATATAATATTATGAAAATGATATTTTTAAAGTTTTTTTTCAGTTCTTGATTAATATTTTAGTTAAAATTGTTATAATTTTTAATTTTAAAATTAATCCATAAAGAAAAATGATTTATTTTTTTTAAGCAAAGAATTTATTTAAAAAATAAAAAAATTAATTAAATAATATATTATTATTAAAAATTTTAAAATTTTAAAATAATTTTGTTTTATCATACCCGCAACATAGGGCAGGCAACCGATTAGTTTAAGCTCAATAATTTGTGAACTTTCCTAAAGACTGTAGAGCAGTTAGAAGAACAGAATTCGTATATATGTATGCATCTGTATAACAGCCTGTTAACAACAGGAATTGAAAATTTTCAAACCATAAACAATCCATATCCAGTACCAATAATGAATTCAACAAAAGTGAAAGAAAGAAAAATGGAATGAAATTAACAAATGAACAAGTGACACCTGGAATGAAATTAACAAATGAACAAGTGACACCTTGACTTAGCTTTTTGCTTATTCAATTCATTTACAGTTTACTAACCACAAACATCTGATATATTTTATTATATGTAGGTTTTTGATGTTATGGAGCTGACTTAGACTGATGGTACTCTTCTTTCCTCAGAGCACAGTCACAATGAAGCATGTTGGTACCAACAGGAGATGCCAATCCTTCCCAATTTTGATCGTTACACTATTCTTTTTATTATTTTTCCTGGGATTTTTTCTGTATAACGACAGCATGAAGTTCATTGTATTCCAAGTTTCAGTACCTCCAAGTCACCAAGAAATGCTGCTAAAACCTTTCGATTCAAAAGTCCCTACAGTTCAAGAAACTCCCAGCAGGAATAAACAGGACGGGGACAAGAGTGAAGGAGGTGAAGACAGTGATAACCAAAGCATTAATGCGTCAATGACACTAGGTGGTCCAAAAATGGAGCTGCCAACTGTTGAAAAAGAAGATGCTGACGAAAAAGTAGTATTGGAACCTGAGTGTGATATCTTCACAGGACAGTGGGTTTTGGATAACAAGACACATCCTTTGTATAAAGAGGATGAGTGTGAGTTTCTGTCAGAATGGGTGACATGCTTAAGGAATGGAAGGCAGGATTCTCTGTATCAGAATTGGAGATGGCAGCCCAGAGATTGTTCTTTGCCCAAGTAAGTGAAACAGTAAATGGTCCAGCTAGATTCATTCTTGCTGGGACTAATATTGCTCAATCTTTGATATTCATAACCTATCATAAAGGCTAATTATTCTTTCTGATTTGGCGTTAATTCAAGCTAGAGTAAACTATATATGTTTATAATTTTTTTTTCAAGGTTTGAACCAAAACTGTTGCTGGAGAAATTGAAGGGAAAGAGGCTTATGTTTGTTGGAGATTCCATCTATTTTAACCAGTGGCAATCCTTGATTTGTTTGGTTCAATCTGCCATTCGACCTGGCAAGAAGAGCTTGGACTATTCAGGCTACACCATTGTCTTCAAAATTGAGGTATCTCTCTGTTTCACACTAGGCATATTCGGAAAGAAACAAGAAGATTGAAAAAATTGAATGAAGAACATTATGAACATATTGCAGAAACTATTCAAGTTTAAGTTTTTTCTACAAACAACCAAGCTTTCTATATCTCACCTGAATTTTAAAGCTTGACAGCACAACTACCATTTAGATTTATGTTGGATATAACATTCAGTTGTTAACTCGTCGCCTTGAAAAACATGGAAAACCCTTGGTACTTCATATATTTAAGTTTTTGTCTATTTTCTGCAACATTCATATTGGCCAAATCACATTGAACAATCGGCAATTCCTTTCTCAGCCCATCTGTTTTTGGCTGGAAATATTTGAATTTCCACAATAACAATCCTTATAGCATATCGAATGTAGATATAACAATATCTAAGATAAATGGTAGTTGACCTAATCATTTTCCTTGCATCATCAAATTCAAAGATAGAGCTCACTTGCTAACCAAAATACAGATGCATTAAAAACGTAGCGAAGGACTTGCTTAAGATTAGAGCGCATGCTCAATTATTGTTACTCTTGAATTTCCAGGACTATAATGCTACGCTGGAATTTTATTGGGCACCATTTCTAGTCGAGTCCAATTCAGACCCTCCAACAAGGAGAGATGGTAAATCAGACGCCATTATAATGCCTGAATCGATATCCAAACATGGACGTAACTGGAAAGATGTGGACTACCTAATCTTTAACACATATACTTGGTGGCTCAAGTATCCCACAATGAAAGTGTTGTAAGTACTATGTAGTTTTCTTCTTCTTCTTCTTCTTCTTTCTTTCTTTTTTTTTTTTTAACTTGTATCATACAAGTTGTATGCTACAGAATTTTATAGCAGGGCCGTGATCATGAGGTTAACTTTTCCCTTTTGGTTGATGGAAAAGACGAGGATCTTTTGATGAAGGGACCACGGAATATGATGAGATCGAACGACATATAGCATATGAGAGAGTTTTGAGGACATGGGCCAAGTGGGTGGAAGAAAATGTTGATCCTAACCGCACCTTTATTTTCTATAGCAGCACGTTTCCTCAACACTACAGGTATAAAGCACAACCTAATTTCTTGTGGAGTGTAGTTGATAGCAACACCCCCACATATAAAGTATGAAAAGCAGGTGCAGGCTCAACAGCTACTACCTACCAACCCTTGAACTAACTCCTAAAACAAGCTAATCAGAACGAAACATCAATACCAATTTCCTTCAACGTTTTATTAGGGTTAGAAGATAATAATTTAAGAGCTAATTAATTATAGAATATCCTAAATTATTGGTTAATCTCAGAAAAGTTTTTTTTTAATCTGTAATTTAATCTTTTCTTTTCGTTGATCAATCTCAAGTCATATTGAATATATGTGAGAAACAAGTGGAACTACAAAATAACCACACTATTGAAATTTATGTGAAACTGTGGTAGTAAGCAATTTTAGTCATTTACGTGAATTGTATTTTGAGCTTTTATAGTATTTGTTGTTGTTTTTATAACTTTACGTGTATCTTATATCATTTGAAATTTGTCAACAGAATAAAAAAATTTAATTGTAGAAAAAAATTAAGGACCTAAATAAAAAGAAGGTTAAAGATTTTTTTTACCGTACTTTATAACTAATTAGTCTAATTTAAGCATGTACAAATTCATTTCTCCCATGCCACTATGGTAGTAAATTTATGCACGAAGAGCAGCTTGATGGGCAGTTATTTGAGAAGGTAATCAGCGATTTCTTGATCATGTAACGTAGTATAAATCTTCCCAATTTACATGATGATGATGAAAGTGACAACTTGAATGCAAATGCATGAATAGGAACTCAGACTGGAACAACCCAGATGGAATTAACTGTGCCAAAGAGACTATGCCAATACTAAACAGGTCAACACCAGTGGATCTGGGCACAGACCGGCAAGCTTTTGCAATAGCAGCGACCGTGACTCGATCAATGAAAGTGCCAGTCCACTTCCTAAATATAACCGCCCTCTCTGAGTACAGGAAAGATGCACATACCTCTGTTTACGCGGCTCATGATGGTAAATTACTTTCGCCCGAGCAGAAGTACTCCAATCAAGGTATACATGCAGATTGTCTCCATTGGTGTCTTCCTGGGGTGCCTGACACATGGAATGAATTGCTTTATGCACGAATCATGGCACTCTCTTGACTTGAAATTCATTCAATCTTTTGAGGCAAGGATATGAGTTTGTAATTGAATTTCATGAATGACAATGATAAGAAGGTCTTAGAACAATTTGAAGATCCATGATTTTCTATATATATATATATATATATATATAAGCATTCTTTGTTTAAGCATCCAGAGTTCCAGACAAATATTTGAAAATTATATATTCCAAATTTGAAATACACAATCATGATATTTAAAAAAAAAAAAAAAAAACCATGTGTTCAGACCCAATTCTAACACAATTTAAAAAATAAAATCAATTGTACGTTTTTTTTTCATTGATCAAAATCAAAAAAATTCATAAGATATATTTAAATTTATTTATAAAACATAACATTTTATTAAATATATAATAATGCATATTAAATTTAAAAAATCCTACAATTAATGTTAATTGATTTTATTTTACACCTAGATATTTTTAAATTATTTTAAATATTAAAACATATTATATCTTATCCATGACAACACAACAAGCAAGTATCATGTTAGCAAAAGCTAAAATAATATCACTGCAGCAAAGAATATTATTAGATGTTGTTTGATAATCAAGAATGAAACAATGAAAATGGAATTGAATGAATCGAAATGACAAATAAGGAATGGGAAAGGAAATGAGAATCGAAATATTGTGTTTGGTATCTTATTATTAGGAATCGGAATGAAATAATGAAATAACTATTATTATGTTTAGTATAGATAAATAAGAATCGAAATAATATCATATATTTATCATTGTATCTTTCAACAGTCATGATAAATTTTGTCACAAAAGCAATTAAAATTTAGAAAAAGATTATATGAATATTTTTTTATTATTCTTTTAAAACAACGGCTTTGCAGATCACGGTGCTTGACTGAAAGTCTCCGATAAAACCTGTGGAGAATATGACAGCACCATCTCTTGCAGGTCAGAAAGCAGTAGAAGAAATGTTAGAGGAGCTTATGCGATGCTTGAACGATGGTGGCATCAAAAGGATTGCTAGGGGGGGGGGGGGGGGGGGGGGTTGAATCGGAAAGACTACACTAGTGAAAAACTTCAATAATCTTCTTAAGTCTTCTCCTCTAATGGAGTCATTGGGTCATAGTGTCCTAAATTTAAGAGGGGATCGGATTAAATCCTTACCTAATTATGATTAAAGGGAATAAGAAACAATTTCAATTTATATTTGTTTCAAGACAGAAAAAAATAGAGAGAGAAGGAGAAAGCATTACTTGAGAAAGAGATGTGACTTTATAAGCTTGGTGGCTAATTAGGTATTATTAGATAGTATTTATAGTGGTATGAATGTAATATTGATTAAAAGCTAAGGATATTTTTAAGACAAAAAAATAACGTTTTTATTTTTTCATTATTACATTATCATTCCTACTTAAATCTGCGTCTCCAAAAATAATAAAATCACAAGAAAAGTTTATTCTCATTCTCATATCATTCTTAATTACTAAACACTTCACCATCAAAGAATGAAGCGTGAATTTACATTCCTAATACTTCATTCTTAATTACCAAACAACATCTTAATTTATCCAAGAATATTTTGAGATGAATAGACTTTATCTCCATTTATAAATAACTAAGGAGTGATGAAGTTAAAGTAGAATCCACATTTATAGAATTTAGCATTAAAAGGGAAAAGATTTTACATTATTGCAAGATTTACAAGTCAGCATTGATATTAAGGTGTAAAACGTGATAGAGAGAGAGACCGAGTGTGATTATTCCTTTTTCTCTATATCAATTCTATGTTTTGTCAGCTTATATAAGGATATTGTATGCAGTTACAATCAAACACTTTTCTTTACTATTTTCTTTTTCTTCTTCTTTTTTTTTCCTTCACCGAGCATTTAGCAATACCAGTTGCACCAGCCACGGTGCCCCTTCTAAGACAAATTGCAACGTTTTTGCAAAACGAAGCAAAAACATTCCTTGATGCTACATTTTCAAGAAATGAGAAGGGCATTTTAAAGGTATTACTGGATTTGGGTGATGAGATATGGGCCAAAAGAAAAGAGCCCAGCGGTCTCGAGTCACGACTCATACTATAATTGAATGCATATGGCAACCGAGCCGAATTTCTAGTAACGCGTTCGACTTTGCTTCCTTTTATTTTTCCCGCTCAAAAGAAGTTACTCCCAAATCCCAAAACTCGACCACCGTTCACAGGATAGCGACCGTCGGCCACCATCACTGATTGAGTTTTTCCTTTCTTCAAACAAGAGTGAGTTTCAATACAATACATCTTTTATTGATTTCAAGTTACTCTATTCGGAATCAGAAATCAGTGATCACTGATTCATTGTTTTGGGTCTATGGTTTCAGAGCTGTGGAGGTGCAATGGCAGAGAAAACAAGAGCTGGAGATGAGGAATCTCTCGAAAATCTTAACAAGGTAATTTTAGAACTTATTAATCAGAAAAGTTGTTTTAATTCTCACTGTGAAGAGTTATTGAATAACATAGCTGGTGAAATTAAAGAGTAAACTGATTGAGTTAACTATGAGGATTAGACATGAAACTGCAAATTTGTGCCTCCATTTTTTTTTCCTTACGAATGTCTCCACCTACTTGTTTCCCCTCTTTCTCTGCCCTCTTTTTTCTCTGTCAGATTCTTCTTTTTTCCTTAGAACTGCGCTTCCTTTTCTTGTTGCATTTTATGAACCCAAACTTTATTCCTGATGGCTTCATTAGTATTGGCTTTAAGCGTTGGTTTTGGTGGATGGAGTGGACGTGATAGCTGTGAAGCTGTGGCGGCTGGGGGTGGTGAAGTAGGAGACGAGGCTGGTGAAAATCATGATCTTGGATGAATAGGTGGTTTTGTATGATGGATTGATCAGGTGGTGTTGTGATTTTTTTTTCTTTCTTTTGATTGTAGCCTGGGAAGCATTAGTTTTGGACTTGGTGGTGGCTTGAAGGTGATGGTTGCGTGGCTGTTTAGGTTGGTAGAGGTGATGGTTTTCGATGGTTGAGTAATAGAGTGTGGAGACCCTGGTTGGCGAGAATTAGGATATGGAATGGTAAATTTGATGTTGGTGGGATTTAGGTGAATGTTGGTTTGGGGGCGGGAGAGGAGCTTTTTTTTTTCAAATCTCGCACCCGAGTCTCATAACAAAACTAGTCTGTTAGGATTTGAACCCTTGACCTCTTGTTGTTGTAAGTGACCAACACCACTGGGCTACAAGCTCTTTGTTCCGGAGAGGCGCTTTTATTATAGTTTAGTTTCGGTTTTGGTGCTAATGGCAGTTGTTTTCTTGAAGCTTTTGATAACAGAGATTTAGTTACGGAGTTTGTGATAGGATTGATGAATATCCGTAGTTATAGATTTAAGTGCAAGGTGGTGTTTGTGGTGGTTCAGGTGGAGGTGATGGAAGCAGAGGAGTTCTGATTGCTGGGTGGAGGTTTTGCCAGGGTCAAATTTCAGGTTTTTGCTATGGTGATGTAAGTCGTGGTTTTCATGCTGAGTACTGGTGGTACGAACTTTGTCGATTTTGGGTAGTGGGGAAACAGGATCTAATTTTGGTAAAATGAACACGAACTTTATTAGTAATGAGAATCTTAATGGTGTTGATCCCAAGATGAAGTTCATTTACAAGCGCAGGAAACTACAAGTTGGATGATGATGATGCAGAATTTTGAAGAAATGCAAAACAATTATACATAAGAAACCAGAGCAAGAGGATGAGAAGGCACGGAGAGGCCAAAAATGATACCATTTTCGTTATTACTGCCTGCATTAAAAACCCATCTCGATCAAGTTAAACCGATGCAACTTCAGACTCTTCACATTAAACTCTGATGAGTAACTTACATGAACTAATGAATTTCCATGGCTTATTGTAGTGTCCTGCATTGCAGAGCGATGGTTCAAACCAATCCCAGTTACTACATTCTCAAGGTGGAGGTGGTAGCCACCACAGTCAATGTGAACTTTTTTCAACTTGACCTATTTGAACTTCAGACCGATCTCATGTAAACCCAAGTCCTTAGTTTTCCTCTTCTATTCTGTATGTAGTTTCAGATTATAATTGGTTGTTAACTATCGTAAATACAAATTCTTTTGTCTTACTTCTGCTGATTAATTTTCTCTGAGTAAGAGCTAAAACAAGCACCAAGGAAGACAAGGAGGCAAGGAATCCAGCTAAAGCTACTGCTACCTCTTAAGCCCTTGCGATTCGTCATTTGTTTTGAGTAATTTCATGATGGCTTCACTTTAGATATGTAAATTGTCCTTTGCCTAAACCAGTGTATAAATCTGTTGACATCGTGTTAAGGTCCAGCAATGGATTCCATAGCAAGAATCCTAGAAATTGGGGAAGAAGAAGAGTAGAAAGAACTAGAGAGAGAAGTATACGTCTATTGTATTGTATTCAACACTCAACAGAAGAATCAGTAGTCACAAAACATGCCTTTCTCGTCAGTTCTCCTGCTAATTATACAGCACAAACTGAACTAACAGACAAACTAATTAATGCTAACTGACCAACAAACTAATGGCCATGCAAGGCAATTGTAACTATCTAATACACGTGGCATTAACTATTAACAGCTAATCCTAGCCATTTAACACGTGTTTATTGTTCCCAATGAAGGAACAACAGAATTAACAATCAATGAAGTAACTATACGTGACACATCAATTATTGTTGACATGTACAAATCTGTTGATTTGGAAAAATAGTGGCGGTGTTTGGCTATCTGGGTTTCTCCTATGCTCATGTTCAAGCCTTGATCTGCCCTTCTTCTAGTCCAGCAAGTACCGTTATATAGGAGGGCTCTTATTTTCTGTTTCCTCAGCTTGGACTTTTTTTATTTTTTTAATTGCTTTTTATTTGCCTACTACGTCAAAGATTCAGTATTGCATATACACCTTTTAATTCAGTGGGGCAGAAATTGTCGAGATTTGTTTCCGTAATGGTTCCTCTAGTAAATTGTACATCCTTTTCCTTTTTCGGAGCTAAATAATAGAGTAGCCTTGCATCAGTTGGAGTGAATCTAAATCCAACTGGGACAATCTTCCTCCATTAAAACTAATAAAATAAAGCAAGTAAACTTTGACAAGCAATAGAAATCAAGGACATGGACAACATGGGAATTTCAAATACTTCATCTAAGCATGCATTTGAATCCAAAACACAAAATCACATGTCAACCATAATTGTTTTCAACATATTCATATAATTTTTTTTTATAGCTCAGGAATAAAAAAAAAAAACAGCTTGGAGGCAAAAGCAACCAAGGATAAGGAAAACAAAAGCAGGAACAGGGCCTAGCAAACAAGCTATAGACCCAAAGCTTAAACAAAACAAAACAAAACTGAGCCTGTAATACTACTTCACAGAGCAAGCACTGTACCGAAATGCCTCATGTAGAAAACTAAATTTGCTTTCCGTTACTAATTAAGAACAACGAGATTAATAAAAAACATATTTCATGTAAAAAAAAAAAAATCTGGTTTAGTAAAAAGGAATTATTTATCTCCTGTGAAAACATGAGCACTGAAAAACACGCATGCAAGTTGGACATGTAATGAGTCTCGGATAAAGAAAAGATTTAATTCCAACCAGTTAAAATTGGCTATAAATCTAAAAAAACTTCAGAGCTATATAATTATCAAGAGAAAGTGAGTTAAAAATTAATTCTTTGAATTTCAAATTTGAAATCCTTAAATTTTATTTTCATCTTTTAAGTTTTTGGAATCCAAAAAATAACAATTACATAAAATAACTCTAAAATAAATCTAAAACTCTTCAAAAAAAAAATTTTAAAAAACATTCCAGTTATTTTCTATTTTTCAAATTTTTTACATTTTTAATGTTAAAAAATTAAACAAGTATTTAAAAAATTCTGAAATTTATTCTGAAAGCAAAAAGATTAGTCATCAAATCTATTATTACTGTCCAATACCACCTTCTCTTCTCTATAGCTCTGTGTAATTCAAGAAGCTCATCACTCACCTCGTCATTTTCAGTTAATATGTTGATATTAACTTCTCTCCTGCGAAGCCTAACAAATCCTAACAAATGAATTATCGAGTACAAGAAACGTTTCTTTATTATTTGTCCAAAAGGAAACACACTTACAAATCTCTTATTGATCACCGAACCGGAAGTACAAACTCCACGAAAAACCTACAGACCTGACTAACAACAACAAACAAACCAGCAGCCACTACACTAGAACGCCCTACTAGTCCTGGACGAAACGCACACATATTCGTTAATGTTGTGTACAATGAATGGAAGTCACAACATCTTTATTGAGAGAGGCGCCACAACTATGAATTTAGCTCTTGCTCTTGGTCTTGAACTTGGACTCATTGGCAGGGATACCCTCGTTCTCTCCGCGTTCTCCACCAGACTCGTCCGTGGTGCTAAGCCCACCCTTGCGTCCCATTTCCTGGTACCCCTCTGTCCCCAGCTGTTCCTTTCTTATCTGTCCTCCACGGCTCCTCCCTTGCAAATTCAAAAAGAAAATATCAAATCATTAAATAATACCACCTAGTATATATCACGTGCAATATATATATATATATATATATTACTCACCAGTAGGTCCCGTGCACATAAATAAAGAGACAGGATCAGTATATACCTTCAGCAAGGTGTTCTTGGGCTTCAAGGCTTTTTCCCCCAGTGCCTCCAGGGATAACTGTCTCTCCTTTCCTTGCCCTGGCATCAAGGTCCTCTCTTGAGTGCTGATTGGAAGACATTTTTTACTGTAAAGTCGAAGAAAGTGCGCCAAATTTAGCAAAATAGTAGTTGCTTTATGAGTCGAGCGATACCATGGTGATGTTAGAATACGATCCAACAATTTATAGAGAACCGGCTTTTAGATTGAGTGACAGGCCGTGGATGATGCGGCAAAAGAGGACGGGAGTCAATGAGACACCTAGGCTATAAGGTGCCAAGAGAATGACACGAGTCTGGCTCTTGGGTGACTAAGAAATTCAAGAGCTCCACTGATTTACACGTTCTGAACTTCAGCCGCTTTCAACCCTAATACTCTTTTTCTTTTCCTTTTTTTCCCCCCTTGAGAGAATTAAGTTTGCTCTTTGTAGCAAAAACTAGTGCTCAAGAATTTAATTTAGATCGAGTCTCCTTTCCTGCTTTAATAATTAATCAAGTTTAAAATCATGAAAACTAAGAAAATATATAGTTTGCAACTAGTTGAATGCTCGAATTATGATGTGAAAAAATTATTTTAATTTGATAACATATACTATATTATAGATTAACTAAAATATATTGAATTAAAGATAAAAAAATATTCTAATTATTTATTCTTTTTTATATTTTTCATAAATTTTATTGTTAAAAAAAAAATTATTTTTTATGTATTGATTGTTAAATAAAAGCTTGCAATAATCTAAATAAAATATTTAATTCAAATTTTAAAAAATGCCTCAATATATTTTTTTCATAAGACTAAATCGAAAAAATAAATAAAAAGTTGTATAAAAATGAACAAATAATTTTTTTCATTCTTATTTAATACCGATAAGAAGATTATTATTTTTTAAATATATATATTCACAAAACAATAACTAAACTAATGTTAGCATAAAAGAATGTATTTGAATCATTTGGTTCTTCTCCTAAAAGATTGTTTCAAACATTTTATTTGAAAGAAATTGATTTTAGATTTTTTTTAAAAAAAGTAATAGTGAATGGTTAGTGTTATGTATATGGCATAGTTAATTCCTAATAAAACCAATTATTTCAGTTTTTTCATACATCGGTAACCATATTTAGTGGATTCAAATGTACAAGTATAAATTAAAAAATATTTTAAAAAATTAAGTTACAAGGAATATTTTAAAGTTAATAGACTGAAATAAAAAAAACTATAAAATTAATTTAGATAAATTTGATTATATAAATAAGAAGCAAATAAAATATATGAATTCTATTTTTTTGATTGATTTTTTTTTATTACAAGGTTTGAGACAAATTATCTAAAATATACTTTTAGCTTTTTAATAGTCTCATTTAAAAATCATAAAATGCATCATATGAATTATATCAATATATTTAAAAAAAAAGATAAAATAATCATTTTATTTTGATTCTAAATTTTATCTCTATTGTGGTTTGGTCCTTTAATGTAGAGAGGAGAAGGAAGAAAAGGCAAAGAAACGAGGAGAGAGAAAGTCACGACGAGACATATATTGGCTACTTTGATCCTAGATCTTGTCTTCAATTTGTTCATCTTGAAGAAGATTGTTTGTTTATGGTTGCTTCACAAATCATGAAATTGTTGAAGGAAGTAAATCAAAATTTTAAAATATTTTAAGTTTGATTTGGATTTTTGTATCTTTTATGTGTATTAAAATGAGTTTTCAAATTCTAAACGAGTTTCTTAAACTTTTTTTTTTCTTTTGTAATTTTAAGGTGTTTTCAGACAAAACAATGTTGAACTAACAAATTTTTTAGTGAACTTTGTAATCAGACTAAGCTTCGTCTACTCCACTCAATGCCTGCACTACGTCACTCTTTCATCCTTTTTTTTTTTTTTTTTTTTTAAGTTTGGCTTGCACCGGCCTAGTTCTCAAAATCCAAGGGTGCAGGCCTGGTTCTCCTAGTCGAAGGCCTGGCCTAGCTTGGTTCTTTCTTTTTGTTTTTTCAGTAGTTTATATTTTTATTTTTGAATTTTGTGCAAAAATAATGAAAAATCGATAATTATTTTTTAGGTTATTGACATAGTCTGACAAGATAGAAATATATATATGATATGTTTTTATGTTTTAAAATGAACATATAATATTATATTACTCATATTATTTAAAATTTATTCCTTCAATTTGTCATTTCTAATGGAAATTTTCATCCAACTAATTATTAGTTTTCCTTCTTTATAAAATTTTATTTAGTGAAAAATATGATTTTTTTCTCTATGTATGGATTTTGGAATAAATTTTTTTAACTTGATTATTTTCTTTCTTAAAAAATAAATTAACATATATATATATATATATATATATATATATATATATATATATATATATATATATAAGTTAAAAGTGTATTTCAGATAATTTGTCTGATAGTTTTAGAAAAAAAATAATTTTTAAATAGACAAAATTCAAATGCAGAGAAAATAGAAAATGATTGCTCGACATATGAGATATGTACATGAGGACTACGCTTGTATGGCCTAGGGAAAAAAGTATGAAATTCACGTATTTTAATTTCTTATTCTTTATAAAATCAAGATTTATCAAAATCAAATTTTAATAGTTTTTATTTTAGTCTACTAACTTCAAATTTATTTAATATATTTCTTGTAAGTGAATATTTGTTTTTTGAAGATTCTTTTAATTTTGTAGACGTTGAACACATTCAAGTATAATTATAATGTATAAGAAAATAGTATTAAATTATTGGTTTTGTTAGAAATTAAAGCATCAACACACACAACACCAATCATTTACTATTTATTTTTTATTTTTTATACATTTTGAAATCAATTTATTTTAAATAAAATAATTAAAATTATATTTTGAAAGAACCATCCAACGATTCAAATACAATTTTTAATACTAATATAATTGATTATTTTGTGAATAAATATATATAAAGAAAATTTACATGCTTTCAAAAATTAATCTTCTCATCGATATTAAATAAGAATAAAGAATAAAATTTTTATTTCTTTATTTTTATAAAATATGTTAAATTTAATTGTTATTTTTTTAATACAATTTTATGAAAAATATTTAGGTATTTTTTAATTTTAGATTAAATTTTTTATTTATATTATTACAAATTTATAGTTAAGAATCCATGAATAAAGAAATATAAGTCAAGTTTAGCAGATAACTTATGAAAAACATAAGGAAGAATTATTTAAATACAAAATTTTGATTAAAAAAATATAAAATTGAAAGATTTTTTTTTTTATACCTTTGATTCAATATATTTTTGTAGACTCATAATATAACATGGGACCATCAAACTAAAATATATTTTGTTCAAATGATTTAATATCTTCTACTCGACCCACAATGTAAAACGAACATCAAGCTATTGAAAAACTGCTAAATTATGGTCTATAGATTTAAACCTAAATACATGAGTTTGTTAATAAGTAGTCCTACTATCTTTCAAGTTCGATGCATTCTTTGTAAATGTATGTTTAAATTTATTTATTTATTTTAAGAACAAACAAAAAGTTTATGGTGTGAAGGTTTTTGGTGTATTTGAGATTAGGGCGAAGTTTTATCCAAATTTTTATTATTCTGATGATGGTAAAATTTCTCCCTTTTATCCAAGGAAATCAGCATAACAGAACCACATTAAACATTATGTCTGTGTTTGATTGTTTCTTTTTTATTTTTTGTGATTATTATTTTAATGAAATTGTGAAATCTTAACAAAAACTGACGTCTTTCTTTTTTCTTTTATTAAGATCAAACATTGTTAGGTTGTGTATCTTATACAGCAATCAAGAATTAAGGGAAAAAGCAATAAAATATATAGGTAAATGTCTCAATCTCTATTTATATGATTTAGTAAGACTCCAATAATTTCTATATGTTTTTAATTATGGTTTACTATATCCCTGAATGTCCTTATCATTAGACCTAGACTTAGACTTGCCATTGAAATCTTCTTTCAACTGATTTTCATTTTTGATACTCCTCTTTAGTCGTCAATACAAAGTTATATTCTTTTTTTTTTTATTTGACTTTCTTTACATATGACGAGATAAAAATACAGTTTTTACTTAGTCTAAATTCATTGTATTCTTACCATATAACAATGTAGTCACAAAATTTTTAAACAAATCAAAAAGAGAGTTAAGTAATAAAATAATTTTGTTTTCTTCCTCAATATTGATATCAACTTTTTGCAGTTGAGCTAATATATCAATTAATAAATTTCTTTTTTCATCTTCAGTTTGTAAAGTTGTCGTCAATTTTCTAATTTTTCCTATATTGCAAGCATTGACTCTTCAATTCATAATATTAATGATAATATTACTAGTAATACATAGTCAAATCGTGCTCACGCATCTTGATTCCAATTCTTTCAACTCGTGCTCCTCAATCTTTTTTGGTTTTTCATCCTTTCCCCGATACTAGTTTGTTGGGGTGTTTCTAACTTCTCCCACATTGCTGTTGTATGCACTTTAAGTGGTGCATTAAGAGGGAGAGATATCTTCCCTATGAAACGAATAGCTCATGACAAACCACTTGGACATGTTCAAGTTCTGCCTGTTTTTGTTGTGCAGATAATTCAACAATTTTAATGTTGCCAGATAGTGGATTGTCCTATTTGTTTACAAGCTTTTTCAACCGGGGAAGATATAATACGGAGAACACCTTGTTCACATATGTTTCATAGGAAGTGCATCCAACATTGGCTGTCCAAGAGGAATTCTTGTGCCTTTTGTCGAAATTTGTTTACAAGCAACCAGTTTTCGCTTCTTTAAATTCTAGTAATGTATCATGTAAATCCAAGCAATCTGTTTACAGGTTCTCGAATATGTTACATCTTCAAACAGGAATTTTTATTATAATTTTTTTTAAACCCCAAACTTAGAAAAAATAGTTGTAACTTGTTCCTATGATAAAAAATATATATATATATATATGATGATGATGAGGAATTTATTGATCTCAGATCATATCATAAGAGCGAGCTCTGAATGAATTTCAGCATGAAAAGTTAAACTTCATAGATGAAAAGCTATCAATTAAAACCCTAT